CATGCCTTGGCATAATAGGAGCCATGTAATCCTGATGCTCCTAGGAAATTATGCCCCCACCCCCAAGAAACAACCAACATTGTGCTGGTATTGGGGTACAAGAGCCCTGATCCCTTGCTTCAAGTCTGTATGACCCTGTAATGCAATTTATACTCAAGCCGCTGTTGGTTTGGTGTAGGCTACGCGTTCTCTGTGAACATGTTCTTGCTCAGTTCCTTCCCCTCCCTATCTGGCTGTTTCATTTCTTTACAATTTTTTTTTTTTTTCCTGAAGGGCATGTTCTTAAAAATTAGCATGCATCTGGAGCTAGGAAGCAGACTCTAAGGATGGGATTCTTGAATTGTATCAGCCACTAGGCAAATGGCAATCAAGACCCCACCACTCGTAAAAGGTGGAGTGTTGATAGCCCCCTGTTTGAGGTAGCAGGATAGCTATGTACATTTTCCCCTGGTGAGCTGTCATGGAACACAGTTGGAAGGAGAGGCACTGGCTTGTGCCACATCTCTGGCATTTGAAAGGTAGGGTGGAAATAGCAGTAATATGGATTGTAAAATTGGGTGACTGAGTAGCACCCCCTAGCTGAAAATGAAGGCACAAGGCAATCAATCACAATGCAAATACAAGGGTGAAAGCCAGAAGGCCTCCTCGTTAATATCGAAAGTAACTCTTATCTCAGGAAGCTGAGGGTTAATTATGCTAAGGACCAGGCTCAGGATCTAACCTTAAAAGAACAGCGGGACTTCAACAAAGGATGAATTATTAGCCCTTCCAAGTCTCCTACTAAAACTCAGGGCCCTTATGTACATTATTATTTACTATATTCACCATACTGCATAATATATTTCAAATAACCTTATTCCTACTGTCTATTCGATAGATAATTGGCCCATTTTCCCTTGTTATAAGATAGTGTCTCTTCTCTATGCTTATACACTATACAGAGGATCAAATTAAGCAGATGCCATATGAGGCCATAATTGCCTTCCTCAAGATCTGTGCCCCACCTCACCACCAGTCATCAGGTCAATAGATAGTGTCAAATCTCAGTGTGAACTGACTGAGAAAGTGCTGAGCCTGCTAAAACAGGAGAGAAATTAAACCCAGAAGCCATGGGATCCAGATAGCATGTGTTGCCAGGAGCTGGGAGATTATCCCTGGGCATGGATCCTGAGGAACTGGGAGAGTATGCCCGGGAATGGATCCTAAAGCTAGATAAAGCAGAGTTTATTGGCATGGAGACAATCTCCCATAACACAGGATTTAACAGCTTGCCAAGTGCCACGGGAGTCAGTTCTAATATGATGCTTAAGAAAAATGATGGTCAACATTAAATGAGAGAGAAATGCCAGAACTGCCATGGCAAACTCAGTCGGAAGAAATCACAGGGTCAGAGCAGTAGACACGTTAGAACTATCTATTTTATCAGGCCATAGACCCACCAGCTATTTTCTTCATGAGAACCCTGAGGATGTCCTGTTTAACAAGCCAACAGGGAATGCACCTGTGACAGGAACCAACATCACTGCAAAACTCAGCAGTGGCTGGCCCCCTGTAGGCTGCGTCTTATGGTAGGATGGGCTGTTACCAAATTTGGCTGCGCAATAGCTATGAGGATGACAGATTCCAGAGCGGCAGGGCTTATGGCACTTACTTAATCTTCAGCAGCAAGGTGGGTGAAAAATCCTGTTTTGGAAAGCAGAGTCAGGACTGACATTCTGCAATATATGGGCCTAGGATGCAAAGCCTAAGGAGGCACTTGTTCTCAGGGCTGTGCAAGTACTGACTCTGCACTTGTACGATGCTGTGAGTGAGTGCCTCCTTAAGAGTGAGGCATTTAGGGACAAGGTACAACTGCAGCCTGGGAGGGTGAGGTTGTCCTGACCTACAGGAGCCTTTGAAGAAGTCAAAAGAATGTGGTGTTCCTAAAGGCAAGGGCCAGCCAACCCAATGATTGGTTAATGTAAAAAGAGATCAGGAATGAACAATCCGAAGACTGAGGCTGGCCACTCCAATAGAAAGGCATGATCTCTTACCTTTTACCTTGCTGATTGCCTTTTTCATTTTTTCACAATTTCCTTAGCAGTAAATAAGAACAGGTCCATATGAGGAAGCACTGTGCAACCCCACAGTAGGTATATATAGTAGTAATTCTATAGTCTTTCTGCAATGGGACCTTCAGTAATTGATTTAAGTAATTAGTCATGGTGCTTTTTAGAAATTTGTTGGATTTGAGCTACCTGTGGTACCTGGGAACAGAAAGTATGATAGTTAAAGTAGGAGCTACAGGGGCCAGACAATGTCCATCATGTCTATCTCACAGTGATCCACTGTGTCTGTGACCCACCTGGTGGTCATTTCCAAGGTTCCCAAATGTATAGCAGTTTGTAGGACACTCACATTAGTTCCCTGACTTTTAGAATAAAAGCCATTGAGGTAGGAAACCCCATGCAGAAAATCTGCAAATAATATCACTTCATGAGGAAACACAGAATGTTTAAGATTAGGAACAGCAAGGATGTCTACCCACATCATTCTTATTCAGCAATATATTCAACACCCGCCTATGAATGAGAGCATGTGGTGTTTGATTTTCTGTTCTTGTGTCAGTTTGCTGAGAATGATGGTTTCCAGGTTCATCCATGTCCCTACAAAGGACACAAACTCATAGTTTTTTATGGCTGCATAGTATTCCACGGTGTATATGTACCACATTTTCCCTATCCAGTTTGTCAGCAATGGGCATTTGGGTTGTTTCCAGGTCTTTGCTATTGTAAACAATGCTGCAATGAACATTTGTGTGCATGTGTCCTTACAATAGAATGCTTTATAATCCTTTGGATATATACCCAGTAATGGGATTGCAGGGTCAAATGGAATTTCTATTTCCAGATCCTTGAGAAATCGCCACACTGTCTTCCACAATGGTTGAACTAATTTACACTCCCACCAACAGTGTAAAAGTGTTCCTATTTCTCCACATCCTCTCCCGCGTCTGTTGTCTCCAGATTTTTTAATGATCACCATTCTAACTGGGTGAGATGGTATCTCAATGTAGTTTTGATTTGCATTTCTCTATGACCAGTATTTTCCTATGTTTTTTGGCCTCATATATGTCTTCTTTTGTAAAGTGTCTGTTCATATCCTTTGCCCACTTTGGAATGGGCTTGTTTTTCTCTTGTAAATCTGTTTTAATTCTTCGTGGATTCTGGATATTAGCCCTTTGTCAGATGGGTAGATTGCAAAATTTTTTTCCCATTCCGTTGGTTGCCGATTTGCTCTAATGATTTTTCCATTTGCTGTGCAGAAGCTCTGGAATTTAATTAAGTCCCATTTGTCTATTTAAATATATTTCTTAATAGTGTACTTCAGCCAGGCACAGTGGCTCACTCCTGTAATCCCAGCACTTTGGGAGGCTGAGGTAGGCAGATCACGAAGTCAGGAGTTCGAGACCAGCCTGACCAACATGATGAAACCCCATCTGTACTAAAAATACAAAAACTAGCCAGGTGTGTTGGTGGGTGCCTGCAGTACCAGCTACTCAGGAGGCAGCAGCAGGAGAATCGCTTAAACCTGGGAGGCAGAGGTTGTAGTGAGCTGAGATCACACTACTGTACTTCAGCCTGTGCGACAGAGTGAGACTCTGTCTCAAAAAAAAAAAAAAAAATCTACTTCATTGTATTTCTCCAAAGTTATACTAAATTATTGCCATTTGATCATACTGAATTAAGTTTTAACCAGGAATTCTTCACCATATCTTGATTTCAACTATCACCTCTTGTTCTTTTCTTCCCCATAACCTCAGTACTCACCACACAGGACAGGTGGACACCACAGAAGAGATGGGGCTCTGGGGAGGCAGTGCTAGGAAGATTCCCTGCAACTTATGAGGCATTGTGCAGAATCTCAGACACAGTACTGGGCTCAGCATTCTCAGACACCCTAAATCAGATGGAAGTTGTTGTTCCAAATCACTAGTAAATTGATGCCTGAACCAAGAAACTAAGTTTTGGGAAGGCCACCACTTTGAGTCACTGAAGGACACAATGTGATACTACTTTACACCCAACAGAATTTCTCAAAAAAAACAACAAAAAAAAAACCATTAACAATAGCAAGTGTTCCATGTTCTGCAGGAGTGTGGTGGAAAACTGAACAAACAGACATGCATACCTTATAAGCCAGCAATTTCATCCTTTGGTATACGCAGAAAATAAATGTCAATATTCAACAAAAGACATTTACAAAAATATTTCTAGCAGAACTATTCATGATAGCCAAAAAAAAAAAAAAAAACTAAAAATAACCCAAATATTCAAGATAAATTCATTGTGATATATTCATATGCTGGTGGAATACTAAATAGAAATGAAAATCAATGAACCTCAACTATGCATAACATGGATGAATCTCACAAATATATTTAAAGGAAAAAATAACATGAATGAAAGAATGCATAATGGATGATTTCATTTCTATCAAGTTGAGCAACATGCAAGCCCAATCTGTTAAAATTGAGAAGAGTGGAATTCTGTGCAGGGGTGAAGGGGTGAGTTACTAATGGATAGGGGCCATCATCAAAAACACAATGGTTTGTCTGTAACAATACAGAAAATTTTTTGAGTTTTGCATCCTTTTCTGTAGGTAAAGGGTAGGCACATGTGGGATTCAGAGTAAAGGTGTTCAGGCTAAGATTACTCATGGTTTGAATTTCCTGGCTTCCATTTTTTCTAAGGTACAAAAAAAGTGAGGTAAAGTTAATTACAGACACTTCAGGCAGTGGATTTGTGTACTGTACTGTGTCATACTTACGTGACATATTGACCAAGATGACAACACAGACAAACTGACATTTGATAAATAATTATTTAATTAACCAGCATTTCAAGTCCAGGAAAGTAGATATATGAGCCACAAAAGGCTAGATTACCAATAATTACACATTTTCTCTAGCAGTAATAAGAAAGTTCTCCTAGCCCAGACACTTATTAGAGTGATGGTGCTTAAGGAAGAGTAGAGTTGAATGAAGATTCTGTGTATTGATTTAAAGGAAAAAATAAGTCCTTTGTTTCCTCTTTTTCAGAAAATTTCTGATGGGTGTTCACCGACTTTTCTCTCTCTTTTTCAAGTCGTTCAATCTCCAGAGACAGCTTATACATCTCCAGTGCCATTTTCACATCTTCTGGGCTTGGCAGGCACTGCATGAGCTTTCTGCCTATGAGCACTTGCTCACAACCTTCAGATACCTCCTAAAAGCAATTTAAAGAAGTGAATAGGGAATGGGAGTACATTCTGAGAGTCATTACTGGCAAAAGGGAGATTGACCTGAGGAACAAGGAGGAAATCTGGAGAGACACTGCATCCTAGCAAGTGTTCACATGCAAGCCAAGCCCAGCTCTGTCCTTGAGCAGCAACCAAGCAGGTTGAAGCTAAAAAGATGCTGGGCTCCAAAGGAGATGCAAAGCACATCCAAAAGGAAAATTAGGGGATGGTTCTGAGGGTCAACCAGAAATGGAACAAATGTACAACCTTTATTGTAGAAAATGTAGATCTAGGGGTCAGGACATCTGGTTCAATAGCCTCTCAAGTCTAGAGATTTTGGCTCTAGACACAGAGCGGGAAAATGTGCCTCTCTTGGCTTATCACCATGCAAGTGTGGAAGTGCTAATTGTGGTAAGTTACTTATGCTTCCTGACAAAAGTCAGATCTCACTATTGCTAACTGGGACAGAATTTTGGGAGAGGCCACTATTTTTAGGGATTAGTGGCACAGAACTTCCTTGAATTGTGCCACTTACCCACTCACATCTGGGCACTTCTGGGTACCAGGTTCTTTCCTCTGAACAAGTGATACTTTTGGGACCGACCAAACCGTAGCCAGAATCACATTGGATGGTGACATTTTCAGGCTCAACATACTGATCCTTATCCACAGACAGCCTTCCATTCACTATTTCTGGTTTCAGACACAGAGCTGTAATGGAAACGTGTCTTTGAGCACATTGTTTCTGAAAAAAAGTCATCCTAACAGCATTGGATAATAAAATGGATAAGAAATTATATTCATAATTATATTCTGGTCCTGCAGATTGTTCTATGCTTTTGTTTTAATTATAACAGTAATAATTAGCATTTATTGAATGAGTACTATATGTCAGTCTATGTGCTAAGTTTTTACTTATCTCATTTAATCCTTACTACCAATCCATGAGTTAGATCATATTATTATCACAATTTTACCAACAAGGAAACTGAAAAGTTAAATATTTCCTCTGTATCACATAGCTTGTAAGTGGTAAGAACTGGTGCTCTCAGTTGCTGCACGCCACGGCCTTGATTTGTGTGATTCCTGATATGTACTTTCCACCGTTCTTGCTTCATAATCTTCCTGGGCTAAATGCAGCCAGTGCTGATTATTAGCAGAATGATGAAAGCCCCAAGCACAATCAAGAGACAGAGCCTTACTTGATTCATCTTGTTTCCAGGCAGATTTACCAACAGCACCACCATCAGGTCATCAAAAGGGGACATGTAAAGGTCATGGGGAAATGGTGACCAGCGTAAGGTTTTTGTGGAGATTTCCAACACTTTATAATTTGGGAATTAACACTTGAGATTCCTCTTTCTTGAGTAGTTGAAATTATCTCAGGATTCTCTTGTAAACCAGAGCCACAAAGTTATTCTCAGATAAATGATATTGTCTCAACATATTCTGGAGACACATAAGAACCCGATAGTAGTGGTTCCCTCTGAATGTAGGGCAAGCTATACTTTTGGAAGACTGGAGTAGGAAGTAAAGTTCATTTTCAATGTAGCTGTCAATTACTTTCTAAAGTATATCAGGCATAATTTAAATAGTATGAATGAATAAATAAAGACAAAATGTATGCTGCCTTTGATTAATTGGAAACATTGCTCTTAATATTTTGTAATTCTGTCTTCAATGGATTATGAGTTGAGCTGGAGTTACCTTTACAGTGAGGAGGTGCATGTTGCCAGCGAAAAGACTTGCAGTAGATTGTAGCAAATCCAGCCAAAACGTATCCTTCATCACACTCATATGTAGCCTCAGGATAAGGAGTTATTAAAATAACTTCCTTGTAGTGTCCATGGGCAATTCTGGGAGGGTACCTGCAAACTTGGATGGTGAGAAAGAGAGAGAGAGAGAAGAGCATGAACTCATAGCTTCAGATTCATCAACCCAAATCTAAGTGATCTGTAGGAAAGTCAAATGTTCCCATCCAAATCCTTCTTCTGTAGGGTAACTTGACACAACTCAACATTTCTACTGCTTTCAGGCTGAGAACCTGGAGAAAAGCTTGATGTGAATGAAAGCAACTTGAGTTGAAAAAATTATCCATTTTATAGGAACTTTTTTGGTTTTTGCTTACATTATCACTAAAATATTTCACTGCTTAGGGAAATTACATGAGCTTTGGTATGAAAGCATGAAGTCAACCACAGAGAGTCATATTAAATAAGAATCATTCTCAATAAAAGTCAGGCTAAGTAAAGGAAATATTTATCTGTGAATAATCGTGAAGGCTCTGAATAACTGCAGGATCCCCAAACAATCTTGTCCATAACTACAACCATAGAACATAATTACCATATTTTACAATTGAAACAATGATTTCAGTGTTGACATAGTAATATGAAACGCTGGATAGTCAAACTAGAAGGGAACTTTCAATTTTCAAGAACTCTTGTATAAAAATTTGCAACAAATTTCAAGCACTGAGACTGTCAAAACTGTGTTGAAGGATGATTTCCTCCTGGGACTCTTCCTTATCAGAATTCACTTACCTTCTCTAATTGTTATCTCAAGTCCCACTTCTCCATGAAGCTTTCTTTGATTATTCCAATACACAATGTCTGTTCTTTCCTTTTATAACACTTGTTAGCAGTAGATTACTTAAAATTAATAGAATTTAACTAATGGGGCATAAACAAATAGAGTGGTGCAAAGGATATATTGTCACAGATGTTTTGTACCCATGCCATGTCCCTTTGGACTTCTGACTACAGTTGCAGATGAAATACAGTTTTACGCAAGCTCAGATTTATGCTGATGATGTTCTACAGAAGGCAGTCAATGTGAATCTCTCAGTCTTACTCTGGGGCCTCCTTTGCAGCTGAAAGAGCTCAGTTACTGCCTAAATTACCAAAGCAGTTAATGCCCTTTAAGGCAACCCTAAACCAATGAGCAAAAGAAAGCAGTGGATAAATATTCCAGTCTCCCATCCTTCAGACAGATAATTATAAAAGGCATTCCTTATACTTCTCGGTGGTCCCAAAGAATTGACCCCTTGCTGCTTATAATAGTCACCTTTGCTTATTCCCCTTGTCCCTCTCTCATCCCTCACTCCTACCTCCTAGAATCACCTCCAAAATAAACTACTGGCTCCCAAGTCACATGCTCAAGCTTTGCTTTTAGAGAAATCCAAAGTACAGTACCCAGTAATCACCATTGTGTTGATGTAAAGAGTCCTTTATAATGAAGATACTTCCATTAACACTTCCGTTATTATAACGACATTTTCAATATCTTATCCTGATTAGAGACAGATGTTTATCACCCTAGATACTTATTTCTTCTCCTTCTTCATATTTCAATAGAGAGGTGGTTCAGTAGGTCTGAGTTAAAGCAAGGAAAGGAAAGGCTGACACGGTGTCAGCCACTAGGCTTCAAGGCTCTCCCTAACAGATCACTTCTCCAACCTGGAGCTTCCATTGTCACATAATACATAAACCATGTTTTCTCCCTTGACCTACAAATATGGAGCTTTGTGAGGTAGTATCCCTCTTTACTAAAACGTCACCCATAGTGCTAGTAGACCATATATGCAGGAAAAAAAGGACAAAATGAGACTAAAAGACTTCATCAATTCTACTTTTTTCTCTTACAAGAAAATTTCTCCTGTAAGTTTATCTTCTGACATACTTTCTTCTATAGCTGCCTTGCATGGTGCTAGCGATGTGTATCTGTGACACTCTTTGCACAATGCTTCTTGAAGGAACAAGTCAAATTCAGTTAGTTTTCAGCAGTTCGATCTTTTGTGGAGCCCATTGGAATCATTTGGGGAATCTAGGAAATAATTATGACAAGTCATCTCAATATTCTTACCTGGCTCACATGCTGGTATTTTAGGCTTCCATGTGCCATCTGCGTGGCATGAACTCTTCCCACCAACAGAAACAGGGTAATAGCCTTCGTCACACATATATAAAATATAGTCCCCATAGGCATAGACACATCTACCAGTGAAATACCTCCTTTCATTTATGATTCTGATGTTTTCCAGATCTGGTGTTGGGCAACATACCCCTGATAGATTAAAAAATGTTTAACATTACATGTCTATATCAAGATATCTCATGTACTCCATAAATATACACACCACCTATATACCCACAAAACTTTAAATTTTTTTTAAAAATGATGTTCACATTTAATAGATTAATCAGGGGACACAAACCTGACTCCACCTTATAGAAGATGTTAATATCTGAAGGCAAACTCATAGAAGCAGAGAGTAGGACAGTGGTTGCCAGAGGCTGGAGGAAGGAGAGGAAACAACTCCCCAGTTATTCAACAGGTATAAAGTTTCAGTTGTGCAAGATTAATAAGTTCTAGAAATCTGCTGTACAAATAATGCCTATAATTAATAGTTCTGTAATATACACTGAAAAACTTGTTGAAAGGGTAGATGTCATGTTAAGTGCTTTTGCCATAATTTAAAGAGAGAAAGAGAAAGAAACAGAGAAGTTGAGAGAAGAGTTAGACCAAGCATCTTCTCCAAATTCTGCTGTTGTTTTGTTGAAGTGCTATTACTTAATTTCCCTCCAATTGTGTTTCTTCATTAGAAGTCCTTAAAACAAAGTGTTGATGTTGGTGGTGATGAGCTAAGCAATTCAGATTCACCTTCTCTTTGACAGAAAGTAGAAAAACATGGAGGGGAGGGGGCGGTTAAATTCATGAAGATTCAGGTGCTAAGACCTTAATTGTCTCAGTTGTTATTTTAATAAGAAAGAAAGATACGCAATGAGGTGTTCTAGGAATATAGAGCCACTTTTTTTTATATATAGAATACTTCTCCTCCCCCAAAATACAACTGAGTGGCTAAGAAGCTGATCAGAGCTTGATATGCGTGTGGTAGTAGGGACTGATTGCTGGTAACTCCCCACTTTTGGAAATGTTTAGAACTATACCTTGAAGTAAGAATAAACCAAAAATAGAAAACAACTATCTATAAAAATTATTAAAACCCAGGCTTGTATCATTACAGTCCCTGATTGGATTCGGGTCCTTCAAAACCCTTAATGCCCCTTACCACCTGCCAGAAGCGAACACGAGACCAGACAACGTTATTAAAAGCCAAAGAAAGCAAGAGACAATGCTAAAAGACCTGAGAGGATCCAGACAATGAAGTTCTAAACATTGACCTAAGAGCACCTTTGCTTTGTTATGCAGAAGGAAATAAAATACAACATTGAGAATTTTGATAGAAAATCAATATTAATACTACAAATCCACTACAAGTGAGAATCTTGAAACTAAAAAATATAAAATTAAAAATTCAATTAATAATTAATATCAGATAACACATCAACGAAGAGAGAATTAGTGAACTTGATTTATATTCATAATAAAATACTGGGAAACAAAGTTCAAGAACATAGATAAGAGCACAGGAAATACAGAAGATTCAATATAAAAGTTTAATATAAATGTAGCCACAGTATCAGTAGAAGAGTGAAAATAGGACTGAAATAGTACTCAGAAAATAATTATTTGTAATATTGAAGTATTTGAAGTTGAACATTTTTCCAAAATCAAGGAAAGGCATCAAACCTCATATTCTAGAAATATTCTGAATCTCAAGCAGGCTAAACACAAAGAAACACATATCTGACATCCCACACATATCTGACAAAAACTGCCAAAAAATAAAGACAAGAACATCTTAAAAGCAATCTGAAAAAATAGATAACCTTCAAATGATCAACAGTATGACTAATAGCAAAATTCTTGATAGAAACAAAGGCAGAAGACAATGGAATGAAATCTTTCATATGGCCAAGGCAAATAATTGCCAATCTAGAATTTTATATCCAGCAAATAGATCTTCAAATATTAAGTGAAATAAAGGCACACTTAGAAAAGCAAAAAGAAAAATTTATCATCAACAGATCCTCACTAAAGGAAACTAAAGAGTATTTATCAGGCAAAAGAAAGGGATAAGAGATATAACTGAAGAATCAGAAGAGAATAAAATGGTAATTATGTGGACAAATCTAAACTAATTGGATTTATTAAAATTATAATAGCAATAGTAATAATGATAATAGTGCAGAGTTTAAGACACATTTAAAATTGAAATACACAAAAATAAAATCATAAGTCAGGCAGAATCAAGTTAAAGGTCTCTAAGGCTTTTCATTGCTTGGGAAGAGGCAAAAGTAGTAAATTATAGGTAAACATCATAAAAAGAGCTAAAAATAAATAAAAATCAAGCAAATACCAGGTAAAAAATTGAAAAAATATTTTAATTGATTCAAAAGAAGGCAAAAAAGAATGCAAAACAGGAAAAAATATAGCAAATAGATGGTAGATTCAAATTCAAATGTATTAATAATTACGCTAACTGGACACTGACAAGTATTTTAATTAAATGATGAAAATTGTCAAGTAGGATTAAAATATCCAAGTACAAGATACACTTAAAATATAAAATTACAGAGTTTAAAAACAAAAGACTAAAAGATGATAAATCATGTAAACACCAACTCAAATAAAACTGTCAGAACCATATTATTGTAAAAGTAGAATTTTAAAAATAAAACAGATATAGTAATAAAGATAATCATCTGATAATGATAAACAGCGAAATTCATCAGGAAAATATATGATTCTAAATTTGTATGCATCTAGCAATGTAGTCTCAAATATCCAAAGCAAAAAATGATTTGAAAAAGCTAAAAAGATGACCAGATGTGGTGGGTCACAGCAGTAATCCCAGTACTTTGGGAGGCTGAGGTGAATGAATTGCTTGAGTCCAGGAGTTTGAGACCATCCTGGACAACATGGACAAACCCTGTCTCTATAAAAAATACAAAAATGAGCCAGGTATGGTGGTGCACGCATGTAGCCCCAGCTACTCCAGGGGCTGAGGCAGGAAGATGGCTTGAACCTGGAAAGTCTAGGTTGCAGCGAGCCGAGAGCGTGCCACTGCATTCCAGCCTGTGTGACAGAGGAAGACCCGGTCTCAAAACAAACAAGCAAACAAACAAAAACTCTGAAAAGATTAAAAACAAAACTTTCTTACTATCCGAAAGAACAAGCAGACAAGAAATAAATACAGATATGGAAATAGATTTGAACAAAACCATTAAAATTAGATCTAAATGATGTATATGTAACATTGTACCCAACAATTGCAAAATATGCATCCTTTCAAGTGCACACAGAACATTTATAAAAGTTAACTATAGGCTATGCAATGAAGCAAGTCTCAGCGAATTTCAAGGATTCTGCTCAACATTTTCAATTGCAAAGAAGATATGCACACATATACACAAAACAAAGTTCAAGTCTACTTACTCTCACACTCGTTGGAAAATGTCCATGTCAAATTTTCCTGACAAGTCACAGTCAGAGGCTCATCTAGAAGAGGTCTATAGCCAGGTTTGCATAGATATTTCAACTCAGTTCCAATTTCAAATGTTTCTTGATCACTTAGGTTGTAGTCATTTCTCTCCCAGGAAGCATAGGAAATGTCCGGGAGGTTGGTACAACCATCCATTCATAAAGAGAACACATGGATAAAGGAAATGTGTTACTGGGAAGGGCAGAGTTACTGTCACAAAAAAAAAGATATCACATACTCATTCTGCAAAAAATTAAATGTTGAAAATTAAATGGGGATTCCAGAAAAAGACTCGGCAGCACCACTGCCCAATAGCCTAGTGTCTGTTAAGTACATGTGTCTGCTAAATGCATGTGCCACTGAGAGGCTGTACTAAGAAGCACGCCATGGTACAGTAAGGGGACAGTTTCTAGGTGCTGGGCCAACTCTGTAGGAGCTTAGTTTTCCTTTTATGTCACTGCACCTTAGAATGGTTGGTCTTCGGGGGAAGCATTAGGATCACTAGAAAGATACAGCAAAAATTTGCTCCAAGATGAGACTGACTTTCTAATCTTGTGCCTAATGGGGAATTTAAATAAGAGGCATTCTCCTTGACATCATAACACTGTCATCTGGAACTTCATAATTTGGCCTCAAATCAAGCCCTATATAACTTTTGCAGCTGGGCCTTTGGTCTTGTTTTTTTGTTTTTTGTTTTTTGTTTTTTGTTTTCCTGTTCAACAATATGCTAAAGGTCTGTGTAAACCAAGGAGAGGATATGTGTCTGTCAAACTGCATATTTATTGAATTTCATTACTACACATTTTGAGTGGCACCTAAGTTCATATGATAGCAGAAGGGACTAGATAAACCACGATGCAGTGGTGGCTTTCACCTCCAGTTAGCTATATGAGCTTGTGCTAGTTACTTAATCTTTCTTTTTCAGTTTTCTCATCATTAAAATTGGATAAAAATAGCAACTTCTTAGAATTGTTGTAAATATTGAATGAGTTAATTGATGTAAAGCACTTAGAACAGTGTTTGTAACATAAAAAATGGTCAGTAAATGTTAGCAATAAATCATTAATGTTATAAGTGATCTGTATGTATTTACAACATCAAGGTCTCAAAGCCAATATTAGCCCTTACAGCATTTTTAATGCAAATTATAAAAAAAACTGCCTTAATGCACTCTTACTTCCATTGTTCAAAAAATTCTCATAATATGTTGATTTTGTTAGACTAAGAAACTTTGCTATTGTGCCCTGGAAAATTTTTACAGCAAATATATAAGTCTACAATATCTATGAAGTCACTGGTCTCATGACTATGTAATATATGCGAAATTCTTCCAGTGGCACTAAGACATTAACAAAAAAAAGTCTTCCTTTTAACAAGAAAGCTGGTGAAAAGTATTAATATATCTCATAATGATTACTGGGAGTCAAGTAGGCTTATGCTTTATGAGCATGCCACATCTATACATCAGGATAACTTTTGATCCAAATATTAAAACTCCATCATAGTCCATACTCACTGGATACACAAGAGGGAACAGAAGGATACCAGTCATTATTCTCTTCACAATAGATTAAATTGCTGCCTCTGAGGATATAACCTTCCTCACAGTTAATCACAATAGAGTCTCTGTAAGCATAGAGGGGTCTAAATCCAGAAACAAAGATTGCCTTTGGAATCTGTGGTTGACGACAGACAATTTCTAAAGAATCATACAAAAAGATATCTGAGTTAACAGAGAGAAATGGCAGTAAAGACGCGACTGTAACTGTTGGCATGGCTTCAAGGAGGGCCTGATATAAATATATATTTAATAGGTACTGAACAAAGAAAACATTTTAGAGATTTATATATGTCCTTTCAGCTGCCAGAAAGCTCGGGAAAATGAGGTCCCATCAAGTGGGTCATGTAAAGTCCTCCAACTTTCTCATCAATAAAAATGAGCAATATCTAAACCCTGAAGTCCAAATCTCAATGTCCCCAAATCCTTCCATTAAAGGGCCCAATTTCCTGGATGATTTTGACTGGGGTTCAGTGGCCCATGGTAATGATATGGTGTCATGCAGAGGCAGTCAGGGCATCGGGAAATCTGTGATACACCTCCACAAGCAGAGAACAAGCCGCCCTCACCCCATATCCTGTCTGTCATCACGTCCTGTCAATCCCGTCACCTTAATTCCTCTATACTTCCTCAACTTCCCTCCAGGTTCACTGCTATGGCTACCATTGAGGCCACTTTCACTTCCTGGCTGAAAGGTTACAACAGGTGCCTATCAGTTACGGTTTGTCTCACTTCAAATTGTCCTTTTAATGTCTCCCCTTTTCCTTCATTCCAAACTCCTGAAAGTGACACACAAGGCTTTCGTAACCTGGCCCCTGCTAACTTATTCAGCCTGAGCTCCTGTCTTTTCCACTTCTTGCAGTCCTGAATCCAGGCATTTTGAACTCTTTCCGCTATTATACTCTCCTTTGCCCCAGTGTTAGCTGTGTCCTGTACTGAGTCAAAACAATATGTGATATTGTGGCTTTTAGGCACTTCAATTGCACTGAAGAACAATATCCTAGACCAGCGAGCTGAATCATCACTGATATTGACGTAACATCTCTTCTGGGTTCCAAAGAGAGGCCAAAGGAAAGTACTCTCTTTCATTGTCTTCTACTATTAACCTGCCGCTGTTGTAGATATTATTTTGTTTGCTCCTTAGGCATGTATGGCTGACATTATTAGTGTCCACCTATATTTATAGTTATTGTAAGATAAACAAAAGACTATGTTTCCCAGTTACTCTTCATTAAGCAGAAACAAGGCACTAGTTCTGGCCAAAAGGCTGTAATGACAAGTGATATGTGTCACTTCCAGGTCAAAGAACTGAAGAGACGGAGACTGACCTTCCTTGTTCTCTTCTCCCGCTGAACTAAATTGTGAAAGTTTTGACATAGAGGTGGTAAAGATTTAAACAATCTGAATTACCATATAAGTGGCAGCTGCCCTAGGGAGTTTCCCAAGCTAGCAGTGCACTGAAAAAAAAAAACTTGAAAAAAACCTTTACTATAAGAAGGCCTTGATATTTAGGTGCTGATTACTACTGCAGCACAGCTTATGCTATTCTGACTGATACAGCATGTAACAAGATTAGTTGAACAAATGAAGACTCCATCATTGCAATGATTACTTTCTCTTTGAATCACTCCATCTTTCCTAATAAATATGCCTTCCTTTTGATTTTAAACAAATAAAAGACATCAAAGAGATCAAAATTCATCATTTGATCATTCATCACTTGATCAAAGAGATCAAAATTCATCATTCTGACTTACTTTCACAGATACTGACTTACTTTCACAGATAGGAGGGTTTGGGCTCCAGACTCCTATTGTTTTATTCTCCACCGTGCAGTAAATGGAGGCGTTGCCTATGAGTGAGAAGTGAGGGTTGCAGCTATAGGTGACAGAAGAGGCATATACATAGAATTCTTGATCTCCACCACTGTGCTTCCCATTTCTGATGTCTGGAGGGGACTCACACTTGGCAACTGAGGTGAATGAGTGAAAAGAAAGAAATACTCAAGGTAGGCATTGTGACAAATCTAAAATTCATGCAAATTCTAATTGAGGGTAAAAGACGCAGTGAACTTTGTTATTACCTAAAATAGTTTAGGTTTGTAGTCAGGTTAGGAAAAAAAAGTTCTACTTACTTACACATTCTGGGAGAGGATCACTCCAATCAACTCCTTTACCTTGGATCTGACAATGACTGGTGGTTGAGCCAATTAAGATAAATCTGAATAAGATAGGTCAAAGATTTTAGTGGAATTCATTTTTACTCTAGACATAAATTATCTATGAAGTTTTGGACAACTTAGAAAAAATAAATATTGAGTACTATGCTTAGCACCTGGGTTATGTAATAATCTGTACACCAAACCCCCATGACATGAGTTTACCTATGTAACAAACCTGCACATGTACCCCTGATCCTAAAATAAAATTTTTAAAAATATATTTTTTACAAACTTTCTTATTTCCTGTTTGTTCTCCTGAAAATGTATTTATCTTCTAAAAAGTCATTTGTTTCCCATAAGTATCTTTCTCCCTTCACCTACTAAAATGGTATATAAGCCCTAAATTCTAACCACCCCTTTGAGTTACTCATCACCAAGCTCTCCCACATGTATGTATGTTGCATGAATAAACTCTGTAATTGTCTCCTGTTAAAAAAAAGAAACAGTTTTTTATTCGATATTTTAAAATTAGAAAATAATGCTTTCTTGATTACTAACTACCACAGTTACATTTTCTCCTATCAAGCAGAGGGCTTATTTGTTCAATTTTAAAATTCTCTAACTTGTCTAAACAACTTAAGCTTTTTCTTTGTATCATATGGTGCCCATCCGTAATCAATAAAAAGAGAACATGACAAGTTTTACACCTAAAATCTGAGGTGTTAGGTGTAAAACTTGTCATGTTGAAGTTTTAGGTGGGTAAAAGCAGCAGTGAACTTTGTTATTACCTAAAATAGTTCTATGTGTTACATGGTGCCCATCCTTAACCAATAAAAATCTAAATCTTACACTCTTTCCCTAGCAAGCTACAAATCAGGCAGTTCAAAACAAGTAAGTAATTCACTTGAGTTTTTTACGTAGTTTCCTTTAAATAAAGGAACAAGACACATTATTGATGTGTGCTCTGGCCTCTAATTTGAATCTTTCTTCTGGCTTCTAGAGCTTGGTTCACTCTCATAAACCTGAGGGTTCCTCAGAAACTCATAAATTCCTAACTTCCTGATTATCATCTCATTGTTCTTGCTCTTGACAAGTCCCAGTCTTACTTCTAGGACCTTTTGCATTTAAAAAAACATTTAGTCTGAATATCAATAATCAGTTCCTGAATAAAATATTATCAAACAGAGTCCAAAAACACTTTAAAAGAAAACTATACCATGACCAAAGAGTATAGTTTTATTTCAAGAATAAAAGGATCCTTCAAAATCAGGAAATATATTAATGTAGAATACCTTGTTGCGGACTGAAAGTATTTATCTCCACAAAATTTATATGTGGAAGCTCTACCCACCTAGTGTCACTATATTTGTGTAAGGAAGTAATTAAGGTTTACAAGGGTGGGGCCCTGATCCAAGAAGATTAGGGTCCTTATAAGAAGAAACAGCACAAAGATCTCCCACTTTCACTCCCTGTACCCTCATGCTCACACCAGGGAAAGGTCATGTGTGGACGACCAGCCATCTGCAACCCAGGCAGAGAATCCTCAATCAGAGCCAAACCCTGCAGTACCTTGACTTGAGACTTCTAGACTCCAGAACTGTCCCAGCCTGTGGCATTTTGGTATTTTGTTATGGCAGCCTGAGCAGACTAATATATACATTATATTAATAAATCTATGAAGAAAAATATACCATCACCTTGATAGTCACTAAAATGGCATTTGAAAAATAATCAACAATTAGTTTTGGCCAAAAATGTTCAACATAATGGGAATCAGTGGAGATACAGCTCCACTAAATTTAGGAACAGAATACTAGAGTCATTTCTGCTAGAGTCAAGAATAATGAAACAATAACTGGTATCAATTTTTTATTTGAGATAATAGCTAGCATAAGTAGATAAGAAAAAGGAAATAGAAATACAAAAATCAGGAAGAGAAAGTAACAGAATCATTATTTTCAGATTATATAATTACACATCTGAAAATCCCAAGTAAATCCAACTGTATTAGTCCATTTTCACACTGCTGATAAAGACATACGTGAGACTGGGTACTTTATGAAGAAAATGAGATTTAATGGACTCACAGTTCCATGTGGCTGAGGAGGCCTCACAATCATGACAGAAGTCAAAAGGCATGTCTGACATGGCAGCAGGCAAGAAAGAATGCATGCCAAGTGAAAAGGGAAACCCCTTATAAAATCATCAGATCTCATGAGACTTACTCACTGCCATGAGAACAAAATGGGGGAAACTAACCCACCATGATTCAGTTATCTCCCATTGAGTCCCTTCCACAACACGTGGGAAGCTACAATTCCAAATGAGATTTAGGTGGGGACACAGCCAAACCATATTACCAACTGATAGACTATAATATATAATAAGAAAATTCAAGGCATTAGCTGAGATATGAGATTAACATACAGAAACAAGTAGTTTCCACATATGTGGATAAAAATTGCTCGGAGATATAATGGAAGAAAAGACAATATTTGCAATTTCAAAAATAAGACAATAATAAAATAAGATACCAAAGATCAAACATGAGAAGTGAAAAATGTAAATGGGGAAAATTTTAAAACAGTCCTGAAACACACACACCCACAGACACACACACACACACACACACACACACACACACACACATAGATGACCAGAACAAATGGAAAGTCTTGGCTGGCAAAATGCAGCATCATAAAATGTCTATTCTCTTAAAGTTCATTTAAAAGTTTAATGCAATTGATTAAAAGTAAAAATAAACTAATTTAAAAGTTCATATAGAAATATAAACAAGCAAACATAGGAAAACTCTATAAAAACAGGTCAGGCAGACACCTCTAAGTGAGGTTGCATGCTATAAAAATTCAAGAGAAAGGAACTGGTTGTATGAATATACAGACAGACTAAAAGCATTGAATAGAACATCTAAAAAAGACTCATATACACTTAAGAATTAAATATGTATTTTTAAAAGATGTTCTCTCACATGGATTAAGTGTAGACTTGTTAATAAATGATGCCAAGATAATGTGAAAGCCATCTAGAGAAAGATAAGAATTTTTTCTGTATTTTTTAATAATTTTGCAGGTGAACTTATACTTACCTCAAAATAAAAAGGTTTTCATCCTTGAAAGGTCAGAAAAAAATAAAAACTTTAAAAACCTATACAAAGATTTTATTTTCTCTTTTTAATAGGCAAAAATTCAAAAGTTTGATAAAATAGTGAATCATAGAAGTAAAGACATAGGCATTTGTTTGTATTACAAAATTTTACAGTTTATAAAGAGCAATTTGGCAATATTTAGCAAAATTTTAAAGTATCCTCTCTCTGATCCAACAATCCCACTTCTGGGAATTTGTTCTATAAACATCTCTACATATTAATACATATAAGATAACATACATAAAAAATATCCATCAGGACATTGTATATAACAGGAAAAGATTGGAAACACATAAAAGTCCATCAGTAGAAATCGTTAAATAAACTATGATAAGCTATGATACATGCTTTAGAAAACTATACAGCTGTAAACATATACACACAGACAGGGAGAGAGAATGACACACTTGGTGCATGAATATCAAAGATCTCTAGTACATATTTGTCTTAGTTATTTCTAGTTGCTATAACAAAATACCACAGACTGGATGGCTTAAACAAAAGAAATTTATTTCTCACAATGCTAGAAGCTGTGAAGTCTGAGATCAGGGTACCAATATAGTTTCTGATGAGGGCTCCCTTCCTGATTTGCAGATGGTTTGCATTCCTGCTGTGTTCTCACATGGCAGAGAAAGAGAGTGAGCGAGAGCGAGCGAGAGAGAGAGAGAGAGAGAGAGAGAAGAGAAAGCAAGTCCTCTCATGTCTTGAGAGAAAGCGAGAGAGAGAGAGAGAGAAAGAGAGAGAGAGCGCAAGCTCTCTCACATCTTTTTGTAAGGACACTAATACCCACATGACCTAATTACCTCCTAAAGGCCCCATCTCCAAATACCATCACATTGGGAATTTAGATATGAATTTTGAGGGAATACTGAAAAGAAATTCAGTCTATAGCAATGTTGTAAGTGAAAAAAAAAAAACAAAAAACAAAAGCAAAGTTCAAAACAATGTATGCAGTCAGATATCTTCTATATAACAAAGGGGGGAAATTGATTTAAAAAATACTTGTACTCACTTGTATTTACAGAAGTAAACACTGAAGGAATAAATGTGAAGCTAACCAATGTCACTTTCTGTCAGAGGACGGAGAGAAATGGGATGAATGAGGATGGAGTGGAAGTGAGAATTATTGATGTATACCTTTTTATGCCACTTTTATTTTTGAAATATATAAATGCATTAACTCCTTATAAAAATTAATTGAAAAGGAAATTATTGCTTCTAGGTTTCCTTATGCTTACCCCTCTGAGCAGCTGAATTCTATGGTTGAACCAAGGAGAAGATCTTTCTTAACTTCCACTATCCCATTGATTAATTCTCCTGGATTTCTGCATCGTTTCTCTAGGAGGAAAATTTAAATAACGACTCGTGATTCCAATTACTCACAAAATAGAACATTCGGGAAGAAAAAAAGTCTGGTTAATTAACTTTAACTCCTTCTTACAGATAGATCCAGAGATATTTTTCAATGCTTATTTCTTATTCTGGCTCATTAATGTTTTGCTTTGAGAAAAAAAATGTAAACATATATCTCATTTTTCTGACACATTTTAAGAAGAGAAAAAAAAAACTTCACTTAGTTTTAGTTGCTCAATTAGACCACTGTAATAATACAGGATGTGATTTATTGACCAGATGTCCATAAAAATGTATGCTCTAAAAAATATATGATCTTTGTTACAGGGAAACAGAAGGAAAAAGGAAACAGATGCTATGTTCTTACTGTTAGAAAAATAAGCCAGAGCATATTTCCAACTGACTTCTTTCAAATAGTATAGGTGATGTTAATTTTGAACTGTTTTGATCAAAGGGTTTCATATGAATTAAATAATTCATTAAGTTTCTAAAAGAACTGTTTGGGAAAAAAAGTAAAGGTGAGAAAAATAAATGTTGACACTTACTTGCACAAAAGATACTATAGGTCCATGAGCCTTTGGCACCACAAGTCAGTCGACTTGAATTGATTTTACCATATCCAGGGTGGCAGGTGTATTTCAGAATAGTTCCAGTTTTGAATTCAGTATCATACAACAGATTTATTGGAGAAGCAAATGGTAACTTGGGTGGAGGACCACAGTCACCTGCACACCAAAATGGCAAGGAACATCAACAGTTATATCTTGGGACACAGTAATCTCAATGTCTGAGTACTAAGTTTTCTGGAGCAGAGACCATGATTTTTCTCTTTCATCGTAAATCCTATTATCTCATTGTTCAATGAACACAGTAAGTGATAACAATATATGTTTGTTGAGTAATGATACTGACAACAGTAATGAGTGAAGGCAGAAAAATTTCATCCATCTTTGACTGTATAAGTGCTAATTTATTAGAAAGTGAATGAATAGACTTGCTTTTCATCATTCTATCAGATTGCCCACATCTCCCTGTCAGAATACAGGCATCTATGCCATTCCATATGACTCTACCTCCTGTCTTAGCAGAAAGACATTTTCTACTAATAATAGCGTTACGCAAGATTACTTGCCTCATTCAATGATAAGGAGGTATTTCATTTATGTCATTTTGGACCTTTTAGGTTTAGAATAGATGGCCTTTTAGAAGAGAAACATGTTTTCCAAAAGTATCACAAGGTGGAGAATCATTAAACCCTTGAAAAATAAAATCTTAATTCTACTTCCCTGGCAAGAAATAAAGTACTGAGTACTGAATGACCTGCCATAAGCTGCAGAATAATTATACCAATCCCCTCTGCATTCTAACTAAGCACACAGTGAGAGTGAATGACCAGGCTGGCAGATAATATGCACTTATTGCAAGTCATGATTGCTTCAGTGCTAAGTTGTTCAGAGTTTCCTGGAGAGAAAAATTCTAAAAGGGAGCATTAAGAGGGTCTATAAAACAGTATTTTCTTTTTTTTAGTTTATAGCATGTTCCCCAAATTCCAGGTGGTCAAATATATCCCATAATGTTAAAGATCTGTTAGACACCTCTTAAAATAGGGTGTGTGATGAACTCAGTTGCATGCTGGTAATCTGGCCTATCTCCCCACTACTCACCAAGAACGGTAGCCAACAAAACAGTGACCAACATCATTTGGAACATAGTTAGGTTGGAGACTTTCCACAGCGTACAGAAGAGCCAAGATGACATATCTCCTTTTCTATCGAGGGTGGTGCCCTCAAGGAGTGCAAGTGGAGATCTCTGGGCATGCATGATCTGATGCCTCTTCAGTGTTTTCCTGCTGAAAGAACTCAACTTAATAAACAGTCATTACATTCTTAACTGTCGTAAACTACTAGAAAGAATCAGATGGGAACCGTTTTCAAGGAGACTCTAATCAGATGTACAAGAAAAGGCATTAAGTGTTGGTAATAAAAGATGGTTTGTATCATCTGCTACAAGAGCATATTCAGGAGATCAGTAAATTCCAGAGATCTGGGTGGGCTCTACAGAGGTGGTAGATACTGCTGTGAAATTTGGGTGTTAAATGCAGGATATTTTATGACAATAGTAAAAATTGTGAGGCCCAGCCTCAAGGCAAGGAGGGCGCGCTTCACTGAGGTGTGAATTGTACGTACGGGCTTTTTATATACCAAAAGTATTTTTTGACTAGACCATTCAAAGCTCCCCAAACTATGTTGGAAATTTTTTTTTCCTCATTAAAATACAGGTCCTTAGGCTCTATTTTCATGTATGAGTCTTGTGTGTAATTTATGTATAAATGTGTGTAGTCACTGAAGCAGCACTCTAGCCCATCACCTTGGAGCATTGACTGTACACAGAGTGGTGAAGAAAAGTGAACTCCATTGTGGAGCAGCCTGGCCACTGCCAGCCCGACACTGCTGACGCTGTGTAAATGTGCACAATAAACCCCTGTCTTACCCCGAAAAAAAAAAAAGTTAAAATATTAAATGTGAAATTTAAATTTAAAATAGAAAGAGAAAAATGGATAATATAATGGAGGTAAGCTATCTATACCTACCTTTATTGTTTTAATATTTGTTAGAACATACATTAATTTATTTCAAATAATTTTTGAAAGAGATTTAAATAAAAGGATAAACTGAAGAACGGAAGCATACTTTAAATCTATGTGAAAATAAGTCAACATTACTCTTTTATATTAGTAAAGAATGGTAAGAAAGGAAAAATAAAGGGCCGGTATTATAAACCTCAACTGTTTCTTCTGTATACTCTTCAAGACTGAGACTTGGGGTGAATAACTCTATTTAAACATGTTAACAACATGAAAATATAAGCATATATAATTATCCATTCTTATCTACTCATAAAATGGCATGGAAGGTGACTTTTTGGATAGTGGGAATTTTAATTTTATTTATGAAATTAGTTCATTTGTGGGTGATGGAATAGAAGATCCTCAGCATCACTCCTCCCCATAAAGGTACAACTAGCAACTGTTAAAAGACAAGAACACCACCTTGAATTCACCAGAACCTGGGAAAAAAGAGGAGAAAGCCCCTACAACAAAACCACAACTGGTAACAGAAATGGTCATTTATAGACTGTGCCACCCTCTCCCCTAAGCTGGCATAACTGCCACTCACGGAGAATTTCCTGGTACCCACAGTTTCCAAGGTGGGAGGAGGGAACCGGAAGTGGACATTCAATCTCCCCACTGGTCTGGGAATTTTCGTGGGAAGCCCACAGCAGTCCTGTCCCACAGGAAGCACTGGGAACGCCAGGAGGGCTGAACCACCTGGGGTGAATTGAAGACAAGTGGGGGGAGAAGGGGTGCTTATCACAGGAACTGACATATGGATCTTGGTGTCTACTCTGCATTTCCATCAGTTGGGCATCACGCAGAGGAGACTGGACAGTGCCAAAGTGCTTCATGGGATACAATCCATGGGAAGGCCTGAGTCCCTGATCAGATTTCCCACACAGCCCGGATGCTTACATGGAACTTTCCCCTGACCTGGAAGCAACTGAAAGGTCAGTGATGAAGTTCTGGGGCTCTTTTAAGTCTTCCCCAGACCTGGAAACCACTGCAGGTTTGCGTTTAAGTTCCTGTGCGTAATATAAGTTCTTGTGCCCACACTAAGTCTTCCCTAGACTGGGAAACAATGAAAGGGCAACGATTTAGTTCCAGGGTAGTGTTCAAGTTCTGGTGCTCAATATAAGTCCTTCCCAGAATGGGAAGCAACGACAGGCCAGAAAATTAAGTTATAACGTTAAGCAGTAAAAGTCTAACATCACCAAAGAACACCTGCAAAAGCTGGAGAAGGTGGCCATCTCTTCAAATGCACCAGCATCAGTGTAAAGACACTGGATTGGAAAAAATCGTGGACAAAAACCAACAAAGCTCCAGTAATAGACCCTGAAGAATTAAACATCTGTGAACTGTCTGACAAATAATTAACAATAATCCTCTTTTAAAAGTCCAGGAAATCACAAAAATTATGGATAGAAATGGCTGGAAGCCATTATCCTCAGCAAACTAACACAGGAACAGAAAACCAAACACCACATGTTCTCACTTATAAGTGGGAGCTACACAATGAGAACACATGGACACAGGGAGGGGAACAATACACTGGGGGCTTTCAGCGGGCAAGGCAAGGGAGAGCATCAGGATAAGTAGCTAATGCATTCAGGGCTTAATACCTAGGTGATGGGTTGATAGGTGCAGCAAACCACCATGGCACACATTTAAATGTGTAACAAACCTGCATGTTCTGCACATGTAACCTAGGACTTAAAATAAAACTTTAAAAGACTTTTAAAATAAATAAATAGCATGAAATCAAAACAGGGTACTAGAGACAATTACTTAACTATGAAAGAAGAGAGTAAGAGAGGAACAAAGAAAGAAACACGCCACACACACACACACACAAAACCACGCACACAGAAAATAAGCAACAAAATAGTAATAGGATGTCTTTAGCTGTCAGTAATAATCTTGAGTGTGAATGGATTAAATTCTCCTACTGAAAGATCGAATGGCCGAATGGATTTTAGAAAACAAGACTCAGCTATATGCTGTCCTCAAGAAGCTCATTTCACCCATAAAGACATGCATACACTTAGTAGGAAAGGATGGAGAAAGAGAACCAATGCGAAAAATAACCCAAAAAAAGCAGGAGTAGATATACTTAGATCAAATAGACTTTAGGTCAAAAACAATTTTTTAAAAGAAGATCATTTTGTAATAAATGTAATGATAAAGAAATCAATATGGCAAGAAGATACAACAATTGTGTTTGTGTATGTATTTATGTACTTATATACCCACCAGACCAGAGTATCTTAATATATAAAGCAAATATTAATAGACTTAAAGAAAGAGATTTACTGCAATACAACAATACTAAAAGATTTCAACATCCCACTTTCAGCAATGAATAGATCATCCTGACAGTCAACCAACAAAGAAACTTTGGAGTTAAACTACACTCTATCAAAGGAACAAATTGACGTTTACAGAACATTTCATCTAACAGCTACAGAAACACATTTTCTCATGAGCACATGAAATATTCTCCAGGATAGACTCTGTGTTAGCCCATAAAACAAGTCACAATAAATTTTTAGAAATAAAAATTATATCAAGTACCTAAAACCAAAAAAGGCCGTAAGACACAAGCCCACTGCTAATACCATTCTAAATGGGGAAAAGTTGAAAGCCTTTCTTCTAAGATCTAGAAAAAATCAAAGATGCCCAGTTTTACCACTTTTATTCCACATAGTACTGGAAATCCTAGCCTGAGCAATTAGACAAGAAAAGGGGGGAAGAAAAGGCATTCAGGATGGAAAGGGAGAAGTCAAATTGTCCCTGTTTGTAGATGACACTATCCTATATTTAGAAAAACATAAACACTCTATCAAAAAACTGTTAGAATTGATAAATGAAGTCAGTAAAATTGCAATATTCAACATTAAAACAAAAAAGTTACTGATGTTTCTGTAAGCAAATAGAGACTGGCCAATGCCATAGTGCTCAGTCAACAGATAGAACCATACAGAAAAAGCAACTATAGAACAGACCATTTGTACCCTGGCCATATGCCCTTGACCTACTCTAGAGGTTACTGCAAATGGTCCCATAGGTGCCATTGGCTACCCATGTCTCTCTGCCTGAAGGTGATCCCCATCCTTGAAGCCTCCTTAGCCAGCCAACAGTGTGGATCCCTTGGGTCTGGGAGCCATTGCTACCTAGAGCAAAACTTCCCCAGCGAGAGAAGAGAATAGGCAGATAAATACCCAGGTCTTCATCCTGAGGAGAACAACTCAGAGCTGGGTTCTACATGCTCTCAAATGCTGCCAGCATGATTGAGTTCTGGTTGGCAATGCAATAACCCCCTCAACAATGTTTCCTCATGGGCTTTCCTCCCTTCCCCATCTTACTGGCCACTCACTCACAGTGTTTTTGGAACCACCTTCCAGGGAAACTAGTTGCTCACAAATTCTTGGATTGGGGAAATTCAAAAATAAACATTAAACCAAGAAATTCCTAGTAGCCCAATAGGTAATGGCTTTTAAGATCACGGATAGATACCTTCTATATTAAGTGAATGTCTTTATCTATTTTCTGTTGCTTATTGCAGAACACCTGAAACTGAGTAATTTATAAACAATTAATTAAAAAAAATTTACAATTATCAAGTCTGGGAAATTCAAGGTCATGGCTCAGCATCTGGTGAGGGCTTTCTTCTTGCTGGGGATTCTGCAGGATCCCAAGACAGGGCATTACCTGGTGAGGAAGCTGAGCATACTAACTCAGATCTCTCTTCTTCTTACAAAGCCACCAGTTCCACTTCTGTAATAACAGCTGCAGAACACATTCTTCTCATTAGCACATGAAATATTCATCCTTGAATGGTTTAATCCATGTATCAGGACAGAACCCTCATGAACCAGCCACCTCTTAAAACCCCAATTTTCAATAGTTCCACATTGGGGATTTACTTTCAACATGAGTTTGGAGGCGACAAACATTCATACTATAGCAGTGGGTTTCTCCAACAGCTCCATCTCCTCTGTTACATCTAAAGTTCAGTGGAAGTTTCAGTAAAAGCCTGCCATCACGCCATTTCCTTCACGAAATATGTTTGGGAAAACTAAGCCAAAAAGGCCAGTGTTCAAAAGGTCAGAGTTCTGTGTGCAGGGAAAGAAGGGTCAGCCAGAGGAGCTGGGATAAAAGTGAGAAAGAGACTGCACAGAAGCAAGAGTCAGAAAAAGGGATGTTTTAAAGGAATAAAAGTCCCTAGGGTAACCAGAGATATGAGGCAGTTTGATACGGGGTAACTCTTCATGTGTGGGGCAGTAGCTCAACCTGTTTTAATTTGGTATTAAGGAAATGGTGACCAAATCAAATAGAAGACTTGAGAATATGCAGAGGGCTGACATGTGAGCTTCATCTTCATCTGTCTTTCGAAGTTCCTTCTCTGGGGTTGGGATGAGGAGGTCAGACACAAAATGTAAACTTCCTTCATGGAAGGCAACAGTGGAGACGCAGCATGAGTGAAAGAGGAAACGTGAACAGGGGCTCAGGGGAAGGCGTGACTCCCCCAGATAGGGAGAACGCATGAGATTTGGGGGGTGTATTGACATTTAACCTCACCAGGGAGGACCTGAGTGCTATGCACACATGGAACTGTTGAGTAAAGACAGTCTGTCCAGGATAAGAACCCAAGTATGGCCAGACACGGTGTTTTACTCCTGTCTTCCCAGCACTTTGGGAGGCCAAGGTAGTCAGATCATTTGAGGTCAGGAGCTTGAGACCAGCCTGGTCAATGTGGTGAAACCCTGTTTCTACTAAAAATACAAAATTAGACAGGCATAGTGGCACAAACCTGTAATCCCAGCTACTTGGGAGGCTGAAGCGGGAGAATCATGTGAACCCCTGGAGGCAGAGGTTACAGTGAGCCAAGATCACATCACTGCACTCCAGCCTGTGCGACAGAGCAAGACTGTCTCAAAAAAAAAAAAAAAAAAAATCACTGCTAAGTACCTATTTTTTATGGCCTAAACAGCAAAACAAAAGTACTAACTTTACATTTTTAAGGATGTTTATTTCACAGAGTCCTAAATGACCACAAAGACAAAATAGTTTTTTATATGTATATTTTTAATTGAAAACAAAAGTATGCTTAGTGTCTCGAAAAGCAAAAACATGAGCCACACACAGGATGACTAATAATTTCACAATCTCAAAGCACTAAACTAGCAAATTGTCATTTCTAGATATTTATTATGATGAATATCAGTGCCAAATTGACAGTAGATTTGCTAACCTATCCGTATTGAATTGTAAGAGGCAAGCCAGCAAGGCACGTTTTTTCCTTCCTTTGAGAAAAATTACAGTTCTTTATCCAAAGTGGATTCTCTTTCCCTTTCTCTCTGTAGTTCTAGTTGTTTAATCTCCAGAGACAGCTTATATACCTCCAGGGCCATTTTCACATCCTCTGGGTTTGGAAGACACTGCATGAGATATTTGCCTGCGAGCACTTGTTCACAGCCTTCAGGGGTCTCCTAAAAGAGATATAAGTGGTGGGTGTGATTGAGAAGCTTCCCTCCTAATCATGAAGCAGGGTGAATCCTGACAGTGGAAGGACTACAGGATTGGACCAAGACCAACCTCAGACTAGGGGTGGAGGGTGGGGAAACAAGAAATCACTTGCATCCCACCACAGTCTTCCCCAGGGGAACATGGATCTGTTCTGAGACAGCTGTACAGAAGGCCTCCATGGTAACAGAGGCTGTTTTTGCTGACCATGGGGAAATGGAACAACAATATATTATATAGCTTAACAAAAGTTAAGTTAGGAATCAGTACTACCAGGTCTATGAAACCCTGCTCTGTAAGAGCTCAGTTTTTCCTGTTCTCAAGTGAGAACAGGAAAACGCACCAGGTATTTATGCCACATGGGAAATCCTAGAGGGAACAATATTTACCAAAGCTATAAGGAATTCCATGAAAAGAAAGCCAGCATCAATTGCTGGAGCTAATGACCAAAAAAAGGTCATTAATGAAAAAGGTTCACTGAGAGCCATATAGAAGTCGAGACCACTCCGAACTTACCAGAATGCTTCAAGACAAGAAGAGTTTCTTTGAGTGGGAGTGGCTCAAAAACGAATCCTGACAAGTCATATTTCACCATTGTTGAGTGGTACAGAGATGTGGGGGATGCCGCCATTTTTAAGGCTTGACAGCAAAGACCTTCCTTGAATTGTGCCACTTACCCATTCACACCTGGGTACCTCTGGGTACCAGGTTCTGTTCCCAGAGCAAGTGATAATCTGGGGACCAACCACACCATAGCCAGAATCGCATTGGATGGTGACATTTTCAGGCTCAACATACTGATTCTTATTCACAGACAATCTTCCATTCACTAATTCTGGTTTCAGACACAAAGCTGTAATGGAAACATATTTTTAAGAAATCTATAAATCTATGAAGAAGGACATGATAACAGTCTCAGATAATAAGAATGAACTGTACTTCGCTCTGCTAATGGTTCTATCTTTCCCTTCATTTGAAAACCATATTAACGTTTTATTGAGTCTGACTACCTATCAGACTTCTGCTAAGCACTTAAAGTTGCTATCATTTAAGTCTCCTGACAGCCCTGTGAAGTGAGCACTGTTACTATTCCCATTTTATCTAAGAGACAGCTGAGATACATTAAGACACTTGCTCAAGGTGATAACATTTTTATATGACAGGATATTTCTTTTTTTAATTTTAATTTCTGGGATACATGTATAGAACATGTGGGTTTCCTACATAGGTGTATATGTGCCATTGTGGTCTTCTGCACCCATTAACCCATCATCTACATTAGGTATTTGTCCTATGCTCTCCCTCCCCTAGCCCCCCCGCCCCCTAGCAGGCCCCGGTGTGTGATGTTCCACTCCCTGTGTCCATGTGTACTCATTGTTCAACTCTCACTTATGAGTGAGAACACGCAGTGTTTGGTTTTCTGTTCCTGTGTTAGTTTGCTGAGAATGGTGCTTTCCAGCTTCATCCATGTCCCTGCAAAGGCCACGAACTCATCCCATAAAAATGGCTGCATAGCATTCCATGGTGTACATGTGCCACATTTTCTTTATCCAGTCTATCATTGATGGGCATTTGGGTTGGTTCCAAATCTTTGCTATTGTGAGTAGTGCTGCAATAAACATACACGTGCATGTGTCTTTATAGTAGAATGATTTATAATCCTTTGTGTATATACCTAGTAATGGGACTGCTGGATCAAATGGTATTTCTGGTTCTAGATCCTTGAGGAATCGCTACACTATCTTCTACAATGGTTGAACTATACACTCCCACCAACAGTATAAAAGCATTCCTATTTCTCCACATCCTCTCCAGCATCTGTTGTTTCCATGACAGGATATTTCTAAAAGAAGGTATGTGATCCCAGAATCCCAGCTAAGGTAACTCTCACTCACAGTCATGATTGCTGCAAGATTCTAACTATAAAAATTTCCTTCTTGCCTATTATTCTCCTGTGTACAAAAGAGACAATGGTGGCAAATAAATACTGAAGTTGTTGACAGCAAAGTCACGCATGATGACAACACACTTCTATTCATGTAAAAATCAGACCTGATCTCAATTCCTTTTGTCCTCACAACTGCTGCAAACTAAGAGTTCCCCTTCACCCTCACACCAACACACACTATCTATAGCATAGCAGGTGGTGCCTGCCCTGCATGAGGCTCTGATGGAAATAATTGTCACTCATGATGTTTAGAATTTGCTCAGGGGAGCCTATATTCACACTAGAGCAAGTTTGCATGGAAACTTTGCCACAGGCCACAGGTACGCTAAGATAAAATGTGATGCTTTTAGAATGTTTCTGGAAATATACAAGAAACTGGATATGGCCTACCTCAAGAAGGCTGAATTTTGTGAATGGGAGAAAGAAGTGGAGGAGATGCCCTTTGTACTTTTTGTATTGGGTACCATTGGCATATATTGATTATTTAAAATAAATCAAATCAAGTGTTTTCATGTTGCCTCTGATAGGGAAGAAACTTAGATCTCAGTGCTCTCAGGACAGGTCCACCCACTTAGTCTTGGGCTGAAAAAGAAGCTGGAGTTACCTTTACATTGAGGGGCCGGAGGTGACCAGTGTGAGTCACGGCAGGAGAGTCTTACGGGTCCATCCAGAATGTAGCCTTCATCACATTCATATGTAAATTCATATTTGAGAGCACCGAATGCTGACGTAGCTCTTTTATAATGCCCATGGGCAATTCTAGGAGGAAAATTACAGTCTTGAGGGAGAGACAGAAAAGTGAGAGAGCGTTAGTTTGTAAAGTGTATAAATTAGCGCATTGCAGAATGTGTGTGGTTTGTAGGCTTCATTCTGTCCTTCCATCCTCTCTGCCCGTAAGGCACATAGCCAAACCCAGGCACTCGTGCTGCCCTCCTGTAAGCCTCAGGCAGAACAACCATAGAGAGGCTCCAGTTATAGTCCTTAGGTTTTTCTACATCTTATTGACAAGTTCACTCACCTTTCCACTGTTTAGGATCCATTTTGGCATGAAGTGGAATTCAGCCCTAAGTCACATTGTACTCATAATACATTTAGTCACTTTCAGGCTAAATGCAGAGATATGCATCTGTGAGAAACTGTAAGGATGTTATATTATCCACAATCTCTGAGTCATTGCTCCCCAATCGATACTGTCCATGCAGGCCCAGGAAGAAAATACTGCATTTTAAAACAGTATAGATAAAGCTCTTAGGAAAGATGAAAAAGGTGACCTGAACATTGAAATAGTCAAGAGGACATGGTACAGAGAACCTCTCTGAATGAGAACACTGTCAGGTCCACAAACATTGCATGAGAAAGTTAAATAAAGCAGAGCAGCAGAAATGCCAGACAAAGAACATCAGTGGACTATGGCGGTAATAACTACTACAAGAAGATACTCCTCCAAGCAGGGAAAAGGTGATGGCCCACAGTAAGTCAGATTGAAATACTGGGATTTCCATGTCAGATGGTGTAAGAAGGGATTAAATGACTCAGAGAAGCGAGCATGCTGGAGTGGACATTTGTGTACACTGGAAAACGCACCAGGTAGTTATGCCACATGGGAAGTCCTAGAGGGAATAACATTTACCAAAGCTAGAAGGCATTCCTCGAAAAGAGGAGAACCAGCAGCGGTGTAAGCCACCATGCCCGGCCCACTTTGCACACCGAGTGATGGTCTGACTGGAGGGCTCAGAGGCAACAGAAAGCTGCTGTTTGAAGAGGAAGAAGGAAGCAAGTTCAGAAAGGTAGGTTCAAATAGATTTCGACAGTTCTTGTTCTCAGATTAATACATATGGACCAGAAATAAGGGAAGAAAGAGAATAATACAAAGGAGCAAAAAGCAGTACTTGAAAAGTCCAGATTACCTATAGATGTGGTCTATTTTCACTGATTCAGAAAAGAGAAAACTGAGAAGGCCAAAAGACAGGGAACACGCATGAGGAAGCAGGAGAAAGCTGGATCCATTCCAAGAATCATGCACGGTACATTAATTCTTTTACCTAATTTTAAACCTTCTCTTAATATCTCCATCACATTGATATGAAGAAACTCCCAGAATAATATAATTATATGAACTCTTACTGTCGTCACATGATGGTGTTCGGGGACTCCATGTGCCATCTTGTTGGCATGTAGCTGAAATCCATGAAAACCAAGCGTTCTTATCACATGAATATGAAACCTCATCTCCATAGAAATAGTCACAGCCATTGGCAGAATGACGTTTTCGTTGTCTAGTGATTTGACCATTACTTAGCTTTGGTTCAGGGCAACATAACACTGAAAAATAAAATGTGAGGCGCGTGGTTAGTAAAATCACCATGAGGAAGCTTCTACAGCTAACAATCTCATTTCCATCTTTAGAAGATCTCACCACTAAAGAGAGATTGGGGAAACAGAAAAGGAGACTCGAGACATGCCAAGTCTGCTTTCTTGCCCCTGATTGCTAAAGTTTTCTAATCCAGTTGCTTCCCTCCAACTAAGCATTTCATTAGGAGCCTCCAAAATGAAAAGTTGTATTAAACCTGTATGAAGAACCAGGTGTGGTAGTTCATGCCTATAATCCCAGCACTTTGGGGGTTCAAGATGAGAGGATTGCTTGAGTCCAGGAGTTTGAGACCAGTCTGGGCAACATAGTGAGATGGTGTCTCTATTAAATAAATAAATAATTTTTAACCAATATGAAAAATTTTCAAAATTATTCAAGGGCAGTGACAAACAACATTCATCTACTTATGGCTTCATTATTAAACTCTCTATTAACTTACACTTCTCAAGTCACAGGGAAGAAGAAAGTTTTCAAAAGTTTATATCCACCTGATAGTTAATGCATATAAATAAATTTAAATTACTGCTTATTGCAAGGATTTTTCTTTTCTGCTGCAAAATTTAAGAAAAATAGCTATTGAAATGGCAGGATCTTGCTTTATCACTCAAGCTGGAGTACAGTGGTGCAATTATGGCTCACTACAGTCTCAAACTCCTGGCTCAAGCAATCCTCCCACTTCAGGCTCCTGAGTAGCTGGGGCTACAGGTTTGTGCCACCACTCTCACTAATTTTTTTTTACTTTTTGGTAGACAAGGGGTCTCACTATGTTATTCTGGCCTCAAGTGGTCCCCCCACCTTAGCCTCCCAAAGTGCTGGGGTCACAGATGTGAGCCACCACACCTGGACAAATTCTTTCATTTTTTAATAGAGTAAGAGCTGCTATAGGGATATAATTTTTTATTCATTAGTAGAAATACATTAAAAAACCTGATATTGTCTGATGTAAGAGAAAACATCAAAACAGAATAAAATGCTCTATTCTCCATGTCTGTAACTCAACCAGTATTAAAATGGGCTTTTTGGACATATTCAAATACTTCCAGTGCTCATTTGTTTAGAAATCATAATAAAAATACTCAGCAACCATATGGATTTAATATTGCAACAACAAATAATATTTATAAAAGGTTTACAGTGTAGAAGATTCTATTAAATATGTAAGTCATGAGTCTAAATTCACATTTGATCAGATTTCATAACTTGGATAAATATTATTTCACTTCTGCTTTTAAAATGGTTAAAAATATCCTTTATTAAATAATTAAATCACTAAGACTTATTGTCTTATTGTGGGTCAAATAAATATAACCGACTGGGTCCTGCTCTGTCATCTATGCTGGAGTGCAGTGGCATAATCTCAGCTCACCGCAGCCTTGGCCTCTTAGCTTCAAGTTATCTAAGCCTCAGCCTCCTGAGCAGCTGGGATTACAGGCATGTGTCACACCCAGCTAATTTTTTAAAAATTATTTGTAGAGACAAGAGTCTCACTATATTGCCCAGGCTGGTCTCAAATTCGTGGGCTCAAGCAATCCTCCTTCCTCAGCCTCCCAAAGTGTCGGGATTATAGGCATGAGCCACCCAGCCTAAATATAACTTTAAAAGTAGGTTTTTAAACATCTATAAGCAATACTTTTTGTTATTTAAGTAATGGCAGTAAGTTTTATTAAGCATATTTTTAATTCAGACCTTTTATTAAAATCTTTTATTCTATTTCCCCGAAATGAGTCTGAATAACTGCAATTAAACTTCGTTAAGTCTTAATATGAAATAAATAATTTTGTGACAGGTTGATCTAAACTACCACCTTTCATTATTTGTGTATTTCACACCTTGTTCAAATTCTGATAGGCGGCATAAAATTCTTTGTATTCTGAGCCTTAGTGTCTTCACCTCGAAAGCGGCAAGGATCTGATAGATGCATAGAACGAAGCATTTTCTCCCTCCCTTGTCTGTTCCACTGAGGCTCATAAAATAGCATCCACTTGTCCTTTAGTCCCTCACTTATTTTCACAAATAAAAGAGATGCCTCTCTTACCAGAGAAACTGGAGAAAGTCTCTTTCTATCCTTCTGAAGTGAGAACTGAGTCACGAGTCAGGATTTGTCTTCTAGAGGCACATCAGGAAGTCCTGCCATCTCATAGCTCAGGAGGCACGAGACACGCAAGTGACCTTGCAGCTGGTTAAGTTCGTGACTGCTTCCCAAACTGTTTTTTTGCTAAACACCCCAAAGTCCATACTGGGGAGGTAAGGGCTATGAAGGAAGCCTGACTCTAACAATAGCTGAGGTGAATTCTCTATTCTAGTTTTACCAGTAAGGAAACTAATACTTAATCTGCACAATGTTGACGTCTGTGTCTACTTCTCATTTGATTCTGAACTGGGATTAAGAAAGGTTACAATTTCCCAGTGCCTCAAACTGTAACATGTTTATGGTCACCTCCTGGCAATAACAGTTTACTAATCTGTTGAATTAATTTAATTCTAAATTTATTGTGAGGGATAAAATTATATTCATTTAGGGTAGAGTATCCTAGCATGTGCTGAACAAAAATATTTCAAAACAAAAACTCACCCTCACATCCTTGGAATGGGGTCCATCTCAAATTTTTCTGACAAGTCACAGTCGTAGGCGCATCTGTAGCAGGTTTGTAGCCGGGATGACAGCGGTATGTTAACACAGTCCCAACAACATGCACATCCTCTTTACTTGGCCTAGGAGAGCTTTCCCACGTAGCATGTGGAATCTCTGGTAAGCCAGTACAACTATCTACTCATGAAAGAAGAAGAAGAAGAATAACAAAAGGACACTATTACTAGGGCTGCCACAACAATCAATAAGCCTGTCCTGTCAAGGGGGGCATGTGTTCATTCAGCCTGGAACCAGCCTGCAAGGGCTGATGTATCAACCGCGTCAGAAAACATGGACATTTGCCCAAATGTGCACACCTACAGATAGGCTCTTTACTAAGGGCACTCCTAAGTGGTTTTCACGTGCTATGCCAAGTATAATAAAGTTGATTCTCCTTTCTCTTCATTACACTTCAGAGATTTTAGTTTCTGAATTGAAGCATGGCAGGAAAACTGTCACAAACAAATCTAACTATGTTTCCTGATTGACTGGGAAAAATAAACAGGAGTCGTTCCCCTCATCCAGATGATACTAGGAATGTCACCATTGAATGGCTTGGCAAGAAATAAACCAAGCTCCAAGCAGTTTTTGAGCTTTGGCCTTGGGTCTTGTCCTGTCTTTCTTTCCCAATGCTACTGATCCATATGATATGGAAATATAATGCAAATATCTACCATGTTGGGTGTTTATTACATCTTATCTTCAATCGACATGGAACATAAAAGTTCATTTTAACAGCTTTAGTGAGATATATGTCACAACAAATAAATTCACCTATTTAGAATGTGCAATTCAATGGTTTTTAGTATAATCACAGAGTTGAGCAACCATCACCACTAACTGATTTAGAATATTTTTATCAACCCAAGAAGAAAACTCATATTCATTATCAATCACTCTATTTCTAACTCCCCCTAGGTCCTGACAACCACGAATCTATTTTTTTCTTTATGGATTTGCCTATTCTGAGCATGTTAAATAAATAAAAATCACACAATACATGTACTTTTTGTGGCTGGCTTTAGATAGCATAATATTTTCAAGGTTCATCCATGTTGTATCATACATCAGTACTTTTTATTTTTCATTTTTATTGCCAAATGACATATTCTATTTTATGGCTAAACCACTTTTTGTTTATTCATTATTCAGTTGATGAGCATTTGGGTTGTTTGGCTATTATGAATAATATTACTATAAATCTTCATGTAAAAGTTTTGTGTGAGGACATGCGTTTTCATTTCTCTTGGGTAGATACCCAGGAGAGCAATTACTGAGTCACGTGGTAACTCCATGCTTAAACTTCAGAGGAACTGCAAAAATTCTTTTCCAAAATGGTTGCACCAATGTACATTTTTATTAGCAGTATATGAGAGTTCTAATTTTTCTACATCCTCATCAACATTTGTTATTGTCTATCTTTTTTATTATAGCCATTCTGCTGGAAGTGAAGTGGTATCTGATTGTTACTAGAGGACTATCCTTACAAGAAATACTAAAGGAAATAGTTCAGACTGAAAGCAAGTGACATCAGACAGTAATTCGAATCCACGAAGAAAAACAATAAGCATCAGCAGAGGTCATTATGTCAGTAATCTGAAACACAATATAATGTATATTACTACTTCTTCGTTCTCTTAGCTGATTTAAACAGTAATTGCATAAAACAATATGTATATAATTGCATTATTAAGCCTACTTCAATTAAAGTTCCTTGAAAGGGGCAGAGTGTTTATAGTCTTTGAAGCTTGATCTAAATCTGTCCTGGAAGAATCTCTGTTCTACAGATGAGGAGCTGGGGGAAACTCGTTCTTTTCCAGACACCCCACAAGAGTTCTTCCTATGGCGTACGAGCTGTGAGGAGAGAAAAGGGGGCAGTAGAACTGGTACTGCCACCCAGCTGTGCCCACCACCAAGTATACATATTCCACAGCCCAGAGCCAGGAAGAATAATATCTGCCAATAGTCACAGCTTGCAAACCTACCCATAATAGTTCTTCCATTCTAGGATGCTGGGAAAGATGGGAGATGCCACTTGGCTGCTGAGCCAACTGGAATAGTTCTCCTGCAACACAGAGCCATGCAAAAAGCGGGGACTGAATTCTTTGCCAGCTGCCCCACCTAGATCCTCCCCCATATAATGGGAGTTGGGGGGTGAAGGAACAGACACTGATGTCTGTTTGCTGCCACCTATTCAATATAAACCTTCTGCAGCATGGATCTTTGAAAAATGCTATCGCATAATTTTCACTGGCTGCCAAATCCACCCCAAATAACTTTTTCACTCCAGGGAGCTGGGGAAGATGGGAATTGCCACTCATGAGACCAAAGAAAACACCCTCCCACAAGGTAGAGCTCTTGCAGCCCCTAAGATCCAATGCAATGTCCTCCCATTGTTCATATCAAGTCTCCATATTTTTGCTGAATAAATGCTTCTCAGTTTGTTGTAATCCCTTTGATCAATCTCCAGAGATCTTGAATGTTTTTTTTTTTTTTTTTTTTTTTGGCTAATTTTGACCACCTTGGTGGATACTTCTTCAGGAGGTATCCCGAAACTCCTCCACCACTGTTCCAGAAATCCCCAGAAGTTCTTGACATTTCGTGAGGGCAAAACTTAGGGCACAAGGCATTAATGGCTTCCTTCCCTTACCAGTTGTATGATCTTGGGCAAGTTTTTTAACCTCTCTGAACAGTTTCTCATCTGCAACATAAGGATAATTATAGTGCCCACAATTTTGGGGAGGATTCATTGAGTTAATCCTTGTTATGCACCTAGTCTAGTGACAAGTTATTGTTACTATTGTCACTCTTTTTAACAATCCACAAGTTTGTAACTTCAGAGTGTTGGAATCATAACCAGTCCACACAATACTTTCGTGCAAGTTAGAAAATGGCATTTGTCCTCAGGACACATTACTATTTGCCCTCAGGACACATTACTATTTGTCTTTCAAAATAATTATAATAATATAATGATTTGCCAGGCCAGGCGCGGTGGCTCAAGCCTTTAATCCCAGCACTTTGGGAGGCCGAGGCAGGCGGATCACGAGGTCAAGAGATCGAGACCATCCTGGCCAACACGGTGAAACCCCGTCTCTACTAAAAATAAAAAAATTAGCTGGGCGTGGTGGCGTGCACCTGTAATCCCAGCTACTTGGGAGGCTGAGGTGGAAGAATTGCTTGAACCCAGGAGGCGGAGGTTGCAGTGAGCTGAGATTGTGCCACTGCACTCCAGCCTGGCACCTGGCGACAGAGTGAGACTCTGTCTCAAAAAAAAAAAAAGAAAATAATAATAATATAATGATTTTGTCAGAATAAGACAATTTTCTATCAAATTCCAGAAAATTGTTGAAATAAGCACACAAATCCACAATGTCTACAGTGTTAACACCTCCCTTCAAGGTTGGAGTGTGCACAGTCATGTGGTATGTGGCAGTCTTGTGTGATGATATATGACCTTGCAGAGTGTATTAAAATCATTCTTCTTTCCAACAAGAAAATAATAAATGAAATTATTGATCTAGATGTAAATTTTTACAGTAATTCATAGTGGACCTATGCATGCAAGTATACCCATATTAACAGTTCTGGGTACCTTTAGATGCTGAACACTGAAACTCCTTCACAGTCCATACTTACTGGGCTCACAAACAGGAGGAGAAGGATTCCATTTGTTACCAACTTCACAACGAATTACACTGCTGCCGTTGAGAACAAAACCCTTTTGGCAGTTAAACGCAATAGTGTCTTTGTAATTATAGATGGATCTAAATCCAGAGACAATATTCCCATGTGGAACATCTGGCTTGTGACAGGTGACTTCTAAAAAAACATGAGAAAAACCAGTGCATTTTAAAAGACAAATGGTAATAGGGACATTATTGCTAATGCTAATCCAGTCACAAGTGCTACACAAATACCTGATGAATGTGGATGTCAAGTAGATAGAAGGGAAACATTTTAAAGTGAATGCACACACACACACATATTTGTGTGTGTACACATATGTATATTACATATTATATATATGTACTCCTTTTAGTACTAGTTTTTCTTGGTGAGGAAGTTGAAGGAATAATCTACAATGACGTCACAGAAAGACCAATGTGATGAAAACTCATTTTACTGAGGCTTTTAAAAGCTGAAATCATTTATATTATGTTAATAATACACATATTATATATTTTATATATTATATAACATAGTATATAGTGTTATATAATACTATTATATATTATTCTATCTTTATGATATTTGCTATTACATATGTATGTGTGTGTGTGTGTATATATATATATATATATATATATATATATATGATAATTGTAATTTCAGCTTTTACAATGAATTTCCATTTCATTGGTCCTTCTGTGACTGAACTGCAGACAGTGGGCTCAGGTTGCTACCCCATAGGATGTGTTCTTCCAGGCCCTTGGTCCCTCACTCACCCAAGAATGGAGGAGACGACCCCGCCGGGTGTGGTGAGCTCGTTCAACTAAATATCAGAGCTCAAAGAGTTTTGCAGAAAGTGATTTATTTAGGCAGAGAGAGAAAAAGAAATAAAGAGAGAGAGAGAGCTCCCACACTGTTGTTTTGGGAGGGGATCCAGAGATGGAGTCCGCACTGAAAGGCGACTTTAAACGCGAGAGTTATTCCCGCCCTATTCAAGTTTTCTACCCTATGAAAGGAGTTCCTTTAAACTTCCGCTGGAGTGATTGACATTTGATTTCTGGGCAGTCTCTCTCCCTGTGCATGGTAAAGTTTAACAAAGACCTCTAATCTCCCTAATGGAGACATGAAAGAAGGCAAGCCCGCATGTCACTAGGAAGTTCCTGCCTTTGAAACCATGCCCCCTTGTGGGCCCAGGAAGAGAAGTTAATTACATTCCCTCACGTCTTTGAGATGATTGTAAATAACTCCTCCAACTTCCCTACCAATAAAAATCAGTCATACATAACCCAGCAGAAACATATTTCCAAGGCCCCCAAAACTTTCAATATAATGGCCTAATTTCCTAAATGATTTTGGTTATGGGTCAGTGGTCTGTGGTAATTATAGTGCAGAGGTAGCCAGGGACTCAGAGACCCATCCCCCAATAAGCAAAGAACAAACCGCCCCCATCCCACACCCCTGACCCCACATCTGGCAGTCATCCAGTCCTGTCAATTCTGCCATTTTAATTCCTCTGCAATCCCTTCACATCTCTCCAGCCCCACTGCCACGCTACCAGTGAAGCCACCTTCAGTTTTTGGCTGTAGGTTTGCACAGGTACTGTCTTAGTCTGTTCCTGCTGCTATAACAAAATGCTTCAGCTACGTAGTTTATAAATAATGGAAATGTATTTCTCACAGTTCTCGAGGCTGGGAAGTTCAAGATCTAGGCACCATCAGATTGAATGTCTGCTTGCTCTCTCCTTTCAAGATGGTGCCTTCTTGCTGCATCCTCACGTGAGGGAAGGAATGAATGCTCTGTCCTCACAAGGCAGAAAGGCAAAAGAGACTAGGGCTCTCCCTTCAATCTCTTTTATAAGGGCACTAATCCCATTCATGAGGGTGGATCTCTCGGGACTTAATCACTTCCCCAAAGCTTCTGCCTATTAAAAAGATCACATTGGGTCTTAGGTTCTAACATAAGTTTGAAGGGACACATTCAAGCCATAGCAGGTCCTTATCGGTTAAGTATTGTCCCACTTCAGGTTATTGTTTATCCCACAGCCAGAGTTATCTTTCTAAAATGCAGCACACTTATTCCCCTGGTTAAAGCCTTTCGAAGTCTCCCCTTCATGATTGTTCTGAGCTCCTGAGACTGAAACACAATGCCTTTCATAATCCGTCTCCTGCTAATTTTTCCAGCCTTAGCTATTGCCACTTCCATTTCTTGCAGATCTAACTCCAGGCATTTTGCACTGTTGGCAGTATCTCACTCTTCTGCGCCCCAGTCCGATTGTGTCCTGTGGTGGGTTAGTAAACAATACCGTGTAAACTTAACAGTAAAGTAAGATGCCTCAGACTAGCACACTAACTAACGTATCTTTTGACTCAATGATCACTTGTTTTGTCCTGCCGTTCTTCCGGTGCTTAGTAGGTTTTGCTCGCCCTACAGGCATGTGTGTTTTTCATCTTACAGATGCAAATTGTATTTTCAGTTCTGCTTCTTGAACAGACCAAGACTACACTCCCCGGTCCTCTGCGACTACTCTCTAGCTCTAGACAACAAGCTGTAATGGAAAGTGATATGTGGTCACTTCTAGGCCAAAGCTCTTAGCCGGGACATAATTGCCCTTTCTTTCTTCCTCTACTGAAGAGATTGGGAAAGCACATTTTGAAAGGGAGGTGCAATAAGATCAAAGCAACCTGGGCTGCTGAGCTGGTTGCTAAGCTAACACAGACTACAGCTGCCCTGGACAGTCTCCTAGACATGGAACAAACTCAGTATGAATGAGAATAAACTTTTACTTTACCAACCCGGTGAGATGTTGCTGCTATTTGTTCCCATACACCGTTAGCTCCCAGTTCACTATTCCCATTTTTATGGCTTTTATATTCTAATACAACATGCAATAAGTATCAGGTGGCTAAATAAATGATTGCATCAGAGCAATAGTTAGTTTCTCTTTGAATTGTTCCATTTAACCCCCAATAAATTCACCTTTCTCTTTTAAGCAAAAGAGAGCAAATACTTTGATGCAGAATTCATCGTTGTGACTTACTTTCACAGGTAGGAGGGCTTGGTCTCCAAACACCTTTTGTTTTATTCTCCACAGTGCAGGAAATGGAGGCTTGGCCCAAGAGTGAGAAGCGGGAGTCACAGCTGTAGGTGACAGAAGAGCCATATGTGTGGAATTCTGCTTCAGAGGTGTGCCTTCCATTTTTGATGTCTGGAGGGGGCTCACACTTGACAACTGAGATAAGTGAAGAGAAAGAAATACTCAGGGAAAGCATGGTGATAAATCAAAATTCATGCAAATTCTAATGAAAGGTACACATACTTGTAAAGATTCATAGGAACTTTATTACCTAACAAAGTTTAAATTGATAGTCAAGCCAGAAAATGTTTACTTACTTTCACATTGTGGGAGAGGATGACTCCAGTCAACTCCTCTATCTTGGAGCTCACAGTGACTAGTGGTTGACCCAATTAAGAAATATCTGAATAAGATAGATCAAAGACTTTAATGGAATTCCTCCTACCCTAAATTAAATTAAAGTGGTCTGAGTAAATAGAATTGTTACGCCATATTAAAATAAACAAATCATATTTTCTTGAATATCATCTTCCATTGAGCACTCCATTCAGTAAAATTTCATCACTGCAATGAGATATGTGCGCTTGTTCCTTTGTACCCTCATTGCTTAATCTGTTACTGAGAATCTACTAGGGATCAGGAATGCAGTTCATCCAGACCTCAAGCACAACAATCAAAGGCTCACTTGAGTGTGTTCAGTGGTTGTCTTTGGTGGAGAGTACCAACTAGAACTCTAAAGTAAATGTCACCTTCAGCAATCTAAGAGCCTGTGGAATTTATTGAACAATAACTTCAAGAAAAACATATCTCAACTACAACTACAATTACATATTTCTTTACTTTAAATTTTCTTTAAAATGTAGTTTTTCCAACCTAGCCAAGAGACTAACTACAAAGTATTGTTTCTGATTGTTTCGGTGGGAACACCTTAGTGTTCCAACAGCATCTTAGTTCTGAATCTTTTCACTTTTCCTCATGGGAGCCATATACAATAAGAAAAACAGAGGATAAAAATGAGAAAATCAACAAAAATGAAACAAACAAAAGATAAGAAAAAACTAATAGATACAGATATCACACAAAAGAGAATCAACATATGCTTTGTTGGATAACCTAAAGGAGGAATCCAAGTGGAACAAAATAGCTTTTTAAAAATTTATTTCGAGCCATGTATGATGGCTCACACCTGTAATACCAGTACTTTGGGAGGCTGAGGCAGGTGGATTCCTTGAGGCCAGGAGTTCAAGACCAGCCTGGCAAACATGGCAAAACCCCATCTCTACTAAAAATACAAAAATTAGCAGGGTGTGGTGGAACACACCTGTAGTCCCAGCTACTTGAGAGGCTGAGATGGGAGGATTGCTTGAACCCAGGAAGTTGAGGCTGCAGTATGTCATGATCAGGTCACCACACTCCAGCCTGGGCAATGGAGTGAAGCCTTACCTCAAAAAAATATTATTTCAAGTAAATGTTACTAAAATAAAATAATACTTCAATCTGCATATTAAAATTGCACATCACTTAGCAGCAAAAAAATAAAACCAAATGATTTCTATCAAAACAACTAAAAGTATTAGGTTTCAAAGATAAAGAATAGTATCTTTGGATAGGCAAGCAAAGATCAAGCCATATGAGAAGAAATTCAGATCAATAGCATCCACTAGCAAAAGACAGTGCAGCAGTTACTATAATGCATCCAAGAAAAGAAAGGATGAGACAAAGACCATATAAAGCTCCATTATCTTCTAGGTATCAATGCCTCAGATAGATTATCTGAACCTGCAATAACTCAAAGAATAATTTTCACTTGGAACTTTTTTTTTGGAAACCACCATAGGACAAATTATAGCCAACCAAGAGATGACAATGACAACTTTAGCCAAAACAAACAAAAATGGTAGCAAATATTGTACATGCAGATCTAAGACCAAAACAAATGTGAGTTTAAGTGTGACTGAAGGAAATATAAACGTTATATGCTCAGGCAGCATTGAAATAGTATAACTAACAAAAAATAGAGGTAGGGAAGAAAGGGTAAAATAAAGCAAACTCCCTTATTCCCTGATCATTTGCAAGATTGGGCATGAAAGTAACCACAGACACATGTGAATATTTCACATTAATGTTAAATACAAAATAAACACTAAGATAATACAAATGATGCAAATTTTCTGGTAGGGAAGAGAGAAAGGGTGAAGGGAGAGGAAAGAATACAGGCTAAGTTTGTTGTTGTTTATAACAAGGAACCAACTTAAACTATCTAAAGGTAAAGAGGAATGATAGTATTATATAAATTTAAATGTATATAGGTTACCACTAGAACCAAATTTGAACCTTCTTAAACACCACTATATATTCAAACATATATATTACAAAATATGACAAAACCATGTCTATAAGTATCATTCACATCAATATATGTAATTAGGCTTAAAATGCCTAATGCAAGAAAAACAGCTTTTATTTGAAGCAAAATTCAGCTCTATGTTACATACAGGAGACAAACCCAAGTGTTTTAGAAAGATTTTTTTTAAAAAAAAAAAAAAGGCAGGATAAAATTATACCAAACAAATGCAAATCAAAAGAAAAGCAAAGATAATAATTTTAATATCCCATAAGTTGGACATCAGAACCAAGACTATTAAATTACACAAAAATGGATACTTTACATGTTAAAGATTTTGATTTTCAGTGAAGAGCTACGAATCTTTGTGTACCAAAATATGTATGTGTCAGCAATTTTAATGAGACAGAAATACAGGCAACGTAAGAAAAATGATCAAAATATGTTACTAATTGTCACTAAATTATTTTATGATATTTAAAATAATTATAAAATTGTTAATTTACTTTAACTCCTATCTTCATGTTTAAGATCTATGAAGACAAGCATGATAAAAGATTCAAAACAACTTATCAAGAAAGTAGACCTGGCTGGGCACAGTGGCTCATGCCTGTGGTTCCAGCAGTTTGGAAGGCCGGAGAAAGAGAATCTATTGAGCCTAGGTGTTCTTGACCAGCCTGAGCAACATAGCAAGACCTCATCTCTACAAAAAATTAAAACTTTAGCCAGGCATCATGGCACATGCCTATAGACCCAGCTACTCAGAAGGCTGAGTCAGGAGGATTGCTTGAGCCAGGGCAGTCCAGCCTACAGTGAGCCAAGACTGCACCACTGCATTCCAGCCTGTGTGACAGAGGGAGACCTCGTCTCAAAAAAAGAAAGAAAATCTGATGTTTATATAGCAAACTCTATATACTACTAATAAAAAAAATCTTTCAAGTGCCTGTTGAAATATTAATAAAAATTAGTTGTATATCATGATGCACCCTAAAACCTCTGTAAATTTTAAAACATAGAAATAAGTAACATTTTTGGTTGATCTAGAAGTCTTTTTATTTCTTTTCTTTTTAAAGTATTTTTTATTCTTTAGAGATGGGTCTCGCTATGTTGCTCAAGCTGGTCTTGAACTCCTGGGCTCAAGTGATCCTCCCCACCTAGCCTCCCAAAGTGTGGGGGTTACAGGTGTGAGCCACTGTGCCTGGCCCAGTCAGTTTGGAAGTCTCCAATAGAGGAATGCTTCTACCATGAGACACAGCAAGAGTTCCAAAAATTAGAGTTGCCAGATTTAGCAAATAAAAATACAGTTAAATGTGAATACAAAAACAAATACAGTTAAATGTGAATTTAGCTTGAGGACAGGAAGGAATGGGTGAATGGAGTTAGGATGGAAGTGAGAATTCTCAATGTCTATCCTTTTACATCATTTAAAATTTTGAAGTTTATGAACACTTTATTTTTTTAATTAATTTAAAAAATTCGTTCATAGATTACCTCACACTCACCCTTCTGAACAGCTAAATTCTATTTGTGATCCAAAAGACAAATCTGTCTTAATATCCACTTGCCCATTAGGTAAATCTCCTGGGTTTCTGCATCGTTTGTCTGGGAGAAAAATTCAAATGATTATTAGTGATTCCAAGTACTCACAGATATGGCATTAGAAAAGAGGACTAGTCAGGTTCACTTCTGCTTCCAGAAACACCCAGAGATTTAAATTCAAACTTATTTCTAACCCTGACTCACCTAAAAATTAATACAAAATTTGATCTCATTTTTTTTTTCTGGTACATTTTATCAATAGAGAAAAATGCCCAGTTAAATCATTGAAGAAGTGGAACACGTGGTCCAGGATTTAATAAGCTGACCAGGGACTGGGGAGCTTTACTTCATTCTATGTCTATGGCATGTACTTAGAGCCTGGGCCACTCAAAAAATGCATGTCACAAAAGGAACAAAAAAGAGAAAGTATCAATTGTATACTCCTACTGTTGAAAAACATCACAGAATGCCTTCCCAACTGACAGTGAATCGTAACTTTTCTTCTAAACACAGCAAATATTTTGAGTGGGGTTCTTTTGAAAACGGCATTGCCACTTTCTAGCCACCTAACTTTTTATAATTTTTAAAAAGTGAATCCGGTTTTCAAAATACCGTAATGAAATTTGTGGTTCATTTCTTGAAAGAAGTGTTTGGTGGATTACTTCACAAAGAGTAGACTTCTGGCCAGGCCCAGGGGCTCATACCTGTAATCCCAGCACTTTGGGAGGATGAGGCGGGCAAATCACTTGAGATCAGGAGTTTGAGACCAGCCTGGCCAACATGGTGAAACCCCATATCTATTAAAAATGCAAAAATTAGCCAGGTGTGGTAGCATATGCCTGTAATCCCAGCTACTCAGGAGGCTGAGGCAAAAGAGTCACTTGAAACCAGGAGGCAGAGGTAGCAATGAGTCAAGATCCTGCTACTGCACTCCAGCCTGGGAGACAGAGCTAGACTCCATCTCAAAAAAAAAAAAAAAAAAACTTATTTTTCAATGCAATTAACTACCCCTAATTTTTCTGCTTTGCTTTGTTTTTCAAAAAATGCCACAAGTGTGTACACTGAAATCGGTAACTGACAAACTTGTTTCTTGGTAACTAAAGATTCCAAAAATGTCTCTTCTGAGACAACTTTCCAAAGATAGGAAAAGCACAAATGAAAAACATAGCTGTTGATACTTACGGGTACAGAAAGTAATATATGTCCATTGGCCATCAGAATTACAGGTAAGCATATGATTTGAACTGGACTTGGCGTAGCCAGGGCGGCAGGTGTATTTCAGACTAGTTCCAGTTTCGAACTGCGTCTCAGCCAAAGTAGTATCCACTGGGACAGCAAACGATAAAGTCGGTGGAGGACCGCAGTTGCCTGGACATCGAAATGACAAGGAGCACCCAAAATTATATCTTGGGACACAGCATCTTAATGTTTCTGTAGTGTGATATTTAGAGCAGGGATCATTCTTTTCATCTCTAGTCAAGAAAAACCGGAACTCCTATTACACTCTCTGTTCAATACACCTAGTGAGTGATCAGTAATATATACTTGTTCATAAATGATGAGAATGGTAACAATAAACAATAATGATAAAAGGCAGAATTTGTATCCCTTCTCTACTACATATGAGATAATTTATCTGAAAAAGAAGAAAGACATGAACTTTACCAACCTATTAGATTCGCCATATCTGCTGACTCAAATGCATCTGTGCAAAGTCAGAAGTCCCTCCAAGTTTGCCTCAACAGAAACATATTATTTTATTTAAAAAAAAAAAAATGCTTGGTTTTCTCAGGGAAGGAAAACAGGATGTCTGGGAAATGGGCAAGAATAATATTTTTAATTTTTTTTATACATGCCTGATTTTCAATGATATGGGGGAAGTAGTATGGAGGCCTTGAAGCATAAAAATCTTAAGTTTGCTTTCCTTGCAAGAATTAAATGTCAGGCTGACTTACTTTTTAAGTTCCCCCTGAATAAACCCACAAGCAGTGAAACTGTTCAGTCAGAGTGATAGATAATATGGATCTGTTTCAAGTTATGGTTGGGAGACAGATTGTTTTGGAAATTCCTGGAGAAATAAAAATCTACGGGAAACTTCCTAGAACACTATTTCCTTTATGTGTAAAGCAAATTTCCCTAAATTCTAGCCTGTCAAATAAACCAGTTGTTTGATGAAGCTGGGTCTCTGCTAGAAGCTCAGTCATCACTTTTTTTTTAGGCTTAAAAGTGAATGCACAGATGATCTTGTTTGTTGCCCATCTGAGCTTGTTTCCCATTACTCACCAAGAACAGCAGGCAACAGAGCAGTGACCAAGGTCATTTGGAAGAGAATGGGATCAGAGACTTCCCAAAGCCTGAAGAAGGGCCAGGCTGCCATTTTCCCTTTTCTGTGAGGAGTCCCAGGTGGAGTTCTTGAGGAGCGCATGGCCTGCTGCTTCACTGATGCTTTTCTGCTGAAAGAACTCAATTTAATAAATAGTCATTGAATTCCCACTTGTCATAAAGCACTAGGATAAATGTTATGGGATCCATGTCTTCAAGGAAATAACAGCCTGGAGTGGAAAAACAAAACAAAGCAAAACCCTGAACACAAATGATACAGCACAAGACAGTAAGGATTGGCCTCTGGAGAAGCTCTGTGCTCCGAAGAGAGATTGATTCTAGCTGGAGGGAGGGAGTGGGCTTTGCAGAGGAGACTGCATATGCACTAAGTATACTGAAGAAGTCAGAGAATGGATGCAGGACGTGTTGGGAGAACAGTAGATAATACTACGATTTGGCTGGTGAGTGTCTAAGATGGGGAAGGGACAGTTTACAGATGTGTCTGAATGGGATGGAAAGGCCAAATATAGGAAATTCATAGATTTTACTCCTTGGGGAATAAAAAGCTCTTGTTTTTTGTTTGGGATTTTATTTTTGATTTGAGTGTCTGCTTTTAAGCTGAGGAGTGACACAATTATTATGCTTTAAAATCATTATGGCAGATGTGCACAAGATAGATTGAAGGGATTAGAGGAAAGAAACAGGGAGGCTGAGTGAGAAGGCTTGCCACTGGCCAGATGATCTGAACAAAGAAATGGCAGAGCAGTTAGAGGAAAGGTACAAACATCAAACAAAACAAAAAGGCAGGAAAATGATGGGATAGAAAGAGTTGAGTCGCTGTATGTAAGCATTGGGAGTTCCTTGTGAGAACTATTGACAAAGGCAATAAACCATCAAGCAGTTTGCAGTTTTGAAAAATGATTATACACACATATCTATCTATCTATATATATGAAAAACATACATGGCAAGTGCACTTTTATTTTTAAATCAGACTACGTAAAGACTTGTTTAAAGCAAAGTTAGTAAGGACATTTTTATTCTTCACCACCACTTCCCATTCCCTTTGGAGAACCCAATATATCCTATGTTTACATTGAAAATAGTCCCTTTCCTTCGGGTAGATACTCAATAGTGGGAATGCTGGATTAAAGGGGAGTTTTATTGTTAGTTTTCTGAGAAATGTCTATACTGTAAATCTATAAAAATAAAAAATAAATAGTCCTTGTCTTCAAAGGAATATATGAAGTTAACCAAATTCACTCCCATAAAATAGTGAATTTCATTCTTTACTTTGACATCTCTGTTAGATCTAGATGACTGGACACTCTCATGTATCCATAATTCATACAAAGCCCATATGCATTTAGGTAACAGGAGTCCCTTCAATATTTCTCCCCAAAATGTTTCAGTCCTGCATAATGTAGGACTGTAATGTAATGTAATATAATGTACATCTAAGATAATGGTCGACCCCTCAACATAATGCTGGTCTCAGTAATATGGGACAGTCTCACATAAAGTTGGACTGAAACATCTTGGAGAGAAATTGTGTGGCTGAAGGGAAGTTTATAGTGCCCTTCATACTTTGTGGGGTCCAAGTTCTTCACTGAGTAAAGACCCACATAAGCTTCTTATCTTTCTAAAACTCAGTTCTGATGATGCCATCCTCCCTCCTGTTGTCACCTGTCACACACACCCTGTCCCCTGAGCTCTATACACACCCATTGGGACAATTCTGTCAATACATAAATTTGCCTAATGAGCAATTTACCAGTTGTAGTCACTTACTGGAAATGTGTTCACAGACTTTGTACTGAATGAATCCAGGTGGGAGGATTGGGAGATTGGGAGCAGCCAGGGCCAATATTCTAGGCCTTCATGCTTACCCTTTCTACTCAGATTCCCCCTCTCTTTTCCCAGCATCCTCCTGCCTAACTCTATGCTCCTCTCTGCCCCCGCAGTCTTGTGAAGCTGGAGACAGCTGAGAGCCAGGCAGGTTGCTTATGATAAAAACTCATGCTCATTCATCATCTGTGAAATGTATAAAATATTATAAATTTCTCTCACCCCATAAGATATGTTAAGTATGAAAATTATGGGAAAAACTTTCTTCAATTTTTGACAATTAGTAGATTTGTTATGTTTATTGAATTTCAGTGAAGTTGAAGAAAGAGATACCGGTAAGTTGGCAAAATAGAATTTGACTATGAAAAATCAAAAGGATAAGAGTATAAAGTGGAAATTTCCTATAGGAATTGTTGCAGTTGTTATTACATTTGCAGGAAAAAGATATATGTTGAATATATTCAGAAAAAGATTCATGACTATAATTATAAATATAACACTATAAGATTAAATCATTAGTTTCAAGAAATTGAACAAAAATGACTTAAATACTGCTAAAATATATATTCATTAGCTACGTTCAAAAATAATATATTTGTACTCATTGAATATTCAAAATGAATATTTCTTTTTTTCTTTTTCCTTTCTAAAATTGTAATAGAGCTGTGGCCCTACTATGTTGCCCAGACTGGTCTCAAACTCCTGGCCTCAAGCAATCTTCCAGTCTCAGCCTCCCAAAGTTGTGGGATTCCAGGTATGAGCTATCGTGCCTGGCCCAAAATGAGTATTTTTCTTTCTTTCTCTCTTTCTCTCTCTCTTTCTTTCTTTCTTTCTTTCTTTCTTTCTTTCTTTTTTTTTTTTGAGACAGAGTCTCACTCTGTCGCCCAGGCTGGAGTACAATGGCACAATCTCAGCTCACTGCAACCTCTGCCTGCCGGGCTCAAGTGATTCTCCTATCTCAGACTCCCGAGTAGTGGGATTACAGGGATGTGCCACTGCGCCTGGCTAATTTTTGTATTTTTAGTAGAGTCAGGGTTTTGCCATGTTAGCCAGGCTGGTCTTGAACTCCTGACCTCAGGTGATCCACCTGCCTCCCAAAGTGCTGGAATTACAGGTGTGAATTACAGTGCTGGAATCTCCAGCTGTCCTGGACAACCAGAATTCCTTACCATTCCCACTACTTTCCTACCTCCCATTCCTCTCCACGTCACTACCCACTCTCTTTTACCTCTTTAATTCCTAGTCATTCTGCCAGCCCCTTCTCCAGCATTCCCATCTATCCAGGCAAGCCTCCACGTGCCAAATACAATTTAGTATTTATAACTCTGATTCAGACTTGGTTTGTAACTCATGTCTAAAGTCTGTCTTCACCACTAAACAACAAGATCCTTGAAATTACAGAGTATGCTCCCATTTATTTCTACCCCACAATAGTACCTGCCACTGTGCCTCAGGAAGTTAAAATGCTCAAATAAGTGTGTCGAATTTAAATTCAAAAGCTCCTGGTGATAAACTATGTTCCAAAGAAAAGTAATACTGTGCCATATCCATGTCTCCCCTTGTAGTGTATGCTTTGTTATGGACTGATTTTACCTGATTTTAAAGCAAGGCACACATCTGTATTTTAATGAAAACTGGCCCAGGCAATTTTATACTAGGCTCTTCCATTCTTAACCTGAAGTCATCATATCATCAACTAGTCCAGGGAGGACAGTGAAGGAGGGAAAGAGTAAGCAGAAACTGCTTCTACTCCTTATGACAGAAGGTACAGACATATGCAGATCCTACACTGTGATGAGAAAGTTATTTCACTCCCTTTACTTCAGCCTCACACCTAGACCATGGCCACAGAGCTGGGGACAAGGGGAGGACAATGTGGTCAAGACCTTGGGCACGGGCTCTGAAGTCACACCCAGACTGTGAGTTGGAATCCTGGTTCCACCACATGGGAACTGAGTCCCACGGGCAAAACACTCAGCTCCTCTAAGCCTCAGTTTCCTTTTTGGTAAAATGAGGATAACTGTAATTGTGTCTCGGAACTGCTGAGAGGGGCTTGGCATGGTGCGTGGATAGCATGTAATAAACATTCAGAAGAAACGTTAGGGAGGAGTTTGATAGAATTGGCACTGGAATGTCACTCTGTCAGAAGCCGAACTCATACATGTCAAAACATTGTCGTCATAAAGGTTTAAAACTGCGATAATGATTGCATCACCAAGGGACCTTAATTACAACCCAGTGCAGAGGAACATCCACTGAACTTCTGGCTGGAAGCCCTGGGTCTGGTCTCCACTGTGGCCTTTGGTACAGTGAGATCCAATGTGTCACGCAGAGCAGAGGGATGCTGGCGCCCCTGGGTTGTCCTGGAGCTCTGTCTTCCCTTGCCCTCAACTGTCTTCCTGGAAGGAATTCATCCATGTCCATGACTTTAATCATCATACATGAATCATCCACAGACCTCTGGGCCTAATTGTCTCTGGTACATGTAAAAAGTTCCATGCTCCATAAATTCAATTGTTAATAATTATTTTATTCTGTCCTATTCCTTCCTCTGTGTAAGTTCTGAGCTATTCAGGTTTGTCTTCTCTGCTCTGGTTGCTAACTAGTTAAATTCTGGTGCTCAATTTAGGTCTTTCTAAAGGCAGTGAAAGAAATCTCTGCAAAATAAGGAGGAACTCTTTTATCTGCCTCTGCAGCTGCAAAAAAGCACATGATAATCTGCGTGACAAAACTGACCTTGCAAATGTTTTTTCTAACAAGGGAGTCATTCCTGGATTTTGGAGGTGGTTGCCACATGAAAGTAACTTCTAAACTTAGAAAAGCGTAATTCTGACTTGTTATCTCAGTGAATTTTTTTTTCTGGGATAATATTTAAATGAACATTTCTGTTTGCTGAAAGTTGTAAGTGCTTGTGAATTTTCCTTGCCAAATCCAGAAATAATTTTTATACTTTCCTCTTTACCTGCAAACTTGAAAGTAAACTAAAACTTTTGACTCTGTTAGATTTCTCATTTAAGCAAAAAAAAAAAAATTTTTTTCTAATTTAAGTTAAAATTCCCAAGGCTCAAATCAGTATTTCCAATCACTTCATTTGTATTTCAGGAACCTTGAATTTAACATATTTCAAACTAAATTCACTATCTTTCTCCAACACTATTTGACCTCTGTGCTTTCTGTCTCAGTGAAGGTACAAATCTCTACCCAGCCTCTCAGATTAGAAATCCAAGTCCTTCTGCCTCCTCTGTCTCACCTTCCTGCCCTATTCAGAGGCAAGTCCCATCAAGTTGGTCTTAGCAGCAGCGCCAGAACCTGCCACTCTCTCCTGCTTCCACTTTCACAGTCCAGGCTTAGGTTCTCACAATCCCCTTCCCCTCACCCTAGACCACTGCAAAAGCCTTCAAACATTTTATAAGACAGCTTCCATGTTGATGCCATTATGCCCCTAAGAAGCAGTTTACAGGTTACTCTGCTTAAAAACTTTCATGGTTCCCAGTTTCCTTAGGTTCCCATATCTGTCCCAATTTTCCCATCATTTCTCACTTAGAACACCGTGCTTCCATCTCAAGAAGGCACTTACCCTTCCCCAAAGACATTCTGGATTTTTTTTTTTTTTTTTTTTTTTGAGACAGAGTCTGACTCTGTCACCGAGGCTGGAGTGCAGTGGTGCAATCATGGCTCACTACATACACAACCTCCTGGGCTCCAGGAATACTCCCACCTCAACCTTCCCAGTAGCTGGGACCATAAGAGCATGCCACCACATCCAGCTAACATTTTAATTTTTTGTAAAGACGGGGGTCTCACTATGTTGCCCAAGCTGGTCTTGAACTCCTGGCCTCAAGTGAACCTCCTACCTCAGCCTCCCAAAGTGCTGAAATTATAGGCATGAGCCACCACACACAGCCAAGATTTAAAAAAAAAAAAAAAGCCTGCAAGCATTTACAGATGTCTCCCATGCATGAACGCTCTTACCTCCAACTTATTATTCCTTTATTCACTATTCAAATCAAATGTCACCTCCTTGGTGAAGCATTGCCTGACTTCATTATGAAATGCCAGTGTTTTCTGTTCTTCCAGTACTTGGCTAATACCTTAATTGTAACATTGCTTTGTATCATAACTATCGATTTCCTTTTGCCTCCAAAAATACATTGTGAATTCCTTCAAGAGAAGAAAGGTGTTTGTTTATTCAACTTTCCATCTCTAATCTGGTATTGTAATTGGTCTCTAATAGTTATCCAATAAATCTAAAATGAATGAAACTCAATTTAATTTTATCTTTAGAGGGAGAATGACTGTCTCACTGTCGACCAAATGAAATAATGTGTGTGAAATGCTTTGCCAGTTTTGAAGAGAGATCATACAGTGACTAGACTTCCCTAACAAACCGACAGGATGCATCCTAACTCCCCTCCAATTGTGGCATTTGCAGTTCACCATTAGTACCCCTGGTGGTCTCTCAGCAAAAACCAGCTGGCCACAGAGTATGGGAGTGGAGGCTGGAACCTGTGAGTTGAGAAGACCGAAGTGTGAGTTTCAGCAATACCACAGTCTAAATCTGTGATCTTGAAGAAGCTGTATCAGCTTCTTGGATATCAGTTTCCTCCATCTCTAAAAATGATGGCATTAAACCTAGATGAACAAATTCTGCAATTCTGTAACTGCTCACTTAAAAGCTGAGACTACTCCAGCAAACACTCTCATACTTCAAGGACATCATCTTTTAAATTCCTACAAAAATAGAACCAACTCAAGAACTTCAGTCAGCATGGCCGGTCCGTTGTGAAAAATACTATCAGCATTTAGCAATGCAGTACAATTTGAGAGACAATGGAAAAATCTTTAGTCCTCAAATTTCCCCTTCCATGAGAAGTTACTTTTTAAGTTAAGACATTTATTTTGTCTAACTTTCCCCTTTTAAAATGAAATACCTTGTGAAAGGATAATATTTTTCTCCAGTCTTGGGCTGAGTGTCTTCTTCCTTATACCTGGGCTCTCAATCATATCACTTACAAACTTCAGAAAGAACTTGCTTCCACTTTGCCCTCCCTGCCTAGAATCTCTTTATTTTCCTATCAGCTCCTTTATTCTATGCTCATACTACATTCAAATATATCTCTAAGCTTAACACCAACTTTCTTTGACGCTTCCACCTTTTCTGTGGTCTACTCTTTATTCTCTTGTTGCTACCATATTTAGAGACAGAATAGGAATCAGCAAAGAGACAATGGTTGAAGAATTGAAATGAGGACCAGAATAGTACTGTATCCTGGTCAACCAAGAAAGAAGAGAATTTCGAGAAGGAAGGGTTATCAGCATCATCAAATTTAAAAAGTAGAGAAGAAGGTAAGGATGACTAAGACTGCTAGCTTCAGAGACCAACTGGAGGCTGGCCAGTGTCTTCCTTATTACCAAATCTGAAAGTCTTTCCTGTCAATGGTGGAGGAGATTTGGAGTGGTTAATCAAATCTCAAAAAAAAAAAAAAAAAATGCCCCAGTTTTCAGAATGTAGACTATGAAAAGCAGGCTTCCTGTGAACCCTTTGGAAAGTCTGGTTGACCCCTTGCCTCAACTCCCTGATGTGGGAAGATGGCGGAAGATCAACAAACCAACACACCTGTCTTTTAGAAACGGTAACAAAGCAATACCTTACACCTCTTCTTTAGCATATTTTACTAGAATGCAATATTATTCCTCCATTTATAATTTTAAAAAATTGAGGCTCAAATGGAGTTTAAAGTACTTTTCAAGTCATACATCCTCCTAATACAGTGCTTCTGAAAAGATTTCTGCTGAAAACTCCTCCAAGATTTTGTCTCTGTTTTATTCTACTAATTCTGCACTCCTTAAAGGGCCAAACCACCAACATTTCCCCCAAGCTACCTCAAGGGTTTAGTAGTCCACTGACCTTTGGTAGTTGAGGAAGAGCAGAAGATTCTATGATGATATCTTGGATAGTTTCTCAAAGAAGAAAATTGCCTTGGTCTATGCAGTCCTGGTTCCTCCCCAGATCAGAGTTTATCATACCCTGAAATTGACTGGTAATTGCTCCACCAAAAAGTCCCTGAATTTCAGTCATGCAGTTGGCTGGTCAGGGATGGCTAGATGGAAACAGATGGGGAGAAACTTTTGATGGGTCCAATGAATGATTAACACAGGAATAAAGCAGGACTGTTTACCAAAGCTCCTTCCTCTTCACTAGTCCTCATTCTTCATAACATGTTGCAATCGTTTACCTTCTCCTCTGCCAACCATTTCCCCTAAGTGGAAAGGTAATTTAAATTTGAAGCCAGAATTCTTTTTTCTTTTCATAAACATGGGAGAGTTATGCAAGACACAATCCAGCTTTGCCTGGAAACCTTAGATACTGCGAGGTTCAGACAGGCTCCACAAAAATGATCCTCTTTCAATGACACTGGGTATGCTTTCCTGGAGTTTGGGAGCCGATGTTCTTGTCCAGAGCTCATCTCTATCCCACTCCAAGGAATTTCAAAAGGTGGGGAATTTATCAAACATGTACTGGGTTTCCACTAGGTGCTGAGTTATCTAGAACGTATTCAGAGTTCAGCAAATGTTAACTCTTACTACATGTCAGGCACCAGAGGGCCTCCGGAAGTTGATCTGTCCATTGTTGCTCAGAAGAACACAATGAAGGATTGGCCATGTTTCTTATCACATAGACCTAAAAAGACCACAAGCACTGACATTGCCCAATTAAGCTACTAATCCTCAAGCTTAAGATTTGTGTGCTCAGAAGATTGTTGTTAAAAGACCATTCTTTCTGAGAACTTCATTTTTTCTGTAATAAATACTAAAAGTCCCAGAGGAGTTTCAGAAAAGGAGCTAAACTACAACAGATTGAATTAATCAAGGAAGGTGTTACAGAAGATGTGAGACTTGAATAAAAGGTATAAATTATTAGATAAAGTGATAAGGACATTAGATGTGAAGAAACCATTTGCTAGTCACCAAGGTGAGACACTGATTTGACGAGAATGAACAGAGGAGGATTCCAGATTGCACAGTCTTAAGAGCTAAATTGGAAGAAATGTCACCTTGAAAGCTGGTGTTTCTTTAAAGTACTGTTTCCCAATGTGTTGAAGTCTTTCATTTACTTTCCACCGTGATTCTTCCAGATTTTTCTCTCCAGGTCACCAAATTGTCACATTCCCTCTCAGCAGCTGCTCTTACCTCCTACTTTACTAAATATCATTCTACCTTAGCTTCATCAACGTCAAATTTTCCCTCCTATTCACTCCTCATCGAGAGGAGAATTGTTTCTTCTTTGCCTGCCTCATTTTCAATGCATCTCTTATCCTGAAATGTTGCTGCAATGTTGCCAGCACCTCAAATTCCATCTTTCTTCTTTAGCATGATGCTGAACTCCTCAAAGGTGTAGCCTATTCCAGCTGCCTGTTCTTTCTCATTCATCACTCCGCCTGTTGCTTTTCCATCTGGCTTCTACCCACTCTTCCGTGACAGGTCTCTCTGAGGCATGCCCTTAGGTCCAAGTCCAAAATATCTTTAATTAGTTTCTTTATGATCTGTCTGCAGCCTTTGTTACTGCTGACCATTTCCCCTTTGAAACTCTCTTGGCCTTTGGCTTCCATAGCACTAAACTTTCCTGATTCCCTTAACTAATTTCTCTTTCTTAGTTATTGTTACCTCCTCTTTCTCCTCCTCATTCCTAAATACAGATGTATCTCAGGCTCCTCTTTAAAAAAAAAAAAAAATCCCTTTGTAATTTTAATGATCTTGCTTTCTGTCACAGCTTGAACTATCACCAGTAAGAAGACTAGCTGGCACGACATTTTTATTTCTGATTACTCTCCCGAACTCAAGACTTGCTTTCTGCTTTTTTTTTTTTTTTTTTTTTTTTTTATTGCCCACTGGACATCTTGCAATCACATCACCCTCAGCACATCCAAAGAGGAATTTCTCATTTCCTGCTAACAAGCATCACTTTCTGACCCCAACTTGTTTTTGGCCTCTAGTTCTCAGGAATAAAATTTCAGATTCACTTTTTAACTCCTCATTTCCCTCACCCTTCAGTGTTCAATTGTTGACAGGTTGTTTTGATACAAGTTTTGCAATGTCTGTCATGTCTCTGCTGCTTTTTCATTTCTGCTGCTGTCAAACCGGTTCGGGCTGAAAGTGCCTCCTGTATGAACTATCGTAGGAGCCCTTTCTTTGGCTTCTCTGTCTTAGTTCTTTTCCCTCATCAACCAATACTACAACCAACAATTGGGAGAGAAATATTTATGTACTATCCTTATTACTTCCTTGTTTGAAAGACTTCCGTGTCTCCAGAGTCTGCCTGCCAAAAACAAGTATATATTCTCTGCCTACCAAAGACAAGCGGATATTCTCTAGCGTGTCATTCAGATCCCTCCATAAACTGACTTTGACTTCTCTTTCCAGCCACCCTCTCTCTCACCACTTTCTGTGCCTTATCCAGACCAGTCCAGGCTATGTGCAAATTCCTAAACATATGCCATTTTTTCTGCCTCTGTGTTGTACTTTCTAAATGTATTATTATTTGAAATTCATTTTATAACACTAAAAAGCTGTAAGAGAATAAACACCTATAATTACACCACTCGAAGACAACTGTTTTTTATCTGTGCCTATCATTGTCTAGCCCTTTCTCACAAGAATACAGTTTTCGCATAAATGCAGTCATAAGTCCTTGTTATTAAATATTCTATTTTTACTTAAGATTATATTTTTAAGATTTTCTACTTCCTTCTAATTATCACTGTGTAAGTCTGTATTACATTTGAAGTACCATAACTTTCTAAAAATTTTCCTAAGAGTGGACATTTCAAATGCTCATAAGGTCCTCCCAGATAGACATATATGTAAGAAGGAGCTTCAATTTCAAATCATTTTGCTCCAGTTAGATTATTCCTAGGAATAAATTTACTTGATTAAAAATCTTATTGTCTCACTCCATTTCTTGAATATTCTTTCCACCCAGAATGTGCTCCCTGATCTTTGTCTCTAATTCTCACTCAGTTTTGAAGGCCCAAATAACTATGACTTCTTCCTTGACAATATTCCTGCCTCCTCCTCCCATCAGAAGTGAACCTCCTCTCATCTGAGCTCTCATAGCCCAGTGTTGTCTGTTGTCTGAAAAGTGTTTAGTTCATTCTATCCACTCTAAAGTAATGCTTTGTGTGTACATGTCTTGTGTCTATTAGTAGACACGTGGTACTCAAGAGTCCATCTCTTATTCCTCTTTCTAACTCTACCTAGCGATTTTCCATTATTTCAAGCTGGCTTATGTATTTTGGTTGTATTTTATCCAGATATCCTATGTATATCAGGTAGCAGTCAGAATAAGAGATGGGAGAAGCTTGTCAGGCCAGCTCTGTATGACAGCTTGATAGAAAGCCATAGGATTCTTATTTCTTCTACCCTCTAAAAAAGGAGAATTGAAAATAAAAACTAATTTAAAATTTTTGTTTCTAAAAAGAGAAGAAATACATTCACTTGTGTTGCACCGTGTCAAATCTACCATGCAGGATTAGGTTTCATTCAAAAGGCAGTAAGCCATTTTCCTGCAGAAAATTTGGAAACCTGCTTCAATAAACCAGATGGACAGGACTTGGAGGAGAGTTTGAGTCTTAACTCTACTTCTGTTCCAATGGGTCATTTTTGAGGATGCAACTATTCTAAGCATCTTTTCCAAAATAGGAGGTTAATTTTTGCTTCATAAGTTTCAATCAGTTTTGGTTTCTTTGTTTTTTGTTTTTGTTTTTGTTTTTGAGACAAAGTTTCGCTCTTGTTGCCCAGGCTGGAGTGCAATGGTGTAATCTTGGCTCACCGCAATATCCACCTCCCAGATTCAAGCATTTCTCCTATCTCAGCCTCCCAAGTAACTGGAATTACAGTCATGAGCCACCACACCTGGCTAATTTTTTATATTTTTAATAGAGACGGGGTTTCTCCATGTTGGTCAGGCTGGTCTCTATCTCCGGACCTCAAGTGAAACACCTGCCTCGGCCAGTTTTGGTTTCGTAATTCAAGTCTCATGTTAAAATACGAGGCATGCTCTCAGCTGAGATCAGAGTTTCCCCATACTCCTTACAGACTGGAAATTAAGCCCATCATTCTCCAATAACATGTTGCTAATTCTGGTTTTAAACAACCACTACATTTGGACTTTTCACATTCTGAGAACACACACACACACACACACACACACACACACACACGGTGCATTACACAACTGCAGTTGGCAATTTCAGCTCAATAAGAGGTATATCTGAAACCAATTTCAGAACCAAGAGGAAAATTTATTCATAGGTTTATTTCTATTACATCTGCTCAGCTGCAGTTTTAAACAATTTTGCCTTCAACTCAGTTTTCTTCAGCTCCAGAGAATATTTTAGCTCCTCCATTTTCAGGTCATTTTCATTTAATTGTTGTATAAAGTTCTCTATGGCTTTGCAGAGGTCCTTACTTTCCTGAAAGGCAAGCTGAAAAAAGAAAATGTTCTACAAGTTACAAGGGAAGGACTGAGACCCGGCTATATACTCTGAAGCCAGTGAGCAGCAGTTAGCTCTCTCAATGGGGGCTCAGAACCAGGCTAGCTTAAGCAAAGATTTGTGTTTTCAACATGGTGAATCATTTATATTTTCTGGCTTCAATATACTTATTAATATTATCCCAGTAATAAAGATGAACTAAAAGAAGAGTCTCAATGAAAATGGATCCGCTCAGTGTTGTTCGTTTGTTTGTTGGTTGGTTTTTGGAGCCTAGAAGATTTTAGAGACTTTTCCCATTCTTACACATTGGGCTTATGTGCCTTGCTCTATAACAGGGATCTCCCACCCCAGGGCCACAAATCAATACCTTGTCCATGGCGTATTAGGAACTGGCCCACACAGCAGAAAGTGAGTGGTGGGCAGGCAAGCAAAGCTTCTTTATAATTATAGCCACTCTGCATCGCTTGCATTGCTGCCTGAGCTCCACCTCCTGTCAGATCAGCAGTGGCATTAGATTCTCATAAGAGTGTGAACCCTATGTGAACTGCCCACGTGAAGGATCTAGGTTGCCCACTCCTTATGAGAATCTAACACCTGGTAATCTGTCACTGTCTCCCATCACTCCCAGATGAGAATCTAATGCCTGATGATCTGTCACTGTCTCCCTTCACTCCCAACTAGATAGGACCATCCAGTTGCAGGAAAACAAGCTCAGGGCTCTCACTGATTCTACATTATGGTGGCTTGTATAATCACTTTATTATATATTACAATGTAATAATGGAAATAAAGTGCACAATAAATGTAATGCACCTGAATCATCCCCAAACCATCCCCACTCTCCCCACCCCCATCCATGGGAAAATTGTCTTCCATGAAACCCATACCTGGTGCCAAAAAGGTTGGGGACCACGGCTTTATAAGACACATGAGACAACACCTCCTACCAACAGGGTCTCATGAGGCATTTGTGATGGTGGTGATGAATGGAAACTCCAACTTCCATTTATAAAAATATGAGTTAATAGTTTATGAGGCCCTTCTATAGCCAGGCCAAGGCCAACACATTCATAAGCAAAATATCCCACATTGAGCAGATATATACTGAGCATATGCCAGGAGTAATGCCAGGCCCTGGAGATCCAGCTGTGAACAACACAGACACAAGCCCCCTACTTACAAGTGCCTTCTCATACTCTGGTTTTGGAGCTTCCTGGATCAACTTGCAGACTGGAGGTACACTGCTCCACTCCCCATCAATGCAATGCTGCTCCTGTGTGCCCACTAAGTAGTATCTGAACAGAAATTAGAACAAGGCTTAGCTTTTCCACCTCCTGAGTTGGGTAACGGAGACTGGTTTTGTGTAGTTGTATTTCAGTATTTCATGCTGTGATGGAATCCACCTCCCTGCCCTTGAGCCTCAATGCCTGCTTAAGTTATCTCGGTATTACAAAGCTGTTAGAAGTGAAACCATTCCCCTGGAGGTGGGAAGGACCCAAGTGATGAGTCAAACCATAAAACACAGAGAAGTGAGAAATTCTAAATCAGGTGTTTACCCACACAGGTTTTGTGTGGGGAGAGTGAGAGAAGCACTTTATCATTCAATAGCCTAAAAAGGCATTTGGCATCTAAGCTCTAAAAAAAGTAGAAAATGAGAAACACCTTTCAAATACATCTTAGCAAAGGGGCTAAAAAGGAGCAATAGCTTTTAATCAGAAAAACAGAGTGTTGCCTGCAGAGTCCATTGAAGTGCCAGGGAGGCCACTTGACTCTGAGTTAATTAGGAGGCTTTAAGGGTCTGTCTGTATACTAAGTCTTTATATTTCTATACTTCTGTATTTGTTTATTAGTATTTTTATTCTCTGATTTTTTTTTTAAGAAAAACATACATTTTAGGCCAGATGGGGTGATTCATGTTTGTAATTCCAGCATTTTGAGAGACCAAGGTGGGAGGATCACTTGAGCTCAGGAGTTCAAGACCAGCCTGGGCAACATAGGGAGACCCTGTCTCTACAAAACTTAAAAAAATTAGCCAAACGTGGTGGCCCACGCCTGTAGTCTAAGCTATTAGGGAGGCTGGGGTGGAAGGATCATGTGAGCCTAGGAGGCAGAGGTTGCAGTGAGCTATGAGCACACCACTGCACTCCAGTCTGGGGACAGAGGGAGACACTGTCTCAAAAACAGTAACAACAATGTCACATATTTAATTTTTTTTTTTTAATTTTTTTTAGTCTTACTTTTCCACCCAGAATGAAGCGCAATGGCGCCATCTAGGCTCACTACACCCTCTGCCTCCCCGGTTCAAGCAATTCTCATGCCTCAGCCTCCCAAATAGCTGGGATTACAACCACGTGCCACCACACCCAGCTAATTTCTGTATTTTTGGTAGAGACGAGGGTTTTGCTATGTTGACCTGGCTGGTCTCAAACTCCTGACCTCAAGCAATCCACCTACCTTGGCCTCCCAAAGTGCTAGGATTATAGGTGTGAGCCACCATGCCCAGCCAAACCTACACATTTTAAATAATTTATCTTGTCTTGACAGAGAGGAAAAAGAGATACTTGCATTAGGATAATAAGTAAGACACTTTAGTAGGATCAATCTTTCTTCTAGGGATTGGGGAGAGTGAGCAGAGGACCAAAACAGCTCTCAAAATCAGAATGAGCTCAGAATCCTGCAGCAGTAGGAAGTTAGACAGCCAGGTAGACACAGACTGGGTTATTCTCAAAAACAATGCTGTGAGGAGCAAGATCTGGCATTTGACAGGCTGTGTTCACTTACCTGTCTTCACAGTGATAGCTAATGGTGGATCCTAAGGTGAAATTATTTCCTTCAAAATACCCATGAGCTGGATTCCCAGGAGGGTCACAGTCTCCTGAGAGAAAGGAGTATAGAAGTGACAGTTGTGAGGGCCAGGCATACTCAGTGAACAGCACCCCTACGTGCAGCTGTTTATGCCAGCACCCAACGTCCTCAGAGCAGCACCTGTGAGATCTGGGGACGTGTTCTCCATTCATTTCCTTCTCTTTTAAATCATATTTGTCCATGGGAAAGAGCTTTCCCCCAGCTCATCTTCTGAGTTACTAGGGATTTAGAAGTAAATTCCTAGTTTTACTTCTAAATCCTCTGACTAGCAGGAGCTGAAGGAAAGAAATTTTAAGTTGTAATGATGCTAATCATTAATGTATATGAAAAGAAAAAGTGGGCCATAGGTGAAGGCTGAAGAAATAACTCCCTGAGAGAGGAAATAAAGCATGTGAGTTCAAATGGAAGCTGATGTCCGTTATGGATAAGAGTGTGTTAGTCCATCTCACATTGCTATAAACAAATAATTGAGACTGGGTAATTTATAAAGAAAAGAGGTTTAATTGGCTCACAGTTCCACATGCTGTACAGGAAGCATGGTGCTGGCACCTGCTTAGCTTGTGGGTAGGCCTCAGGAAACTTACAATTATGGCAGAAGGCGAAGGGGAAGTGAGGCATCTCACATAACAGGAGCAGGAACAAGAGAGAGGGAGGAGGTGCTACACACTTTTAAACAATCAGATCTCAGGAGAACTCACTATCACAAGGACAGTACCTACGGGGGGACGATGCGAGACCATTCATGAGAAATCTGCCCCATGATCCAGTCACCTCCCATCAAACCCCACCTCCAACACTGGAGACTACAATTAAATATGAGATTTGAGCAGGAACACACAGCCAAACTATAACAAGGAGAGTATCAGAAAAAGGGAAGAAGGCGGGAACAGTGACTCACACCTATAATCCTAGCACTTTGGGAGGCAGAGGCAGGTGGATGGCTTGAAGCCAGGAGTTAGAGACTAGCCTGGTCAACATGGCAAAACCCAGTCTCTACTAAAAATACAAAAATTAGCCCGGCATGGTGGCGCTCCTGTAATCTCAGCTACTTGGGAGGCTGAGGCACGAGAATCGCTTGAACCTGGGAAGTGGAGGTTACAGTAAGCCGAGATTGTGCCATTGCACTCCAGCCTGGGCAACAGAGCAAAACTCTGTCTCAAAAGAAAAAGAAATAGGTGAGAACATGGCTGGAAGGGAAGAGGATGAGTCTGTGGAAATGTGGAAGGAAAATTGGATGACGTGGTAGGAGCTGGTGAGTTTTGATTCTGGCTCTTCCACTAGCTATGTAGCCCTAAGGAAGCCATTTTGCTCCTCTTGGATTCCTTCCTAATATTATCAGATAAGCAGGTTAAATAGTATCTCTAAGGTCCCAGTCAGCTCTGAGACCACAGGACACTAAACATGTCAATCAAGAATAGAGGCTAATAATGATTTTGTAGGTATATGTTACTCAACCATTTGTTTAGAAGACCTGAAACGTAAAGGTTTTCTAAACAAATGGTTGAGTAAAAATGGCAAATCATGAAAGAGCATATGTAATATTATTTTTGTAAATCACAGTTACACAAACGTAAGCAGAGAAAAAAAAGATATGGAAGGTCATATGCCAAAAACCAGTGCCCTTATCCTTAGATGGTAGGCTTGTAGGTAATTAGTTTCATCATTTATTTTCTATATATTTCTACAGCAAAGATGAATTAATATTACTTATGCAGTTAATACACTAATTTTGTAAAGCTCAAAGACTGAGCTCAAGGGATGAATAGAGGAAAGCAAGAAGAATGTCCATGAGTTGTTTGGGGGATTACATTCCACCAAGGTTCTGGGAACTTTCATCAGTACAATTTTGGACTGAAGGACATGATGTGGGCCTTGGATCTCAACAGAAAGAATGCGCTTTGTTCAGAAACCTGGGAGCTCATCCTAGATTTAGAAAGTGAAGAGACATAAAAAGACAGGGCTTCTGTGGTTAAGAGCTAGAATAGAAACGACTGAATCAAAACAGAGTAAAACAGAAAACATTTGGAAGAAAAGGAAATGCTTTAAACTTGTGTCAAGCTAATGATATAAAATATTATATGCTTGTAATTTAACTGTATGTACGCATATTATAAAATATTATATGCATGTAATTTAACAGTACGTATGCATGTTTTAAATAACCCCACATTCCTTCATGTAAGAGCATATATAGTTTGTGCTCTTAAACTGCCTGTCTTTATCATTTCATTTTTATTTTTTATTATTTTTAGAGACAGGCCTCACTATGTTGTCTAGTCTGGCCTCAAATTTCTGAGCTCAAGCTGTCCTCCTGCCTTAGCTTCCCAAATAGCTGGGACTACAGGCATGCACTACCATGCCTGGCTTTTGTTATTTTAGTGGCTACTGCCAAAATACATCCAAATAGTGATAGCACTTTATACTCTCACTGATGTAAATGGCTATTTCCTCAGATCCTGAATGATATTAAATTAGATTCATCTTTTCATTTTTTGCTAATCTGATCAGTAAAAGATGTATATCAAATTTTAATTTTCAGTTATATAATCATTAGTATGTGCAATATCCTTTCACATAATTAGGAAACAGAAGTACTGTTTAGGGCCATTATTTTGGAATTGCCTGTCCTTACACAACTTTGCTTGTTTTCTATTGGATTGTTTGTTCCTTACTGATCTCTAGGAGATCTTTGTGTACTAAAAACATTAACTCTTTAACCATGAAATATGTTGCAATACTTTCTTCAAGTCTGTTATCTTTTAACTTTTATGATGTCTTTTAATATGTAGAAGTTTTTCTTTTAAAATTTTAATTAAATCTGCCCACTTTCTTCCTTTATGACTTCTGAGTTTTATGTTACTGCTTAGGAAGGCTTTCCCCAGCCCAACATAATAAATATGTCATCTCACGTTTTCTTTTAATGATTTAATAATTTTGCTTTTTATAGTTATGTGTTTAAAATCCATCTGTAAAGTATTGTGAATATGGTATGAGCTGCAGACCTAACTGCATCTTCTTCCAAATAGATAATTATTCCATAACCACTGAATAGACTTTTCCTCCTGACTTAAGATGTTCTACTTATCTGTACCTATACTTTGCTATTTTAATGCCATATAATGTGTAATACCTACAGTTTGCCATTTTAATGCTATTGTGCTCATAGTAACTTTGTAGTCCATTTTATTATCTAATATAGCAAGTACTCCCTTCCCTTTGATCCATCATTCATCTTTTTCCCAAAAATATTTACAGTGTTAGATGTGTACCCTACTAGGTGAGATCTTTTTAATTATTTTTTTCTTGTTTTTTGAAATTAAGCTTCTGGTAGGCCTTGTATTGTAATACTAAGTCTGCTCAGCCAGGATCATGGCATGTCTTTCTTTCATTCAAGACTTGGTTCATATCTTTCAGTAAATTTTCATATCCATTTTGTGAAGAGAATTATTTTTACATTTCAAATTTAACTAATAATTATCAATAGAAAGTAAAAACATTGATTTTTTAATATTTATTTTGTATCCAAGTATGTATTAAATATTTTAGTAGAATTTCTTGGATATTTGAAGTATATTCTGCAAATAATGGCATCCTGTGATCCAGCAATCATGTTAGAAATCTATCTCATAGAAACAATAATGTAGACATAAAGATGTGTGTATATAAAATATTCATTTCAGCATTGTTCTTAATAGCAAAAATATGAAAATAATGTGAGAGAGGTGTAATAAATTATGACATACACATATGCAGTTATTAGATAGCGGGCAATAGAGCTATATGGACTGATCTGGGAAAATTGCCATGTATACATGAAAAAAAGCAATTTAAAAATATGTATAGCAAGTCCCATTTCTATAGGTATATTTATATAGATACATACATGCAAAATAGCTATTTAATGCTTATTAAATTTACACATTTTATTTGTGTGTATTCGTTTTAAATGTCTGTATAAACATAAGAAAATGTCATGCAATAAACACACCCTACTTACTAACTCTGAGAGATATGAACTGTAGTAACAGAAAGATGGTCTTTAGCTTCTTGTAGATAATTTTGCAATAGATGAGTTATGTTTTTCCATTGTTTTCTGTTTACTTTTCAAACAAAGACTTTAAATCACTGTCTTGAAATTAAAAAATAAAATAGCCAATGCTCCAAACTACTCTACATTAAACCTAGTAGGACAGGACCCCTACTTGAGAAAGAAAAAGGTGTGCTTTGGATGCCATTCATTGCATTGGAATGTATCTCTTGAGGTGAGATTTACACCTGTGAGTAAAGGTTCTGTGAGTTCCACTTGTTTCATGGCTGTCTGCTAGGTCTTAAGCCCATCCCTGATATGAAAAAAAAAGGAACACACATTCCAGGGATGTGGCAAATGTCTAAGTTACACTATTAGGCAGTATTTTGGGGATTCTTGATGATTTCTCTTATACTTACTACTTTTGCAGATGGGAAAGGGAGGTGCCCAGGTGTGGTCCTCTAGACACTGGCTCCATTTGCTGCCCTTGAGGATGTAATGATCACTGCACTTAAACGTGATTTTGTCACTTACATTCACAGGTCCTGAAGAATAGACTTCGCCGTTCATCAGCACAGGGTCAGGACAGTGACCCACTGAAGAAGAAAATAAGCAATAATCTGAAAGTGCAAGGCTAAAGCCCAACACAGCAAAGGCCAGACCTCCTCAGTCTTCAGTGAGAAAACGTCAAATTAGAGCTAGTACTGCACATTTTGAATTGGGTGAGGTACATGGTACTACCACATCAATACAGAATGAAGAAAGAGGGGATGATCTAAATACAGCTAAAAAGATCTTTGTCATGCACAAGACCAACATGAACTAGGAACTGAAAGTAATTAAGTACGTAACTGAAAATTACCAATAGCATGCTTGTTGTACTGTTACATCAAGCATGGCTCAAAATTATTGAACCTGTGTTTGAGGCAAGTCTTCCTTTTCCTTTCATCTACCCAAATGTACACTTATCATTTTTTATTTTATTATGCTTTTTCCCATGGAGTGGAAAAAAAAAACAGGAGAGAATGCTCAGGGACACGAGTTTGGTTATATGAATGAAGGATAATAATATTGGTGTGCTCTACTCTGGGTATACAAGAGAACTAATACAACTATTCTTTAAAAAATAGTAGTAATAAATGGAATATGGATGAATTATTCCCCATCTCCACAGAGGATACCAGAAATGAGTTTTGTGACCTTGAGCAAGTTAGTTGGATCTCAATTATCACATCTGTAACCTGAGAATATAAACTATTCCCAGTTCAAAATTTGATGGGTGAAATAAAATGATATGATGTACTTCCTTCAAAATAATAAAGTGAGAATATACATGAAACAAGATTAGTCAGGTGTGGACAGTTGATGAAATTATGTGATGAGTCTATATGAGTTAATTTGACTCTTCTGTCTTTTGTAGACATTTAAAATTTTTCATAACATAAACATTTTTAAAGCAATATTGGGTTAAAGAAATTACGGCAAAAAAATAGTACTAGTAACTGGAAGAAATTTATTTATTTCCCATAGGGTGAATTGATCCTATTCATTCAACTAAATTAATACTGATCAAGATCTGATCATGGAGCTTCCAAGAGATGCTCCTCCACTGGAGTGCTTTAAAAGGGGACTCCTAGAAATTGAGAATTTTTGTTTTCTCATAAAGTTTTACCACGGCCTACATGAAGTAGGATGTGAAGGAGTAAAACAGAATATCAACACAGGCAAGGATGTAGAAAGATCTAACTTACAGCAGCACTCAGTAGTGGTGTTATCCCACCCCTTAGAGGCATTGCAAAAAAGGGTCTTCTTTCCTACCAGGTGGTAGCCCTTGATACAAATGTAAGTCCCCAGAATCTGTCCATCCACCTCCTTTGCAACAAATATGCTGTTGTCCACTGGAGGAAGCTCTGGACAGTGCTCTGCTGGAAGGAAAAAGAAAACAGATTCATTTGCCATATCATGTGCTGTCAGGGAACCCTTATTAGATTTCCCCATCCTTGTCTCTTTTCGCTGGATTATTGATTCTGATTCTTATAGTCTTCCATGCCCATGTACGTCCATGTCCCTCCCTTCCAGAGGACTTCCAAAGTTTTATTTCCAAAAGAATTACAGGAATTTTACTCAAATTCAGCCACAAGTTGTCCACTGCTAAACAAATGGTTCCCTCCCCAAATGGTGGTCCTGGAGTTTATAACAAGTAAGACCTCACAGGATTTTGAAATTAGTACTCTTTTTGCTCCCAGAACAGAAAAGGAAAGTAAGCAGTAACCATCCACTTCAGAGAGCAGGATCATCATTAAATATATACTAAGCTCCTACTGAGTATAGAACATTAGGATAATGTGAGATTTTTCAATAGAAGAAATAAATATCATAAACGCAAACTTCCTTAAAGCTCTAGACAGAGTTTCTCATAACCTCACAAATTGACACCAAATGCCTAGTAAGCTGAGCTGAAGGAAAGCATACATACCATTTGAAGCAGAAACCAGCCACGCAACCACAAGACAGCATGCACACCGATAAAACATCTGGTGATCAAAGTCCTCGCCCCAGGCTGGAATTTACTCAGGCCAGAGACCTGGTCTGAATCAAAAAAGATCTTCTAACACGCTTAAGACCAGCCCAACCACCTCCTTTCTAGAGAAGAGGTAATATTGATTTCCCCTCCCTGGAGAAAAAGAAAAAAAATATTACAACAGGAAATCTGAACAGCTGTAAGAAAGCTGGCACAGGGAGAGACTGCGAAAATACAAAGGGATGGCAAAAGAGCTGCCAGTTTTAAAACTCAGTTTCAGAAATGTCCTGGTTTCTGGGAATGCAAATTCAGTTGACCAGTCTTTCTGAATGGCAGGTTTATCCTTCCCCAACAGTCGTGGGCCAAATGGTCTTGCCATGACCTTGACTTCTGTCAATATTTGCCAGTGTTTACAGTCCACCTTCTGTAACCCTGGCCAGCACTGGGGAAAGAGAAGGGGCTGCCAGTCCCTGCTACTTTCTCAGATAAGACCCAACTTCGAATGTTACTTCATCCTTCTTTCCTGAATATCAGATATCCTAAGACTGTAAGCAGCACCAAAGACAGAAAGCTCAAGGAAGTGAGCTAACCTTACCTGCCTCTGTCCCTCCAGATCTATGACTTCCCAGCAAGGAGCTGGTCTTAATTGACTCCAAACCTGAGAGCTCCAAAGTCCTGCAGTGACACATTGTCCTTGCTGGCGGGGCCTGTACCAGGCTTCCTACTTGGTGGCTCTTCCTGGGACAGGATTTGGTCTGAGTCCAGAGTTAACCAAATGAATAAAGAGAGAGGTGAGAGGAATGCTTTGGTCTCAGGAATTAAGGCATGTAAAATTGTTTTGGGGGCTCCCATTTCATCTTGCTCATGACTATTACAACACTTGGTTGGTTCTCTGTGTTCTAATTATGAAACTGGGGTAAAATTCCCACAAAATTTCAGGTTTTAACAAAATAATAAAGCATTTAGAACACAGCAAGGTTGCAAACATTCCTCTTTTCTGTATCCATTATTACTGTTTTGTAATGATTAATTTATGTCTTTCTCCTGAAAGGAATCAGGATATGTCATCCCCAAATGTGCCACTTTGGCATAAGGATTATTTTAAGCTAAAGATATTTGAGATTCAGTGATACGGAAAGGAACAAAGCTTTTTTGGGCTTCTCTTATCTGACTAAGGGCGGCAACCTTGGAGATAAGGTGGCCATAAATTAATTCCTTTTCAGGGCAGATCTATGCTGGAAGGGAGGGCGTGAGTAAAACATGTTTCAAATTCCTTCTCCGGGGAAATGTCATGGCCTTGAAGGAGACAGAAAGACCACGCAGGTATGCAAATGTTATCACAAACTTTCTTATTTCCTACTTTTCCCCTGAAAACCCTCTTATCTTTCCAAAAAGCATTCTGTTTTCTTTTTTGTTTAAGGTGGTGTCTTGGCACAATGTTGGCTCACTGCAGCCTCTGCCTCCCGAGTTCAGGCAATTCTTGTACCTTAGTCTCCCAAGTAGCTGGGATTACAGGCATGCACTACCACACCTGGCTAATTTTTGTGTTTTTAGTAGAAATGGGGTTTCACCATTTTGGCCAAGCTGGTCTCGAACTCCTGCCCTCAAATGATACACCCATTTCAGTCCCCCAAAGTACTGGGATAATAGGCATGAGCCACCACACCTAGCCAGTAATCTATTTTCTTATAAGTGCCTTTCTTCTCCCCACCTGCACCTATTAAGAGGATGTATAAGTCCCCAATTCTAACCAACTTTTTAAATTACTTACCACTGAGTTTTCCCACATGTACTCATGTTGCATGTATAAATAGAATTTTCCCTCCTGTTAATCTGTCTTAGTCTAATTTGCAGGTCCCAGCCATTGAATATAATACAGCAGAGAAAAGGTGTTTTTTCCCTTCCCTATATTCCCACATGAAACTGTTAACCCCAGGACAGGGTTTGTTTCTGAATTATATTTGTATTCTCTTCCAAAGTGCTTCATATTGCAAAGCAATTGTCTGTTAAATGAATAAAAGTAATGCAGAAATAACTTTAAAAAACAGTCATCCAGAAACTCTACCACAGTCCCCAAAATCCGTATGGTCACTTGTCATTTATTGTATGCTGCCTTATAATTTTTGTCTTATCTTTTCTCAACTAATATGCAAATTCCTGCAGTGTAAGCATCCTCTAAGATACAATTTTCAAAAAGTTAAGAATATTGCCGGGCGCGGTGGCTCACGCCTGTAATCCCAGCACTTTGGGAGGCTGAGGCGGGTGGATCACGAGGTCAAGAGATCGAGACCATCCTGGTCAACATTGTGAAACCCTGTCTCTACTAAAAATACAAAAAATTAGCTGGGCATGGTGGCGCGTGCCTGTAATCCCAGCTACTCAGGAGGCTGAGGCAGGAGAATTGCCTGAACCCAGGAGGCGGAGGTTGCGGTGAGCCGAGATCGCGCCATTGCACTCCAGCCTGGGTCACAAGAGCGAAACTCCGTCTGAAAAAAAAAAAAAAAAAAAAAGAATATTACACTTATGTAAATATAAGATAAATATGTATCAAAGGTTTAATTCAACTCATTAATTAATGAGGAACCATCCAGGTACTACAACCGGTTTAAAGAAGAATTTGGGGAATAGCGTCAGTCAGTCAAAAGCATTCTAAAGTGGCCTTTCTAATAGATACAAAGCTGGTTAATATCCTACAGAGTAACAAACCATAACATTTGCAATGGGCTTTCTACCTGGTGGAAAGTAATTAAAACAAAATGGACAAAATGTGTTTGCTCTACCATAATCAGGAATCATTTTCATTGTTCTCAGATGAGAATCATTTGCATTCCTATCAATTTTCTGCAAATTAGCCTCTTAAAGAGTTCTAAAAGAGCCTAATTAATGTAAAGTCCATCAGAGTCACATACTCCTGTGAATTGATCATCTCCAGAGGGTCTGCTAGAAAATGCCCAGGGATCTATTGAGCATTTACTTCAATGATGCCTTTTTGCTAGTCCTAAGCTTTGAATAATTTTTCTTAACATACCCCATGTTCTACTTCTTGAGGAATGCATGTTCTTCAGTATCTTTTATAGATTTATATACAGAATGTTTATACAATAAATTATTTTAAAAGGGAAAGAAAATCTAGTTTACCCCTACATAAATACAGAGATAAAATAGAACATGTATTACAGGAAATAATTGCAAGTAATTCTTCATCTTAATGGCTTACTTCAGATTGAGAACTATTAGGACTTTAGAAATCATATTGCGTATACTATTGTCTTACTAATATTTCTCCATAAAATATTAAAATATTCACACTAAGTGCCTATATAGAGACAATACATTTCATCACAGTTTGGGTCGGTTTTTTTCTGTTAAATGAGTTAGAAGAAAACTTTGCCTCAAGGGTACTCGGATTTTAGAATTACAGATTAAAGAGAGAAACAGAGAGAGGAGAAAGAGAGAGAGAGAGAGAGAGAGAGAGAGAGAGAGAGAGAGAGAGAGAGAGAGAGTCACCTAGCATGATCATAGCTTATTGCAGCCTCACACTCTCAGGCTCAATCAATTCCCCTACCTCAGCCTCTCAAATAGGTAGGACTACAGGTGTTCACCACCATTCCTGGCTGATTTATTTTTTATTTTTTGTAGAGATGGTGGTCTCACTATGTTGCCCAAGTTGATTTTGAACTCCTAGCCTCAGGCAGTCCTCCCACTTCAGCCTCCCAAAGAGCTGAGATTGCCAGAGTGAACCCATGTGCCCATGGAGATGTTATTTTAGATTTACTGAAATCCACAGCTGAAACGAACTCTAATCTGAAGCAGAGCTTGAGTGAAATGACTCAGGAATTTAAATTCAGAAAATAATATTTAACGGACTTTATTAAAGCATACTCTGACACAGTTTCCCATCCATAAATTCTACAAAGACAATGGATGAAAGAGGAGAGAACCTAGGAAGTGAAAACTGAATGTGAATGATGAGGCAAACATCTCAGTAATGAAGGAAACCCAGATGGATAAACAAGTCATTCTCTGAGAGTAGGCTGGATGCTTGGTGAAGGGCATTTCACTTACTGAGTATAGACCCCGTTAGAGCCGCAACGCGGCTTCCCAGGTGTTCCTATGCTTCTGAAATTACTTCGCTTAATTGCAGAGAAACTCTCCTATAGAATCTCATCTGATTTTCACAGGTAGAGTGTTGCATACAACCAAAAAGGAAATTTTAATGCTTTTGGGAGTTCAGAAAAGTAGTTGTTCTGCATGTAAAGGGCTGAAGGAATGCGGCTGACATTGGCTTGATGAGAATGAAAGAAGAAAGACCCTATCTCTAGAAAAATTAAAAATAAAAAAAATTAGCCAGGGCAAGCTAGTGAACCCGAAGGTTGATGCTCCTCAGTGTGTCTTGAGTAAGGACCTTGGAGAAGTTTGAGAAATGGTGTAATAATCAAAGCTACGGGAGAAAAGCAAACAATGACCATCACCCAACACCGAAACACTCTCTGAGTGGTCATTTTCTAATGCTGGTTGCTTTGCTAAGTTACCAGCAACATTTTAAAATAGTGTGGCATGTCTGTTGGGTCTTAGCACTTACCTTGTTCTGAGATATTGGCTTTATAAAAATTCCCACAGTGTTGAGGTGTGCCACTCAGTAACGGTGCTCATTTACCTCTCTGTAAAACCCTGAGAATGATTCCAGACACCCCAGCCTTTTACGAGTGATGACTTGATGGCTGAACCAGAGCACACTTGCAGAAATGCCTGGAGATGTTTCCAAGGCAATTGCACCTTGACCCTACGTCCTCACTGCTGCCAGTCCGCCCGCTGGATTGTTAAAGCTCAATGTATTCATCGGTACCTATAACCACTGTCCCTCATTTGATTTCAAATTGGAGAATTTGCAAGTCATTTTCATTTTATCAGAAGAACCCTTGAACTTAAAGAATTTGGAAATGCTGTTGTTATTAGGAACATTTCATTTTATCTCTATTGCAACTGACCTCAGAAGAGTGTTCCAAGTTGCTTTATCATATACATTTATGTAACCATTACCTAACATTATTTGGAAGGTCATTCATGAGGGGGAAAGCATCCCCAGTAGAAAGAGATGGGTTAGGTTACAGACCCGCTGTTAACCTTTCCTTTCCAACAATAAATTCTAGACAAAGGGCAGGGACTTTGTTTTAGTCATTGCCTGGCAAGTACAGGTAGTCGCTAAATATTTGTTAAATAAATGAATGAACCTCTAGGATGTCAATAATGCATGGTAGTCACAATCTTATGGATATCATTTTGAAATGCTAGTGGAATTTGAACTGCTTAAAATTATTAGTTGGAAATATACATACAATCTCATAATTTGGAAACTGTTGTAAAGAAGCTAGTTTCAAACATATTTTGGACAATGTTATTAATATTTTGCATATGTATAAGGCACCAAATGTTATCTTTTTGTGTGTTACCTTAAAATTAATTGCATTTTTAATTTAAAATAATTTTATTTTCTTATTACAAAAGCAATACATATTACTCACGTATTTTAGCATGATTTTATTAATCCAGAAGATAAACTTTTCTCCAGAGAAATGCATCTCTTGGTTTACACTTATAATAAAAATAAATGAGAAAAAAAAGTATTCAAAAATCCACTGTTAACATGGTTATTTTCCTTTTACAGAAGACAGACATCTACATTCTGGAAATGTAACTTAAATTAATATGACATTAAACTTAAAAGCTCAAACTACCTAAATTTCTACCAAAACAAAACAAAACAAAAACCAACAACATAAATTACATTACATTCTGATTAAATACATGCAAACAGTGACATGAAGACTCAAAAATGCCCTACACGGATAGAATAAATAAGTATATTGTCTGATCATCGAAAGACAGTTTTTGATGCAGAGAGAAACCCATATCAGAACAAAAGCATTACAGCACAGCATGCGGTAGGCAGCCAGATGAAAATCATCTGCTACGGAGTAAGAAGCCTTCCTGAAGGCAGCTTTGCACGTAGAAAAGGAGCTCCTAGTTGCTGGATGCTGAACTGCCTGCAGCCCAGCTCATCACATCTTAGGTAATAGAGGCCTAGATCATCCACAGTATAAAAGAACCATTTGAGAAAAGCTACATTTCATTACTTTTCTTGCTGCTCACCCTTTTGCCCAGTAAGTGAGCATTTGAGTGAAAAGGAAAAAAAGAAAGAAAAGTAAAGCTAAAAACCTACTATTCTTTAAAAAAATAGACTTTCCTTGCAAGATATAATATCCTTTGGGGATTCCATACTCTCCTTCAGGAACAGTGACATGTCAAAATCTCATTTACAGAGATACATTCATACATTTGACAATCACTGGGAAAGAGTTATCTGATTTATCTGTAAGAGAAACTGAATGGCTAGCACTGAGGCACTGGGCCACAACCCTGCCACCCTTACTTTTACATGAAAGACCAGTGACCACAATCGTGACAAGTGGCCAAGAGGCAGGTATCAGATGACTGCTGCTCTCCAAGTCACAGCCGCACCTTTCTCAAGAACTGCATCGTGGTGACAGACCCCACAGAGGGGCATGTATCCTTCCACCTGTTGTGAAGCCAAAATACTCCTGATAGGGAGCTTTCTTGACTTACTCATGTCATAAACGGCACTCTCCTTCTCTCTCTAGCCCACATTCCCAACCACCCAGGAGAACTACACAGCCCCATCTTCAGCTATGAGAGGCACATGTATCAAGTAGAAACGATAGCAGTTACAAAAGGGAACTTAGAAGATGTGTACCCATCTTAGGGAGTCTTGTAGTCAGATCCTGTCTGGAAGGGCCTGGAACAAGAAAAATTTCTCTCAATGAAAAGGTTGCTACTGACACCTGTTCTTCTATCACTGCAGAAGAGAGGTCTTAGGGACTGAATTTCTCAGCACACCCTCCATTCACCTGGTGATTTGTCTCTTGTTTCCAACGTGGCAAATGGTAGCTGCTAGCATTATGTATACTGGACTCTAGCCTGCTCGCCTGGAACAGATGCAGGGCCCAGCTCCTACTGCATAGGAAAGGCTTTCTGGAGCTCAGTCTTCTCACTTGGAAAGTAACTCTGAAGAGGTGCATGTGCACTCTAGGCAAAAAAGAGCCAGCAAAGGATGCAGACAGTCACAGGTAGGATGTTAAGTGTCTATACAGAATGAGATTGACCAACTTGGACCAAACCCAGCAAAGAGATGATAAAAAGTCATTGGTTCACGTTGCTAAATGTTTTGAGGCACAGAGAAGTTTAATTTTTCAGTGTAACTGATATTCCTCTTAGGCAAAAGGGAAGGAAATGTGGTGATGTTTCTCCAGGTCTCATTTTGGTGGCCCCAAAAGTCCAGTTCCCACTTAACTTCCTGTTCTAGCCTCTGTGGAGCTGACATTCCAAGCTTTTCAGTAGATCCCAATCCTTTGGAGAGGTGTGGCCCGAACCTCCACATCATCAGCAAGCCAGCATGAGGGATGCTGCGGAGGGGCGTCTGCGCACAGCCAGTGTGGTCTCTGTTGCCTACGAGCCAGAGCGGAAGAGACATAAAGCTATTACACCACTGGCCAAGCAGCAAACATAAAAGTAGAGCAGACTCCTTCTCCTACCTTCCCTCCTCCCTTAACCTCCACAGCCCCACATCCACACACATGCATGAACACACTGGCATGCCTACACACACACCTTGACTCTGGGGAGTCAGGCATACTCGAATGGCATACTCATGGGCTTCTTTCCCTGAGGAGCTGACCTCGTGACCATATTGGACCAGGCACTCCTTTCAGGCCTGGACCATAAGCTACATACCCAAGACATGAAGCAGAAGCAGTCAGAATCCCTTTGGTAGAAGGAGATCGTGTAGGCTATGTCAGCCAAAAGACCATGCCAATAAAGTGGCATTGTAGTCAGGGCTACTTGGCTTCTGAGGATGGTCCCTACTGTTGTAGTTATAGGAGTCCATTCTGAAATCAGTCATCAGAGCAGATCAACTTCTTCCCATAAACTGGCATCTAACATTTTACCTTGTGGGAAATTCTTCCCCAAGAATGGTGTTTCTCAAATGTTAAATGTGCATATGAATCACCTGGTAGTTCTGGTAAAATGAGGATTCTGACTCAGGAGGCCTGGGATGGGGCCTAGGATTCTGCATTTCTAATGAGCTTCTGGTCCTTGTTAAGGTAACAAGGAATAAGGAATGAGGACAGTAAAACAATCCCATCTGCATTTCCTGTTCCAAAAGAAATGAAATGCTGTTTTATACCATCGACCATAATCTCTTTAGAAATGGGTAAATCACATTTTAGGAGCAACAGTCCACTAAATGCTAAAAAAATCTTCAAATGTTTTCTTTATAATAGATAATATGAGTTACATGTTGCTAATGGGAGTTACTGCATAGTGCAATGAAATGCAATTGTTTTTTAATTCTTGCTTAAGTGCCAACAGGTACACACAACTATTGAAGTTCATGCACTTTCCCTAATGTTCTTCCTATCTTCCCCAGAAGGTGGCAGAAGAGAGCCATGGCTATACCATGGCCTTCAAATAACAGTGAGAACTTCGTTGGCTTGTCTGAGTCTGAATCCTTGTGCAGCATGAGGCAAAGTTTTAGGGATGGGGAAGGGATGGGAAACACAACTGAAAATACAAAACAAAAAACCCAGAAGCCTTCTGATAGGTTCAAGTTACTCAACAATTTTATTTACCCATTCTACACACACACGCACAAAAACACATTTCAAATACAGTTTAAAACACCTTAAATGGATCTAAGTGGCACACTTTGTTATCAGTGACACCTGATTAAATCAGAATGTTGCTAAAGACCTATGTTCCTACTTTCAACAGAGCAGTGCCTCAGAAATCTGCAGTAGAACTCTATTTCCTAGACTTCCCAATCTGACCCATCCCCATTCAACCCAGAGGTGCCCAGCCCCACACAATTCCCCTTCCCAAAGGGCACCGTGTATTTGGTCAGCCCTTTGCTTTGGCCATAGCAAAACCATCACCATATCAGCATATGTTGATCTTCTTGTTACGTCAACATAATAAAAAATGTACACAAGCAATTCAGATACAAAAACATTGAGTAGGTAAACATTGGTCACAGATATCCAGTGAAAGGCTTACTGGAAAAAATACTTTTGCCAACCCTTAAAATCAATTTCTGAAGGCCAAATATTCTTCTCATTTTTATTTATTAGATTCAGTGTAAAAGCCAAATGCATGGCTGACTAAAAATAGCAGCCCTCTCCAACAGAATGCAGCGTTCCAGAACAGGGTAAGCTGGGGACACACAAGCTTCAGAAACAGACAGCAAAAGTGAAGTCCTGCCCTAAAGCAGGGGAGTGGATGAGATGACCTCAAGTGAGGGTAACAACTCCAGGCTCTGAACAGGCATTCCCCTGGCTGAGTTCACAAAATACCATAGCAGTGATATGCAACCTTTATCTTTTACAAATAAGGAGAATTTGGCCACTACTATACAAGAAATGTCTATTTAAAATCATAGTGTACAGAACTCCCCTATAAAGAAAATATCTGGAGTGCTTAATTCCTTTCTTTGTAGAGAATTACAGTAATACACACACACTCCAATGGGTGCAATCAGACGGCAGGCGGACTGTCAGCTTATAGACTCTATAGTCAGGCAATACCCAGATGTTACTAGTCTATCAGTCAGCACACAGACACTACTAGAGTCTTGTCAGTCAGTCGACACACAGACACCACTAGAGTACCAACCAGTCAACACACAGACACTACTAGAGTTTCTCATTCAGTCAACACACGGACACTACTAGAATCAGCCAGTCAGTCATCACAGAGACAGTACTAGAGTCTGTCAGTGACAAACAGATCCTACTGGAGTCAGTCAGCACACAGATCCAACTAGTTCATCAGCTGGCCGACATATAGACACCACTAGGGTCTTCCAGTCTGCACACAGACTCTAAAGTCTGCTGGTCAGTCAGTACAGAGACCCAACTAAACACAATCTCCTAGACAGTTGGGTCTAAATTAAATCCCTAGACACACTTCTAATATCTGTGTTACTTTGGGGGTGACCCGCCAATGTTGCAGCCAATGTTGTTCAGGTTGTTATATATTTTTAATAAGTCAAAAATCCATACTAGAAAAACTGGGTAAATCTATCAAATTTCTTGACAATGAACACAGTATGGCTTCTGGGCTTGGCAAAGACAATGAAATGTGCATAAGACTACATAACCCAGACACAGTTCTTCTGATTACCGGATACTTTTTCTCTTGCCATTGGCCACCCTAATTACCAAGGAGTTTCTGTCAATTAAGATCTCCTACTCACACACACACAAAAATAAATAAATAACATAGATGAATTTATTCCCAAACAGCTATATCATGTTTCTTCAAAATGCCAGTGTCTCTGAAGATCAAACGTGGGTTGCAAACAGGATTACGCAGATCCTCCTATGGAATACTCAGCCATTCCGTCTAGGGGTACAAACAGATTGCATCCCTAACTCCAACTTCTTCGGAAACAAACAACAATAAAACACCAGAACCAAAGCTATAGGGCAGATCCCTAGCACAATGCAAGGCTTTAGAAGCTTTTCTTATTCCACTTTCCAACTCAGTGTAAAATCATCACTTTACTGAAACAAAAACAGCAATACAGATAAGAGCTGAATTCCAACTTAGGGATTAGGAGATAGGAAGAGAAGCAGGTTCTCTAAATCTGCTTTAGATTTCTCTTTCAAATCTGTCAGAGACTTGAAGCAAGAATAAGAAAACAGAATAATTTCCCTTTCCCCACTTTAGACAAGTAAATTTAAAAAAAAAATTTTCCGAGGTGAGGTCTCACTATGCTGCTCAGGCTGGTCTCAAACACCTGGGCTCAGGTGATCCTCCCACGTCAGCCTCCCAAGTATCTGGGACTACAGGTAATAAGCTGCAGCCACCACCTTATTCCAGTAGATTAAATGCTAATGTCTTTATCTATTTCTCACAACATAAAACCTATGGCCTCAGCAGAGAGTACTTTTAAGTCCATTTTTATTTTGTAGGACTTGTGATAGAAACAATCATAGCAATGTGCATATACCACAACATGCATTCAAGTAAGAAGACCAGGAGAGAAAAAATGAGAAGTAGAGATGAAACTTCTTTAAAATGTGGAGTAAAAGTTCTTTTCCATTCTACATTCTCCTGGCTTCTTCCTGCTGGACTTCTCTGAAGGGATTTTGCTTTAGAAACCAAAGGATGCTGAAGCCCTTGCTCATCAAATTCTAATTTCTCATGTTCTGTCTGAAGATAGTAAGACCGCCCCCCCCCCGCCCCCCCGCCGCCCAGCTCCTCTTCTGAGGAAAGCAAACTGGCACAGGGGAGAGTGGGGAAACAATGTCAGGCTGAGAGCCAGAGTGAACATCCCAGTGACCTGTCTCTAACGCTGGGGCTACTGACAGGTTAACACAATGCTCACTTGTTAGACAAGTCTCCTCTTGCTAAGAGTAGGTACAGTGTTAATCCAATCTGCGGATCAAAGTGCTCCCTCTTCTCATTCATTAGTTCTGAATTACTCTCACCTCACAGCAGAAGAAAAGACTGAATGCCCATTTGGGCTACATTAACTGGGAGCAAATGTAGACAACGAAACCTTGTAAAAGTGCCAAACATGCCTCCCCAACCGTATCTCCTTCTCACATTAGTGGCGGTGGAGGCATCCCCATCCCCCAATCCCTGTAGTCTCATAGCCACAGGACAACAGAAAAGTCAGGAGAAGCGACGTGATGGTGAGCACTTCTAGACTCACAGTGTTGCTCTATTGCAAATGCTCATTTGTTACAAATTACGTCATGTCTCTTAACCTTCCTCTGGGCGATAACCTTTTCTTCTACTTCTGTGTGTCTTTCTCCTGTCCCTGCCCCCACCAGCCCAAAGCTCCACAAAGACACTCAGTACACATTATATAACCACTAAACAGGAATAGCAGGTTACTTTACATCTTGGACATAATTTTGAGATGAATCTAGGTAAACAGCCTTTAGAAGCTGGCTCTGGTATCCTACTCGGGACAGAGGAGTAAAAGACTCCGGGTCAGGGAGTTATTGCCTGTGACGACAACTTTATCATCCTGCAGAGTCTACAGCTCTCTCCAGGGTGCTTAAAATCCCCAGCTGCTATCTAGGGACAATTATTTAATTCAGTGATTTCTTCCACATCGCTCAGCAATAGAAAGGAGTAAAGATGGGACTAGAACCTAGAATAACCCTCTAAAATACACAGCCTGCCTTCCAGAGGTTTATATCACTTAATATGATCTGCTCAAACATCAAACCCAAAGAACTGTCCTTTAAGGACTGAGAAATTCAGAATTCCTAGGCTGACACTTTTGTCTGAGGAACTGCTATCCCAGTATTTTTCCATCTAACTTCCTAAGGTGGAGTTCTTAACCTGGGCTATGTCAGAATTATCCAGGAAGCTACGTAAATACATGCATGTCCAGACCCAGATCCCAGAGACTGTGAGTCAGTATTAGGCGTAAGGTAGACACAGGCATGTTTATGATTCAACAATTCTAAAGGGGATTCTAAGGAATACTCCTGGATGAGAACCACAACAAAAGGTCTTCCGTTATCATGGAAGCAGACAAGCCGATAACTTTAAGGTGGGGAGTCACCTATCTCTTTTTAAAATCCCATGAGAACTCTAAACTTGCCTCTCAGAAAAACATACATATATTCGTGCATTTTGCATGCAAAATTAGAAAAGAGGATAAGCCATCGTGGTCATCAAGGGGCTAAGAATTCCTTCTCTAAACATTTTCTGTTTAACCCTACAAAGAAAATGAAATGACAGAAGTAACTAGATAAATATAAACAGTTAAGAGCTAGATCCCACAGCGTTCCAAGGACTTCTCCGGACTTCAAGATGAGATAGTTTCTCCTTATGAACAAAAGAACACTCCAATGAGAGAGATTAAATTCATCATCAAGCTTTTTCACATTTGGGAAATAAATGCTAATGTAAAAACTATTTTGTTTTGGCGTGTTTTTCTTCTAAAACAGGGTGTGAAATTATGCAAAAATAAGCCATTTTAGTGAGCTCTTCCCTGCCTCTTGCCTTGAGCAATTCAAACATCCGTGGTGGCTCCTGAATCTAACTGCCCTTCTAAACCACCCCAGAGGATACTGACTTTGGCAGGAAAAGTTGTTGTGATTGGCAAAGAACTCGGGAACCATGGGAGAAAAGATGTGACTGGTCTCCAAGAGCCCCGCATGAGCTGCAGCCCACCCTGCTCTCCAAAACCCCACTCTGCAGACCTCAAAAGACCCAGGCCTGACTCTAAGTTAAAAATAAAAGCCAAGATATTTCCCACATCCTCAGAGCCAGATTCCCCCAGGGCATCAAAGACTTAGGACTGTTTCTTATGAAAGGAGGCAAGAGCTCTCACCCTATGTACACTTGCAAGCTCCAGAGTATTCTGTGGATGTTCTGTAGCCTGGGCTGGCCCGTGCAGGACCTCGCTGGAGAGGAAGGCAGAAAGGAAAGGAAAGACTCCTCCAGTCCAGATCCATCTGGACCCGCTGCAGAAAGCATCAGCTGGGCCAGACTTGTCTCCTGCCAATCACCCCTTCCTTCCTAGACAGACACCGCAATGCCATGCATTACACCGGACAATCCAGAGGGGACACGAAGGTGGGAGAGGAAAGCAGTCAAGCAAGCACGGTGAGGAAAACACACGTCGAAGAGACAGAAGTGAAGGAAGAACGGACGTTTTGTCCCCCCACCACTCACCCACCCTCCATCCCCCAGAACACTTTACCCACGCGAGGACATTAGTGAAGTAAGACACCAGGGAACACAGAGAAGAACCAAGAGCGTGGGGCATGTTCAGCCCCAATGGAATGTATCTTTTTCCTCCTCCTCCAGACCATTCCATCTGAGAATCTGTCCTGAAAGACACAATTTGCTAACCTGCCCCTGGGTGGAAAGATGTTTCAGACTGGAGAACAGCTAAGGTTGTCCTGGAAACACATAACCTCACGTTCTATGTTAAGATTAATGGTGAAGTGTCAGGGGTGGGGGTGGAGGGAGGAAGTTAAATGACACCTTGATGATTAGTGACAAGGGCAGGAGGCCAGGGCGGGAGGGAAACACACGGTCACACCACCGAAATGCTGACTTGGGTCTTCGGCTAGTCGGCCCCTTCTTGCATGTCCAGGGCACGGAGAGGGCTGAGGGGCTTGAGGGGCCGGCTCCCAACACTGTAATTTCTTGGACGCCTTATTGTATTCGAACTGGACAGAGGCGTAAAGCTGTTCCTTCTCATCCTTACAGGGGTTTGGTTCTTGGGGAAGTTGTTCTGATTGGAAATGGAGCGACACCACACAAATGAAAGCCAAGCCAAAAGCTCACTCATACAGGTTAATAACGTGCTTGTAACCACAACAGCTTCCCTCACTCCTGCTCTTCTGCACACAGGGTCCCTCAGAGGGAATGGGCCATGGCCTGGCCTCCTAGCACCAGGGTGCTAAAGGGAGAAGCTCCTTGAGCATAACATTCCAAAGCAGGAAAAAGACCCAAAGAGAAGAAGGGGCTTACTGAAGACCACACAGAACCAGGGACAGACCTAGGAATGAACCTCCACCTGCTGACCCCCACCTTATAGGCTCCTCTGGACTCTGCTTTCTGAAGGAATACTTGGGGCTGGAGGGGGGTGGTAATTTTCATTTCTCTTCAGCCAAATACTTTCCATATTTAATTGAATTTCCAGGAGCCAACATTCAAGGTTAAGACTCATGAAATGGGTACTAAGTTTAAAAAATAATAATTCCAACATCTCTTTCAGACCTAGCAAACTATATAAAACATAAGTTCTGAATCTGTTCCCTTTTGCACATAAAAGAAATCCCAGACTCTTAATGCCAAAGCTTCAAAGCCTCAAGGTGGCAGGGAAACGGGCGTGTTCACCACGGGAAAATACTTACAGTTGGCTTGTCGCGGTGTGTGTTCACGGCCTCCACATTAAGCTTAATTGTCTCCACTTTGCACCCTGAGAAAACAGAGGAAAGAGAAGCCTTAAGGAAAAAGCAGAAAGCAAAGAGGTGAGTTGTTAGCTATTTCTTTTTCCCAGGTGGAAAATTCCTTAGTTTCATTATGGGAAAGCATACCACAAAGAAATGTATGCATTCTGCAATACACACAGTTACGCACACAGAACTTTAAAAACAGAAGGCGCTGATGGAATATATAAGTACACAGGGATAATGAAGCGGAACTCTAGACAGACTTCAGAGAAAACTCTGACCTTCCTCAATTCCCAGCTCCCGCCAGCCCCTAAGTGCATAGTTACCGTAGGCCACAGGAGTAAGTTTGAAGATGGTATGGAGAGGGCATCTCAAGTACGGTAGCTCATCTGAAAGCAGAGAGACCAGATGAGGGAAGTTTCTTAGTATTATGGAGTAGGTCAAGTTAGTGGAAGAGAGATCCTATGGAGCTCATAATGAGTTTCCCTTACCCTGACCACCTCCTAGTGTTGTATGACTCCTCCCTTAAACCCCGGAACACAAAGCCACCCAACCTTCTGCGTGGCTAAGGAAGGAAGTATGGCCATCTTAGATCATTCTATGCAGACAAATCAGGAAGAAGTACTGTAGCCAGAGAGCCCCACGGAAGGGGTTCACCTGGGTACAGCAAAGGCCAGTAATGCCTGCCACAACAGCTTCCCAGCAGCTCAGGATGCTGAGCTCAGCCTCCACAATGCAGGCTTCTCAGTAGCTCCAGAAGATCAGGAAGGGAAGTATGGCAGAAGGCAGCGGCACCTTCTTACTGCCTTTACCCAGAAACTACTGCTGCTCCTAAGAGAATATCCACCTAGTAGGCAGCGTGGCAGGCTGGGAATGTTCAACCACTGTCCTGATGCTGCCAGGAGTGTCAGTGTGACACTGGCCCCTAAGCCAGGCAGGATCAAGGAGCACCAGCAGCAGCCACTCTCCATTGGAAGCTCTTGTAGCAGCAGAGCGAACTCAGAAAGTCATTAACTCAGTGGCTGCTGGGAGCCCCACACTGCTGCCTGGAGAAAGTACTCTAATTTGAGTGGAAGACAGGGAGGTCTGTTTCTCAGGAGTCCTGGTGCCACTGTGAGTCCGGCCCCTCCCCCAGCTGTGTCTCCCAGCCCCTCCCTCAAAGGCACCTGCGCCCTTATCCAAGAAGTAGGCCAGAAGGCAGCGCATGACAGCTTGGTGGGAGATGACAAGGACATTGCCCTGACGTTCCAGCTCCATGATGACAGGCTCCAGCCGCTGCACCAGGTCCTGGTATGACTGTGGAGGGAAATGGGCCAGGCTGGCAGAAGGCCAGGTGCAAGCTGCCAGCCAAGTCCGTGGCTGGACCTTGGAGTCTAAAGAGCCACTCCTTCTTCAGCTGGCTTTCCTCCTGGAGGCTCAGTGAGTTTGCACCACTATCACCTGCTAACTGCCCCTAGCCCTGTACCTCTTGAGAAACGGGTCTTTCAAGAGCAATATGCAGACCAAGAAAACTATAGGTCAAGATGAGGAAGTGTTAGTTCAACTTGTGTGTGTGTGTGTGTGTGTGTGTGTGTGTGTGTGTGTGTGTGTGTTTTCTTCCCACAGATTAATACATGCAGGAGACAACAAGAGATTCCTAGGGATTTCCTGTTTAGTTTTATTTACTTTTGCCTCACACATCCCTAGAGTACGGAAGCCACTTAGACAAGGAAATAGCCGAAAACTGAAGATGATAGGGAAATAATTCCTATCCCATAGATTTACTTGGTGACTCCACTCGCTTATGTGGAGGTGGGTTTGAGGGAGTAGAAGGAAAACAAGAAGGAAAAACGACTGTGTAGATTCTAAAACATACTGAACACAGAGGATGCCTTTGTCACCCTTATCCCTGGGACTGCTAACAATTAAGGAGGCATTCGATTGTCTAAGCTGAATGAAACCACGATGACCCAAGGGAAGGAAGATAAATGATGCCTAGACCCTCCAAATTACATTCAGTCCTTCCCCCAAATTAAAGCTAAACCCTTAGCAAGGGCCCAGGCAGTCACTTTACATGACAGGGGTCTTACCTCCCCACCGGGATATCGATACAGATACTTCTCTTGATCCCGAAGTGCAAACTCTTCCGGGTACCGCTTCTCAATCTCTGCATAGGTCATCTCTTCACACACGCCCTGCAAAAAACCACCTGAACCTAGCTTGAAGAGGTAGACTGTCTCACACCAGCCCCATCCCAAACAAGGAAGATGGCACTGAAGAATGCTAGTTTCTTACTACATGCCAGGCACTGTGCTGGGTCCTTTCATGGATTACAGCCGCCTGTGAGCAGAGTGTCACAGAGTGTTTGTGACTTGCAGGGTGAGGACCACTGCAGGGAAGAAGCAACTTCTCTGGCTCAAGCTACCATGTTCTCCTACTACTGGGGGGAACTTATAGGTCAAGAAAGTCGAGAGGCTCAAAGGAAGAGAAAGCAGAGGAGAGAAACTGAAGGGACTGGAGACCTGCAGGAAAAATAAAAGGGTAGAAGGAAGGAAAGAAAAAGAAATGTCTACTTTTGTTCTCAAGAAGAGAGAAAGCCAAGAGAAATTCTGGGAAAAACTTTTCCTGAATAGCTGACCAAATGATTTCAGCAGAAAGTGAAGTGGGTTGTTAGCTATTTCTTTTTCCCAGGCAGCAAATATACAAAGGAATAAAATGAGTCCTTGTTAGTCCCACTCTCTCCAGGTGCCAGAAAGGCTGGCTCGAAAATTGATTTAGGTCCCATGATTGGCACAGGTACTGAAGCAGGCAGGAAACTCCCTATTGAAGATACAGTTGTCCACCCTGAGCCTCTGAACTGGCCATAGAGTCAGCTTCCTCAGAGTTTTTACTTGGTGGTTCTAATTTCCTAGATAAAACTGTCCAAGTAGTGACTTCTGAGAGTTCCTGCCTGAATACGAGACTCTCATTGCCTTTTCTGGACCTTCAGAGTTTCCTACTCACAGCATCAATCTCATTCAGAATCTTCCACTGCTCATAGGGCACTCCAAGAGATTCGGCAGTCTGTATGGTCCTCTTCAGCTGGCTTGTCCACACTTTGAGGTCTGTTATCTCCTGTTCCTCCAGAAACTTCCTTAGAGCTTGGGCAAACTGGAATTTAAAAATAAAAATTGGCCAGGCGCGGTGGCTCAAGCCTGTAATCCCAGCACTTTGGGAGGCTGAGGCGGGTGGATCACGAGGTCAAGAGATCGAGACCATCCTGGTCAACATGGTGAAACCCCATCTCTACTAAAAATGCAAAACATTAGCTGGGCATGGTGGCACGTGCCTGTAATCCCAGCTACTTAGGAGGTTGAGGCAGGAGAATTGCCTGAACCCAGGAGGCGGAGGTTGCGGTGAGCCGAGATCGTACCATTGCACTCCAGCCCGGGTAACAAGAGTGAAACTCCGTCTCAAAATAAATAAATAAATAAATAAATAAAAACAAAAATTAAGGGGAAAAAATCACACACAGACACCCCCCCGCCGCCCAACACACACACACACACACACAAGGCCTGCTAACTTGGCCTTTAATGGACAACATGCATAACCATTGTCAAAATCCTCTTGGGTATAAACCCAAGAGGAAATGAACTTTGACTGGAGCACCCTGTATACTGCTCAGTACACAAGTTACGCTCAGTAAGTATCTGATGGCTGAATGATCACAGCAGAAATGAGTCCAAGTTATCTACACTTCAGTACAGAGCTACACACAGTAGCAAGAGCACACCTTGATCACCTGCCTGACTATGAAACCATGGCCTAAGTCCAAATGGGATTTAAGTAAGGAGATAAAAGAGATGACCTCAGCCATGCCCTTCTAACTCTAAGCCTAGAAAATCCAGTGTGCTGACTAATTACTCACCTGCTTTCCCCGTACTGAGAGGCCAGAGTCACCCCCAATCTTCCCCAAGAGATTGAACTCGCTCTCTCCGTGCCGGCAAAGGTAAATGGTGCGAGGCTGGACATGGATATTCATGAGGTAGTAGACTATCTTGCTCTGGATATAGTCCTGGACTCTGTTGACTAAAAATCGCTGGCCCACATTTATCACCTTGATGAAAGAAAGATCCCTGGGACAGGGCAGAAAAAAAAAATTCCCTGGGTATGGAAATCTGAGAATAAGAATCAGAGTGAAAAGGATTTCTACAGGGACTTGCAGCTGCTTTTCCTCCTCTCCCCTGTCACACCCACGTTTATGGAATCAAATGGTAGGAGAATAATTACTCCTTAAAATCAAAATGAAGTACAATTTCCTGAACTTCTAGTCAGTCTGTACCATTTCCTCAGTGCCTGTACTGTGCCATGTAATGTAGATAAATATGATAAACAGAATTCGGGCTTCCCATCAAGGGCTAGAGACTACGTGACCTGAAGATTTTGCTAAGCCCGAAATTCGGTGAGAAGAGTAAGTCCCATTTGAGGCAGTCAAGACCTGGGCAGAATACAGCACGGTAAGCAATGAAGGGAAAGGAGGAGGGAGCAGAAGCAGAAACAGCAGTGTCTACACACTCCCTGCATCTACCTCAGCACGCTTCTCTCAAAGACACTTTCAGATATTGATTGCCTTGAGGCCAACATGGAACTGTTCTCTTTATCAAAGTCGTAAGTGTGGCCAGGTGCAGTGGCTCATGCCCGTAATCCCAGCACTTTGGGAGGCCAAGGTGGGCAGATCACGAGGTCAGGAATTTGAGACCAGCCTGGCCAACATCATGAAACCCTGTCTCTACTAAAAATACAAATATTAGCCAAGCATGGTGGTGGGTGCCTATAATCCCAGCTGCTCAGGAGGGTGAGACAGGATAATCGCTTGAACCCGGGAAGGCAGAAGTTGCAGTGAGCTGAAATTGCACCACTGCACTCCAGCCGCCCCCCCAACCAAAATCAGTTGTAAGTGCTTATTTTAAATCAAAAATTCAGAAAAAAAGATGGAAGGATACAAATCACCCATCACCCTACTACCAGAGATAACATCTACCAACGTATATATATGTAGAGATGTGTGTGTGTGTGTGTGTGTGTGTGTGCGCGCGCGTGCGTGTGTGTATTCTTCTGAATGTTTTTCTAGGTGAGATTTTGTTCCAACTGAAGAATACTTTTATGCCAAACCACCAAGAGGTGGTTTTCAGCCTCCGTATTAAGGGGATCCTGGGAAACCCACTCAAAGGAACTGAAAGGCTCAAAACATTAAACAGACCACTGTATTAAGTGTGCCATGCACATTAAATGGGCCATTTGCTTGGCTGCAGGTCTGTATTATTCGAATAGAGCTATTAACTGCCCTAAATGCATGCTCTTTTACGAGGCCACATTCCTGCAGATTTCCATGCGTACACCATCTTTCTTCGACATGGACTTGGTATTTTGTTACAGCTAATATACTTCACACATGACAAGTTAATCTATATTCTATACCATGCTACCAACAGATGCTTCCATATTAATGACAGCTGGCATTCAGCAAACATTTCTCTGAGTCAGGCATGAAGCCTGCCATTGAGATATGGAGCAGTGGTTCCCAACCAGGGGTGATTTTGCCCCCCAGGGAACATCTGCCATGTCTGGAGACATTTTTGGTTGTCACAGCTTGGAGGTATTACTGGCACATAGTGGGCAAAGGCCAAGGAAGCTGCTAAACATCCTGCGATGCACAGGACAGCTCCAACAACAAAGAATCGCCCAGTTCAAAGTGCCAGTAATACTGAGATTGAGGAAATTATGCTCTAGAGACTAGAGAGAAAAAAACTAATGATAGAAAACACTTCCAGCCAGGCACGGTAGCTCACACCTGTAATATCCAGCACTTTGGGAGGCCTACGCGGCTGGATCATTTGAATTCAGGAGTTCAAGGTCAGCCTGGCCAACATAGTGAAACCCTATCTTCACTAAAAATGTGAAGACATGGTGGCACACGCCTGTGGTCCCAGCTACTCGGGAGGCTGAGGTGGGAGGATCACCTGAGCCCAGGGGGCAGCAGTTGCAGTGAGCCCTGATTTCACCACTGCACTTCAACCTGGGTGACAGAGCAAGATCCTGTCTCAGAAACAAAAACAGAAACAAAAAAAAAAACCACTTCAGTTTTTGTGTACAAGATGCAACCCACATAAAAGCCACAAATCCCATACCTTATTTCTCTGGGGTGTTGTTAACACTAGATTTGGATTATCAGAAGCAAGTTAGAGAATAGAGGGAGAAAGGTTATTTTCCCCAGATGAGACCTTTGCCTTGGGCCCTTCAAACCATGGCCTTAAACCTTACTTGTCATAGTTGTCTGGGTCAAGGGGACGGTAGGTAACTTTGTAGCACTCAATTCTCTTCAGGAAGTCCTCCATCACGTTCTCCCTGTTCCTTTCAGGGTAGTCAGGGCTGGATACCTTAACCTCCTAAAATCATAGGAACAGTAAAGGCCTCGTCAGAGGTCTGCCCTTAACAGCCCTCCTACAAATAGCCACTGCTATAAAAAGAAAAAGAACCCCATAAAAGTCGCCTTTCACTGGAACATTGGCACTCCACTCATTGAGTACCCCCTCCCCCATCCTGTGACCCTGGCAACCAAAAAAGTAAAGACAACTGGGGAGTCATGTGCCTGCACTTGGCTGCAGGACAGAGGCAGTCACGCAGCCGAAGCTGCTCCTGGGCCCCAATCCCTTTACGTAGTTTCCTGAGAAAACAGAATAGGCTCCAGTGTTTCCCCATTACCACTCAGAATAGGGTGCATGACCCCAGTGCCTGACTTGGGACCAGATGCCTCTTCCTCAGATGATCCCAAGTTCCACTTGCTGGGAGAGCACCTGCATGAGACCATGTATGGATATCTACTCAGCCTAGCAGAGCACGACCCATCCAACGTGGACTGTCTCATGCTGTGACCCCACAGGGCATGAGGAGCTCGATGTATAGAACACTGACTGGAACACTGGACAATTGCTGAGGAGATAACCTTCCTGTAGGTAAGGCCTGAAATGAAGAGTCTGATTCATTCCTTTTTTTTTTTTTTTTTTTACAAAAAAAAAAAACAAGTTCTTACTCCATCAGCCAGGCTGGACTACAGTGGCACAACCACAGCTCACTGCAGCCTCGACCTCCCAGGCTGAGGTAATCCTCCCACCTTAGCCTCCCAAGCAGCTAGCTGAGATTACAGGGATGTGCCATAACACCCAGCTAATTGTTGTGGTTTTTGTAGAGACAATGTTTTGCCCATGTTACCCAGGCTGGTCTTGAACTCCTGGGCTCAAGCAATCCACCTACCTCAGCCTCCCAAAGTGCTGAGACTACAGGTGTGAGCCACCACGCCCAGTTGATTTATTCCAACATCTAGGTCTCAGCATCCAGATAATACGCAGAACACAGGGCCAAGACTCCTACAACCTAAACCCTGGTCTTCATTCAACGGCTAATTCTTACTTGATTCTCTAGAACCCCAGTTTCCTTTCCCAAGAGAAGACTATAGAAGTACCAGATGGTGCTATGGCAGATAGAAAACATCTTTGAGATGTTAAACATGTCCATTTCTCTCTTTCATTACCGAAAACACCCCTTCCCCACAGAAAACACACACACATACACACACACACACACACACACACACACACACACACGAAGCACAAAAGGTGAAGAGGAGATGATAGGTAGGGCTGTCACCCACCAGAATATTGGCAGCAATGACATCAGGATCATCACAGACAGATTCCACAAAGAATACCTGGCCATGGAGAGAAGGCAGTTATAAACAAGTCGAAAATGCCAGGCTGTCAATTAAGAGCACATGCTCATCTGCCCCACCCAGCCACCACATCTCCCAGGATTTTTTTCATGAAAGTGGCCTTCAAGTCATCCTCATAGCTCTTCCCACATCCCCTGGGCCTCAAATATACAGGCTAAAGGTCTGAGAAAAGACCTGAAAGAAAACACTCAAGGATTGGGTGTATGCTCTGAGAGAAGAGGTTCAGATATCCCATCCTGCCCTCACCCACTAGAGTCAAAGAGATCCATGCCCCTAGCCTGACTCTCCACCTCTACTCATCCTTTTTCTCCCAGCATGGAGTCAGATCCTACCTTGAAGGCATTCTGTTCAGCAAAATTCAAAATCATATCCCTCCTCTCCCGGGTGGTATTGGTGGCATCAAACACCTGTGAAGAACGCATACAAGGTAAACGAGCAGGAACAGAGAAATGGAACCCCACCAGGGCAGACTCAAGGTGGGGCTGGGTAGCCAGGCTGCTGCAAGGGTGGGGACCAGGAAGAAGAAGAAACAGATAAAGCTTACCGCAATCTGACCATTTTCCTCGGTGAGATACGCCTTAACGTCTTCCAGCGCCACCAGAGCACACTGTCTGCCAGGAGAGCAAACGAAACCAGCAAGGAGAGCTAAGCTCAAACACAGTGAGAGACACAGACATTCGGGTGGCTACAGGAGTCACATCCCTACCCACTTGGTTTCCCACTGCTGAAAACCTTCCTCTAACTAGATGTTTCAGCTAACTCACTGAGGGTCTTCACACCATCCTATGACCCCTTCCTGGCCCTGCCCCAATGCACAGAGCTTATACCTCTTCAGACTTCTGCTGCAAGCACACAGGTATCACCCTGAGTCCTGTTCTTCTGCCCACCCAAGCTTAAGGTCACTTGCCCATCACATAACTTCCACTTAACTTCCCCATGAGATAGTTACTGAGACGAAACCAAGCCCTGTCACACCGAGTCTCACAACAGCTGGGAAAGAGCTGACCTGGAGATCAGGCCTTAAACAAGACTCACCTGCGGATCTTCATGGCCTCCTCATTGTCATGCCGAAAGAAGTCGTAGGACTTATAGGACTTGACAGCTTCACGCCGGTATACCCCAAGATTAAACACTGCAGAAGACACCCAAATCCTTCAGCAGCAAAACAATATGATGGCCCCACCAAATGGGACTTCTTGCTTGGCCTAATGTCGGAGTGGCCAAGGGGATGAAAAAAGCAGCATGGCAGGTTGGAAAAAGCATCAGATGAAAAGTCAAAAGAGTTGGGTTCAAGTACTGACTTTCTAGACCTTGGACAAGTCTTAGCTGTCTGAGGTTTCCATTTCCTCAGCCACTCTGTCTATTTCACAGAGACACTGCTAGGGTTGGATAACATACATGTAAGACCTCTGAAAATGTACAGCCCTATGCTCTTCTAAATCTTAATAGTCCTATCAAAGGCATTCCCTCAAAACTAGGCCAATCCACCCACGCCAGAAGGAGACAAGTCTGGGAACAGAGAATAACTCCAGTAAACCAGAAAGCAACTGCTATTTCTTCCAGAAGCACCCTATAGCATTGAAGTCAAGAAGAATAAGTCTCCCAGAGACCGGTGAGGCCCAGAAACTAAGAAATTCCCTTCCTGAGGAATGAGCCACACTTACCTTTGGTGGGCACTCCAATCCAGTTGAGGTAGCGTGTTAGTTTCTTGGACACATAGGTTTTACCCCGGGCTGGCAAACCGATCATAACGATGAGAGTCGGGGAGTTGGTCATGTAGGAGGCCCATGCTAGAAGGAAATGAAACAAAATAAAATGAAATGACTAGGGGCCTACTAAGGTTTATACACTGAGCTACGAACTTCATAACCATAATCTCATTTTATCTTCATAAACCTCTAGAAAAGCAAAGGTTCAGGAAGTCTGGGAAGACAAATAAGGAGATATCAGGCAGGCCTCCTGAAACAGAGTTAAAGGGTTGAGCAGACTTCCAGAAAATGCCCAAACCAAGACACGTCTCCTCTCCATATCTGAGGTCTTCACTGAGGTACCCAAGGTGGAAAAAGGGGAAAAAGTGGCAAGTATAAGAAAGAAAGTAACCATGGTGGGGCCAGACATGATAGCTCATGCCTGTAATCCCAGTTATCTGGGAGGCTGAGGTGGGAGGATCACTGGAGGCCAGGAGTTCAAGATAAACCTGGGCAGCATAGAGAGACCCTTGTCTCTTTATATATACATATATATATATATAACTTAGCCAGGTATGGGGGTGTGCACCTGTAGTCTCAGTTACTAAGGAGGATTGCCTGAGCTCAGGAGTTCAAGGTTGCAGTGAGCCATGATCACATCACTGCACTCCAACCTGGGCAACAGTGCAAGACTTTGTCTCAAAAAAAGAAAGAAAAAAAACAGTGACATCCTCCTTAACATAAGAATGCCTGGCAATATAAAAATGATATAGCTGTGAAGGAAGGTCTAATGCTTGGAGATTCTACCAGTGCAGAACTGAGCTGGCTCCTATAATAGGTCCAACAGAGTTTCTGTCTCCAGGATCCCACTCATCCCTTCAGAACCATGCACAAGAATTAGCTTGCCCACTGCAGAAAGCCTTGCCTCAAGCTGTTTTGGCCTTTGCATGCAGGCCATGAGCTCCTCTTTAAGCCAGAATTTCTAAACCATAGTGAGACTGAGTTGGGAAAACCTACTTGATACACATTCTGAATAGACCTCAGGAAGCTTCGGGGTGGAGGTAGCCCACACAGGGCATCAGGGCCCACCTGCCGCCATGGCCCATGTAAAAGCAAGACAACTGAGAAGCATTAACAGTCCTCAGTTTACCCTTCCTTAGTAAATTAACTTACTTCAGGAATGCTGATTTGCAGAGATAAGTCTCACTGGACAGGCAGGGCAAATGATGTCCAGGGGATAGCTGACTTGTCTGGGGACACACAATGAGTCAAGGGTACAGCTGGCACTAGAACAGCGATCTTTGCGCTTCCTTGCAGCTTTTCTCGATAAAAAGAGGCTTCTCATCACTTTGCTGACAGGGGCTGGCTCCTCCCGGCCCATCCTGCTGCAGAGGAGAGGTGGGAGAAGGACCCGCACTATTGCCAGCCACTGTCCTGGGGCCAAGAACCACACTGAAGTCATCTAGGATGGCTCAGACTCTGCCGGCTCCAATGAGGGACGGCCTCATTACACAGGATGGGGTAAAGGGAAGAAAGACCTTCCCCTCCCACTTCCCACTACTGCTTCCCAGAAGGTGCCCTGCAAGTTACAGCTGCCTCTCTGCCTGGGGCTAAGTGACCTTGTGTGATTAAGAAACTATTCTGTAAGTTGGAGGTACTTGGATGGGAAATACAATACAACTTTCATTTTTTGAGAAGTAAATGTAAAGATCTCAGTGGAGAAGTGGGTGGAGGGGCCTGGGTAGAGAACCAACCTCGGAAGGAAGAATTTCCTAAGGGTGTTTGGCAAGTACTCAGAATGACCCTAGCGGTGAGGAGGATGAAGTGGAGGCCCAGACCTGGGGATAGAGGGTTTGGCTGTTAGCTCTTTACCCACTGTACACATGGAAAATTCCTGATTCTCAGCAGGAGCCTCTCCAAGGTAGGTAAAAGAGCCACACAAGTGATTTTCATCTCTGTCCAAATAGGGAGCTCAAAGGCAAGCAAACTGTACCCTGCAGCCTCAGCTGGCATTAATCCCTGATCACTGACCCCTAACAGGCAGATAGCCTCTGCATGGGATCAGCTGCCTCAGGTTTAAGTAGTAAAATCCCCTGAGTCTTCACTTTCTCCAGCTCAGCTCAACACCTCCTCTCAATCCCCCATGATTTGGCTCATTACCTTCACTCCTAGGCCTGCTGTGTTCACACTTTCCAGCCCATTAGGCATTTCCCCCAAAGGTCCTGTTACCCTCCCTAAAGCTTAAAATGAACTGATACTTGGGAGCTGCTCTGAAGGCAACCAGGGAACCAGCTGCGCTATGTTTACCCATGTGGACAGAGAATGCTAAGAACAAAAAAAAAAACTATATCCACGAGGGACCACCCAAGAGCCCTCCAGCAACGCACCTCTCACCTCTTCCTGGAACACACTCATGCACTACCTGTTACAACCAGAGCTTCTCATTTTCTGGAGTACAAAACTAAACCACACTTCCTATCTCAAATTGCCACACTAGCAAAAGTAGGAACATTCTGTCCTGCCTGTTAAAAAACAAAACTACCTGCCACCACCACCTGATTAATTTCAGAGACAATGTAAACCATCTCTTGACATACAATAGAAAACTACTCGATCTTGAAATTCTCTTCCACCTGCTTTAAGCCAGGTTCAACTACTTTTCTCAAACTTAAACTTATTTTCCCTTCACAAACTTGCTTAGATAAAATGAGGATTTGAGGCCGGGCATGGTAGCTCACACTTGTAATCCCACACTTTGGGAGGTCAAGGTGGGTGGATTGCTTGAACCCATGAGTTTGAGACCAGCTTTGGCAACATGGTGAAACACCATTCTATTAAAAAAACAAAAATGAGCCAGTCTCAGAACCCAGTCTCAAAATAAATAAATAGATTTAAAAAAGAATTATTTACAAAAACAAACAAAAAAGAGGACTTGATAACTTCCCTCGTGTAAATGGAAAAACTCAAGCTAAGAGCTTTGCCCATGGTCCCACAATAGACAGTCAAGGTCAGGGCTCTGACCAGTCTCCTGATCTCATGACTACCCATTCAGTCCCAGCTGCCAGCTCCCGTGCCTCATGTCGGCACTTGACAAAGGTACCCTCACGACAAACCCAACTATGCTCTCCATCCTAATCCTGAAGGATGGTCTAGGAGAGCAATGGTTCCCAGCCTTTTGATGACCCACATCATCTTCTTTTATTGGTTCTAAAGAGAGATAACATTTAGAAATATGCAGCCCATAAAGCATGTTTCATTAGTGATATTTTACCTTTATTCATCAGAAGTCAGAACTGCTGATTATCTCCTGCCAGTTGACAGGCATGAAATAACCAAGGTCATACAACTACAATCAAACACTAAGAAAGCTGATATTTCAGTTAACCACTAGGCTATAGTTGACACTGTCCAATTTCCATCAAATATCTTGATATATTGAAAACAGCTTACAATATAGAACTTTTTAAGAGGGCAAATTAGTAATACTGATAAACATTTCCAATGTGTCTATCTTTTCTATTTCTGTAGGAAAAGTTGCTGGCACAAATGTGCAAAGGTATATGTGTAAGAATGGTCACTGCAGCACTCTGTGATGATGAAAAACTGGAAACAATTAAATGTCCATCCGTGGAAAGCTGGCATATCCATACAATGCAGAATGAGGTAAAGTTGGATTTACCCACATGACAAGGATGTTCACAAGACAGTAAGTTATTTAAAAAAAAAAAAAAGGAAATGACAGCTGAACAGAATATGAACAATATGAACCTACTTTTATTAATAGGATATACTAAAATAGGATGTCTAAAAGAATCATATGTGGAAGAGATAGGAGTTTTTTTTTTACTTTTTGCTTTCTAAATTCTTTCTGTAGTTTCAAATTTTTATGAACATACCTTGCTTTCATATTTAGGGAAAAATAAATGAAAGAACTTGCCTGTTTCAGAACTACTCAAAAAAAATTTTTTTAAGAAAAAAAAGCATGTAGATTTCTCCATTTCTGCTTTCATAAGACTTGCAACCAGTCCTCTGAGCACCTTAAAGTCACCTCGGCCAGTAGCCCCTCTTCACCTCATCCCTGGAGCAGCTGAGGTCCCAGTAATGCTCCTTGGGAGGTTTTGACTCCCTAAAGTCATTCTTCAGCCCTGAAATCCTTAAGCTCAGCCACTTCCCAAAGTTAGCCAACACAGGTGTAATTAGCAGCAAGGGGACAACAGTTAAGCTAGTAATAAAGCAGCTGCTGATGTGAACACTAAGCAGCCAGAGGAACCTGCTCCAAAGTCCAGCTCCACAGGAAAAGGAAGTAAGTGAACACATACCCTCAGAACTGTATTTTCTCCTTTGGCTATGGCTGCAACAGTCTCACAGCCTGATTGGGAGGTGGAGAGAATGGGGTAAATAAACCACGGTGGCTTCTTCTTCTCTAAGAATAAGGTGTTTAGAGAAGCTAGAGCTTGGAAAAAAGAGATTAGAGCCCAGGGCAGGAATTAGAGTTTAGAAGACAGGAAAGAAACCAGGGATTACTGTTTCCTTGACTAATTGAAAGCTCTCAAGGCAGATGAACTGCAAAAGAATTAGGGAGGCAGGTAGGAGAGATTCCTACCATGGAGAGAAAAAGCAAAGCTAGGACTGACACAGGGCATCATGTAGTCAGAGACTCCCACAACTATCGATTCCACCCCCTAGCCCCAGCTCTCTTTTGGATCAAGCACTCTAGTAACACGAGTGTACCTCCCTTTAAGAGGCATGTCCCAGATCCCCAATCTGGGTTACAATATTGTCAAACAAGAGGAGAAAACATTCTTCACTGAAAAAATAATTCTTCCCAGGCCTCTTTTAAATAGTGAGCTTCCAATACACCATCTGAATGTGATTCAATATAAACATTACAGGAATAAATGCAACAGGCAGATTGAGTCACCTGTGAAAAATAACACACACTAGCTATATGCCCAACCGTCTTCTAAGTGCCTTCCTACATTTAGTCATTTAATCGTCACATCACTCTTGGGGGAGATACTATTAGTATCACCACTTTTAAAAAAAGTGAACTGAGGCATGGAGAGGATAAACAACTTGTTCAAGAGCTAAGAAGTCATAAACCCAGGATTCAAACCCAGGCAGTATGACTCCGGAGGTCACTCTCAAACCTCATGCTCTATTAGTTATCTCTCATGGGGTATTTTGCCCTTAGCACCTGGCTTCTTGCCCTGGCAGAGAAAAGAGACCCTAATTGTAGACCCTAACTGTGCCAACCCCAGTATCTCATCTAGCCAGCTGCTTCTGTCCAGCAGGCTTCATGGGTGCTAGGTGAAGAGAGATTATCACCGTTAATCATGAAACTGACAAGAGCATGACATCAAGGTCAGGCTCTGGGAAAAGCTTTGAACATAAGATGAGTCCTGGTCTCATGCCAGTTGGCTGTTTCCACCTGCTGATATATATATATATATATGAAGGATCATCTCCCCGCAAACTCTCCTGCTGTCTCTAAAAGACAAGCATGGAAATGCTCAGGTGAAAGCTGTCCTCAAATAAATGAGCCTACAGGGAAAATAGTTTACCAAGTACAAAGGCTAAACCTGTAAGAAAGATGCCCAAGATACTATGAGAAGCCAAGTGTCAGGGCTCATTCCCGAGGCCTGTAGGGAATAAAGTCAAGCAGCACTGGCTCCCATCTGCAATTTCTACAATGAACAGCAGTCTCCCAAAACTTAGCCCAGCAGATAAAGCTGCTAACATTACCAGCGCCAAGTAATTCCTGCACCTGCAGCCCTGCCTTACTCATCGTGCTTACAATGATGTTTGTTCTAACTTCCATCAGGAAGCCAGTGTGCAAACATCCCAGGAGACAGCGATTCCGTTTAGGAAAGCAGTAAGAAACTTCTGAGCTACACTGGTAGTCTAGCCCCAAGAACAGACATTTCACTAAGTCTATTTGTTTTAGACAGGACATTCCACCCTGGAGACTTTGTATTAAATTTCCATGTCAAAGAATTATTAATCACTCCCACCAAGCAGCAGAGTCCAGGATTATAACTATATTCCCAAGATAAATGCTGAGAGAGAGAGCAGTCCCTCCTCTTTGCCAGAACTCACAACATTTCTTCTCTGACATTCGAAGATTTGAGGGTTTGGTTTCATAGCTGTTTTTATTCTGTTCTGAGGAAGATGTCCCAGACATGGCAGCTCTTCAGATGTCTGAAAGAAAGCAGAATGTAAAAAAAGAGAAGGGAAAGAAAGAAGACATAACTCAAAAAACTCAGTGCATTGGATTCGTGTGGTATAAGTAAAAGCACCCTGGGCCAAGAGTCAAGTTCAGTCCCTTTTCTCCCAGCTAACAGCTACTTCTCTAGCTCTCTATTTCCTCACCTATAAAAAGAATTGCATTGCACTAGAACCTTACATTTGTATGCTAACTTACAAGTCTACATTTACAGACATTATCTTCTTCAGTCCTTCCAGTAATCTTGTAATTAGGCAGATTTTGCTACCATTATTTCTTCTCCTCATTTTACAGATTGAAAATTTGAGATTCATCGAATCAAGTGGCATGTTCAAGTTCTTTCATGACCTCAGATTCTAGTTTTAAGAATCTGGGCAGAGTGGTAGCAGCAGTTGGGGTGGGGTGGGTTATAAATAGACCAAGTTCATTACCAAAAAGTAACTCCAATCTAACAGTAGGACTCAGTTTTGAAAAAAAGTGAGGCCGGGTGCTGTGGCTCACACCTGTAATCCCAGAACTCTGGGAGGACGAGGTGGGCAGATCACGAGGTCAAGAGATCGAGATCATCCTGGCCAACATGGTGAAACCCCCGACTCTACTAAAAATACAAAAATTATCTCGGCGTGGTGGTGCGTGCCTGTAATACCAGCTACTCAGGAAGCTGAGGCAGGAAAATCGTTTGAACCAGGGAGGCGGAGGTCGCCGTGAGCAGAGATCGCACCACTGCAACTCCAGCCTGGCGGCACAGCGAGACAGAATCCGTCTCAAAGGAAAAAGAAAAGAAAGAAAAGAAAAGAGTGAGAGACGTGGGAAAATCTCGAACATATTCCCTGAAGGAAAAACAGTAACTGGACCCCAAGGCAGCCTTCGCACGTCGTTATTTCTACTCTGGTGCATTCTCAAGCCCTGCTCCGCACCCTCTTCCCAGTTACCCTCGGGACTCAAGTCTAAAAACACCGGAGAGCTGAGGTGGTAAATGACTTCCCCAAGGTCACCTCAGAAAGAGGGGTAAGCCCTGATTCGAATTAGAGTGGGAAACCCCTGAGCTCATGCCCCAAACTCAGACAACGGGGGGCTGGTGAGGACGGAAGGTCCTGCGGCTTCAAGAGCCTTACACGATTCCTCCGCTGACCACGCAAATCCTCCAACCCGAACACCGGCTGTGGCTGCCGGTCCCAGAACGTCCGCGCTCCCTGCAGTGCCCGGGGACCAACACCTCGCCCGGCACTTCACCCGGGGGCACGCAGCCCCCTCATCCAGCCTGCTAGACCCTACCCGGCGCTGCGCAGCTGTGGCTCACCCTACGATCTCTCCTAGGATCCCTCCCTGCCTTGGCCCCGGCGCCTCCCCAGTAACGCAACCGAACCGACAGCTGGCGGCCGGGGCTGGCGCTCCAGTTGCCGGCAAATCACGTGAGCCCGTCCGGCCCCACCCCCTCGAGCCTTGCTCCTCACCTGGAGAGAATCATCCACCAATCGGGCGCCTGGAGGACCCAGGGGGCGGGGCCAGGTCGCTATTGCCTACGCGGGCTCCGGAAGGCGGGTGGAAGTGGGAACCCGAGAGATCGCCAGGTCCCGAGTTTCCCAGCGCCGCGGAGCCTGGTAGCGTCGTTGCTTAGTAACTAATAAGGCTGGGGGCGGGGTTAATAAAAAGCCTGGCTGTCTTCTCTGACTCTCGCGAGAGTGAACTATTCGGTAGGCGCCTTGAGAGGGAGTGTGCTCTTTGGGTGACGAGAAAGTGTTGCAAAGATTAACACTCTCATTCCTGAATCCCAGCAGAACCTCGTTAGATCCCTAAATGGGAACGTAGGCTTATAAAGACGCTTTTGCTAGAATAAACTACCACAACACTTGAGCCGATTATACCTTAAGGTGTTTACATATCCCTTTCCACAGGTCAGAAGCTGTAGCCCAAGAAAATCAACTACTCTCATCGTTGTACCAGAAGCATCCCTGGACCCACCCATACACCCCAGTGGACTTCTAACCACTCCTACCTGACCCCAACCCAGGCAGTATCATCTGTGGTGGTCGTCCTGAAGAACCAAGGAGGAAAATTGCACCAGAAAAAAAAAAAAAAGAGTAATTAAAGGTATGAAAAGATGGAAAGATTACAAATTTATTCAGAAGCGAAGTCTCACAGTGGAGGTGAGTTTGCACATTCCACGTGAACTACACTTTTCATAGTTGCCCCAGCGGGCCTGTCTGATGCTTGATAAACCCACTCTAGGCAGGTGGGACTTGCTGTCTGGATCCCGGCTGGATAAAGAACAATGACTATGGATTTCTTGGAAAAGACAAATATAAATTCAGAGATGTCTTTATTCCTCCTTCGCCTAGGAATTAAATTCATTCTTCCTAAAGTTCAAATCGTTATCTCCTCTTTGAGGCTTTTACAACTCCCAGAGCGCTCTAGTTGCCCTCTCTGTGTCTGTACCACTCTGTTTTTATTCATTCAGTAAGTATTTGTTGAACACTTTTTATTTACGAGGCACAGTCCTGGGTTCTAGGCATACACGGTTGAAAAGGTACACGTAATCTAGCATTATCACGTTGCCTTGAAATTCAGTGGCTGTGTGTCTCACACTTCACCCTGTCTCTCAACCGCAATGAATACTTGTTACACTGAAGGCAGGAACGAAGTCTTCATATCTGTATGCCCAGGAACTGAACTGGAATCTGATGACACTTGTTTCATGACTCCTTACATTGCCACCACCTGAATGAGGCAACTGCCCCGGGCCCAGATGCTGACCTCATACTGTGCTTTCTGATGTGGCAAATAGACGTTTTCAAGCACAGTCTCAGGGAGGTGGAAAGGCCAGTCCTTTGGCCCCTGAGACTCCAATGAGTCAATGTTTAATGCAGCCACGAGCCTAGTCACGAGTATGATTGTTTTTGACGGGTCCTTTGACTCACTGACCATTCCTGGCATTCATTTGCGTTGTGCACTATGATTCCGTTTCTCCTGGTGTAGTCTGGGTGTAGGGTGGAAGCCCCGATTTAATAATTTCCGACCTCATTAAGTGCAAGGTCACATTCCAATCTCCACGGCTTCATTCAGGAACTCCTGCCCCCGCCCTCTTCTTTGAGCATATATGCTACCCACGCGGCGGACACCTCACTCGCTCTACAGGTAGCAAGATCCGTCGTCCTTTAGGAACACGGAGGTTTAACATCTTCGTTCTGAGGGTGGGGAAAAAAAATTGTTATCACTTTAAAAGTGTTCGCGCTTGTTAAAGAGCTAAGGCAGAAGCCGCGCCCGAAGCGTCGCGAGAACTGTGACCACCCGCAACTTCTCGCGATGTTTGGCCCCGCTAAAGGTCGCCATTTTGGAGTCCACCCGGCGCCTGGTTGTCCCGGCGGCGTCTCTCAACCTGCTGCCGGGACCAAAGCTGGCCCCGCGGGTGTCTGGCCTGTGGGCAGCCGGACCGACACGATGTGGCGGCTCCGCTGCAAGGCCAAGGACGGCACCCATGTTTTGCAGGGGCTGTCCAGCCGGACCCGGGTGCGGGAACTCCAGGGCCAAATTGCCGCCATCACCGGGATCGCCCCCGGCGGTCAGCGAATCCTAGTCGGATACCCTCCCGAGTGCCTGGATCTCAGCAATGGGGATACCATTCTGGAGGACTTGCCCATCCAATCTGGTAAGGAATCAGGGCCGGGACCAGGGAAGGTCCCGGGAGGACGGAGAGGGGCGTGAGAGAGAATAGAAAGCCAGTTACGGTGGCTGTGGGTCAACTGGGGCTTTGAGACCAGGGGTGAGGATAGATCAAAAAACAGAGAACTCTGACGGAAGCTGGGGCAAGTGTCTAGCAACTCCTGGTCTTTACACAGGCTTGAAAAGCAACCCACAGCCTTGAAGTCCCCCTTCCCCAATCCGCTTTCTGGTCGGCTTTGAAACTATCTTTTATTTTACCTCGGCGTTCACAAAAATAAAAAGAAGTAGGGCCTATTTTCTCTGTCCTTATTTATGTCTCTTTTTCCCTGTATCATCGATCAGGTCTCAAGGGTGCAGGATTTTTTTTTCTTGGTTCATTTTTGCAGTCGCCTTCATAGATACTTCGTTTGACAGGCATACTCATTAGAGTTAGCTTTTAAACACCCACTGAAAGCCCTTTCAAGTTCTCACCAGGAGCAGCTTATTTCTGTGCCATATTGAAACTTGAACATCAGTGTTGATAATAAAAAGCTTTCAGTTGCAGTATCAAGGACGCTGTAAACACTCAATAGAGTAGATAAGTTTCTGGAGAAGGAGAACCCCCTAGCGGCCTACTCTGTAGTGAGCACCTTCTGTAAGATACTGTATAGGAAATGAAATTTTGTTTTTGAATATATCTTTTTAAGTAAGCCTCAAGTTGTATACTCCAGGCCCCTTGACTAAATTGAGATACAACCTGAAGTGTTTTTTGTTCTTTGTTCTTTTTTCATCTTTATGAAAATTCAGTGAACAAAAATTGTTACTGGTCACTTATTTGCAAAGCTGTATTCTTAGAAACCCCAGTTTATGCTTTAACTCCTTCAGTTTGTAATTTACAGACTTGGCTAGTGAACACTCAGTTTCTTCTGTAATTTCTCTGCAATTCTGAATTCTTTTTTTTTTTTTTTTTTTTTTTTTTAAACAGGTGACATGCTGATCGTTGAAGAAGACCAAACCAGGCCCAAAAGTTCACCTTCACTTAATAAACATGGTGCTTCTAGTTACATCAGGGAAACTTTGCCCGTGCTTGCCAGAACCGTGGTCCCAGCAGACAACTCTTGCCTCTTTACCAGTGTGTACTATGTCGTTGAAGGAGGAGTCTTGAATCCAGCTTGTGCCCCTGAGATGAGACGCCTCATAGCACAAATTGTAGCAAGTGATCCAGACTTCTATAGTGAGGCAATACTGGGAAAAACAAATCAAGAGTACTGTGACTGGATCAAAAGGGATGACACTTGGGGAGGCGCAATAGAGATATCAATTTTATCCAAGTTTTACCAGTGTGAAATATGTGTAGTGGATACACAGACAGTAAGAATTGATCGTTTTGGGGAAGATGCAGGATATACCAAAAGGGTTCTGCTTATTTATGATGGCATCCACTATGATCCACTTCAGCGTAACTTCCCTGATCCAGACACACCTCCTCTGACCATTTTCTCCTCTAATGATGATATTGTTCTCGTACAAGCACTGGAATTAGCAGATGAAGCTAGAAAAAGGAGACAGTTTACTGATGTCAACCGCTTCACCCTGAGATGCATGGTATGTCAGAAAGGATTAACTGGACAAGCAGAAGCAAGGGAACATGCCAAGGAGACAGGCCATACCAACTTTGGAGAAGTGTGATCTATGCCTGAATGAGGGTTGAAGCCTACTACCTCACAGATCCAGAAGGTTCTGGGTTTTCCAATAAGCTATTGTAACCCTAAAGAACAAAAGGACACAATGCTTGAACCATCCTTTTAACTTAAAACCACTAAGACACTGAAATTCCTTGTTAGGATTAAAATTAGTGTGCAAGTTTACAGATGTGTGTCTACAGTGGTAGACTGTACATACATGCCTCTTTCTGCTGGAGTGACAGAGGTGATCCCTGCCACCTACTGACACTGACCCGAAGATTGAGATTCAGTATTATAAACTAGCACCCAGCAGCTTTAACTTTTAGAAGAAAACATCACATTTTGGGTAATGCAGAAGGCCTGTGAGGCCACTGGACATTTACCACAGTGTCTCCAGTAACTGAGTCCTTTTAAAAACTCTGAATGAGTTAAGTTTCTAAATTATGAATTGATTCATCAAATGAAGATACTCAGAATTGTCCAAACTGATTTTATATTGCAATTTGGTAGACTTTATAAATGTGTGCTAAACCACTGATAAGTACATCACAAGCAATTTTTACAGGGATGAGTTTCATCCTTGAGAATGTTATCACAAAACAGGAACTGATTGTGCCCTGTTTAAGATATCTAGTGTATAAAAAGTAGAATGTATGAGGGAAAAGGTGCCTGAGCAGCTTCCTGAAGCTTTAAAAGACCGTTGGCCTCGTGTTTTAATGCAGTTCTTGTATTGGTTTTTGTCACATTGGATAACATTTTAAAGTTAAGCAGGGTATTTTTTAAATTGAAATTCCTTGAAATTTGAGTGCTCAGTTTTTCCTTCATTTGCATAAAGATTTGTCTGGAGGGATTTAGTTTTCTCAGCTTTTTATTAAGAGCACTTTATCCAAAAAGTTTTTTTCAACTGAAGTAATAATGCTCTGCTTTGGGTTGGTTTTCGTAAGATTTTTTTTGCAGACCTAAACAGTGTTTGTTTTTGTGCTGGCCTTACCCCTCCACTAATGTTATTTTAAAGAATTCCACATTTCTGCAAATTAGCACTTTGCTTATCTGCAATCTTTTACTTTGATTTTTGAAGTAATTGGAGTAATGCTGTTG